GTTTGTCCCCAGCCCCAGTTGGGGTTGTGCAGGAGGCAGCCACTTGATGTGTCCCTTTCACGTCGATGTTTCTCTTCCTCTCTCTCCCTCCCATTCTATCTGAACAAAAATGGAAGAGTGTCCTTGGGTGAGAATAAAAAAAACCCAACACAATGAGGTATCACCTTGTACCTGTTAGAATAGGCTGTTATTGAAATGATGAGGTAAGTGTTGGTGAGGATGTGGAGAAAAGGGAACCCTTGTGCAGGGCGGGGATTGCAAATTGGTGCAGACACTATGCAAAACAGTATGGAGGTTCTTCAAAAAATCAAAAATAGAGCTACCATATGACCTAGGAATCCCACTTCTGAGTATATATCCAAAGAAAATGAAATCAGGATTTTGAAGAGATATCTGTGCTCCCATGTTCATTGCAGCATTATTTACAATAGCCAAGCTGTGGAAACAAGCTAAGTGTCCCTCTGTGGATGAATAGATAAAGAAGGTGTGGTATAAATATACAGTGGAATATTATTCAGCCTTGAGAAAGAAGAAAATCCTGCCATTTTAGGACAGCATGGATGGACCTTGAGGGCAGTATGCTAAAGTGAAATGTCAGACTGAATAGGCAAATACCGTATGATCTCATTTATATTAGAAACCCAAAAAGTAAAACTCATAGAAACATTATGTGGAATGGTGCTTACCAAGGGCTGGGTGATGGGGGAAATGGAGAGATGTTGGTCAAAGTGTATAAATTTTGAGTTATAAGATGATAAGTTTTGGGGATCTAATGTATAGCATGGTGACTATAGTTAATAATACTGTATTATATATTTGAAAGTCACTAAAAGAGTATATCTTTTTTATGGTTATTATCTCCACTTTTATTTATTTTTATCTTTATTGTTGAAAGTATTACAGATGTTCACCCATTGACCCCCCCCTTCCCCTTCCTGCCTTCCCCACACTATTGTCTATGTCCATGGTTATGCCTATGTGCATATAAGTTCTTTGGTGTATCTCTTCCTAATCCCCTCATCCCCCTTCCTTCTGAGGTTTGTTATTCTGTTTCCTACTTCCATGTCTCTGGATTTGTTTTGTGAGAGATTAGATCTTAATGTTCTCACCATCACACATACATACACACACACACACACACACAATTATGTGAGGTGATGGAGGTATTAATTAACCCTATTTGGTAATCATTTGCAATATATTATGGAAACATTTGCAATATATACATATATCGTCACATTGTCCATAGACTTACACAATGTTATATGTTAATTATATCTCAGTAAAGCTGGAAAAAAAGTGGCCTCAGTCAAATTATCTGACTGAATCTTGGCTTTACCACTCAATGGCTGTATGACCTTAAGCAGGCATCTTTTTTTTCTAATACTCACCCAAGGATACTTTTTCAGATAGAGTGGGAGGGATGGAGAGAGAGGGAGAGAAACATTGATGTGAGAGAGACACATTGATTGGTTGCCTCCTGCATGATCCCAACTGTGGCAGGGGTTGAACCCACAACTGAGGTACGTGCCTTGACCAGGAATCAAACCCGCAACTCTTCCGTTAGTGGACCGATACTCTGATCACTGAGCCAAACAGGCCAGGGCTTAGATAGGCATTTTTTAATGTCAGTTCCCTTATCTGTAAAAAGGGGATAGAGCAGTGCCTAGGTCCTAAGATTATGTGAGGATTAAGTTAGGTTATTTATGCAAAACGCTTTTTTTTTTTTTTATCCTCACCCGAGGATATTTTTCCATTTTTTGTACAGATAGAGTGGGAGGGAGAGAGAGGAAGGGAGAGAGAGAGAGAAACATCGACGTGAAGGGACACATTGAGTGGCTGCCATCCGCACGATCATCCAGGGCGGGGGACAAACTGCAACCGAAGTACGTGCCCTTAGCGGGAACCGAACCCGGGTCTCTCCGGACCATAGGCCGACGCTCTAACCGCTGAGCCAAACTGGCCAGGGCTGCAAAACACTTTTTGGGCACATATAGAGATGATAAAGGTATGTCAGTGTACCACGTTTCTCATGCCACGAGTTTAAAGGTCTTCTTGACAACACCAGTCTAACCCATTAGGCAAGTCATAGGTATTCAAGACATTCCTAGTCAGTCCAGTTTCTTCCAGCGTGACGATTGCCACCTTGTTTCAAGCCAATGTCATCTTCTACCTGCACTATTGCACCAGCTTTCTGACTGGTTCCCCTGTTCCTACTTTGCCAGCAATCTCTTCTTTCCCCGGAAGAGAGTGTTCTTTTTAAAAACTTACATTTGGGATTGTATTAAGTTATGTACTGCTGCAAAATAAATTACCCCAGAATTAATGGTTCAAAACAACAAACATATATTATCTTGGTTTCTGTGTCAGGAATTGGGGAGAGGCCCACCTGGGTGGTTCTAGACCACTCATATGCCTGTTGGCCAGAGGCCTCAGGCCCCGGCCGTGTCAGCCTCTGCAGCAGGCTGGTCAGTTGTCTTCATGGCCAGGCAGCTGCTTCCCCTCGGGGATGGGCTCGGACAGGGAGCCAGGTGGAAACTGCAGGGCCGTCATGACCTCAGGAGTAGCGGGCACTTCTGCTTCACTCTGAGTGCACTCACACTCAAGGAGGCCGGCAGGAGGCGCCACCTCTTCAAAGGCGAACTATCGAAGAATTTGTGGAACCCCTAGAGAGCCTCTCACTTTCTTGTTTCTGTCACACTTGCAATAAAATGCAGACTCGCCTCCAGTCTGCAGCACCTGCTGGTCCGTGCCTACCTGTTGGATAACAGTTTCACACTTGCCCTCTGGCCCACCATGCTTTAACCTCTTCTGGTCTTACCTCATTCCTTAGGGGTCCCCCACCCCCTTTGTAAAACAATGATTTCTTCTCTCTAGAAAGCTTTTTCCCTGATGCTTGCCAGCCTGGCTATTTGATATCATTTACATTTCAGCTTAAATATCATTTTCTCATGAGGGAAGATCAACTAATCTCAGCTACACATTTTCTATCACATTATTCTATTTTAGGATTTTGTATAGCATTTATATTAAAAAATTTTTTGTTTACCTATTTATGTGGTTATTGTGTCTCCCCCGACATAGAATGTAAGCTCCATGAAAGCATGAGCCTTTCTTGTTCATTGCTGTTTCATCATTGCTTAGAATTTTATTTCGCTTATGATAGGAATGCAACAAATATATTTTGTATGATTGAATTACTGTTATTCCACTAGACTGTTTACCAAATGGAGGCAGGATTGTAATGGACTTGTTTACTGATGCATCCCCAGGATCAGGCATCTAGGAAATGTTTAAAATTTGAAAAGCAATATTATAGAGGAAGACATATAGAGAGTAAATGCACTGCCCTAGGTCATTTAGCTAGTAATGACAGCCCAGGCTCACACCAGGCCTTCCTGATTCTCAGCTATCAATACCGTAACATCTAAAGTGCTTGGCACATAATTATTGCTCAGACAGTGATTCCTTTCCTCTTCTCTATCTGGTCTTTGTTAATATATTTATATAAATCATTTCAAAGTTATGCTCAGTGGACATGGACTATTTGGGATCTATATTTTTTTATGTAACATTCTTTACATATTTTTATATGTCAGCAAAGTTCATGTGCTAATTTTGTAAGACATTTTGAAGATTTATCTGTTTCAACCAGCTTAACCTGTCACCTTTCGTATTTTATTTCAGGGCCCGGAACCAAGTGTTCAGACTCTCGGTATTTCATTTACTTTAAGTCTACAATAAAACTCAGAGAAGCATAAAGATGGGTTATAATGGTCATTCTCAGTATCTATTGAATTCAGTAAACATGTATGGCACACATACCATTTTGTACCAGCCATGAACTTGTGCGAGGCAGTGGAGTAGAATGCAAGGTGAAAGTGCTGTCTAGCCCTGGCCAGGTAGCTCAGTTGGTTAGAGAATTGTCCTGATACAATAAAAGTTGCAGGTTCGATCTAGGGTCAGGACACATGCAGAAGTCAACCAATGAATGCATGGATGGGTGGAGCAACAAATCGATGTCTGTCTGTCTGTCTCTCTGTCTTACTCTGTCCCTCTCCCTCTCTCTCTCTTTTTCCCTATCGCCCCCCTTTCTTTCTCTCTAAAAATCAGTAAATAAAATTTTATTTATTATCATTATTTTTTAGAACTGGAGGGGGAGAGGGAGGAAGAGAGAGAGAGAGAAACATTGATGTGAGAGAGACACATTGACTGGCTGCCACCCACACAACCCCAATTGGGGCCAGGGACAGACTGCAACCGAGGTGCGTGCCCTTGACGGGAACCAAACTCGGGACTCTCTGGTCTGTGGGCCAATGCTCTAACTGCTGAGCAAAATTGGCCAGGGCAATAAATAAAATTTTTAAAAGCTGCTGTCTCTTTCTCATGGCAGCTCACATCATAGCAGAAGAAGCTAGATCTGAAGTGCTTTGATTTTCTGTGGATTCTTTGAATGCAATGATCTCGCTTTCTTTTTCTCCTGTCTCAAAGGTTTATTGAACTATCTGGAGGGCTTCTGGAACTGTATGCCCCAGATATCTGCCCTCTTGCACACTTGGAATTGTTATCAATGGAAACCTTATCCTGAAGAGAGATGCAGGAAGCTTTGCTGGTTGCCTCTGGGTTGAAACATTAAACTATCCTTTTGGTCTGTGGCTAGTCAAGTGTGCTAGGCTTAATGTACCTGGCCTTTGTGATGTAGTTTGAAAAAGAAGTTATTAAAAGATAAACTTTAAACAAGTTGCTTTTTAAGAAAAAAAAAATTGTTTTTATTGATTTTTTTTAGAGAGAAGAAGGGAGAGAGACATAGAAACATCCATGTGAGAGAGAAACATTGACTGGCTGCCTCCTGCACGCCCCCTACTGGGGATCAAGACTGAAACCCAGGCATGTGCCCTGACTGGGAATCGAACCAGGACCTCTCAGTCCATGGACCAACGCTCAATCCACTGAACCACATGGGTCCAGCTAAACAAGTTGCTTTTATCTTTTGTTTCTAGATTACCACACTTATTAATCATAAAGATAATACCAAAAAGTCTGATAAAACTCTGCAAGCAATTCAGCGTGTAGGACAAGCCGTCAACTTGGCAGTTGGAAGATTTGTTAAAGTAGGGGAAGCAATAGCCAATGAAAACTGGGATTTGAAAGAAGAAATAAATATTGCCTGCATTGAAGCTAAACAAGCAGGTATGTGGATTTGGCAATGAAGCCTGTTTATTCCAATAGTATTGCTTTGGATCTTATGACAAATTATTTCTCATTTTGAGTCAAGATGTGTACTGTGATTGAGCCCTATTATTACAGATGCCTGGGATGTTAGAGGCTGGGATTAGTTTTTAGGACTATTGAACTTCTCTTGGCTCAGGTCCTAAATCTGAAACATTGAACTCTTTCACCGGGCAGGGTAGAGACTACCACCATCAGCCACTGAAATGTGAGAGAGAGAGGGGTGTGAGGCCTGGAGCCCGCCTTTGAGGAGCTATTAGCATACTTGTCACCACGTAAGAAATGAGAATAAAAATTAGCATGTGCCTGGACTCTACAGAGACAAACCATAGTGACCACGTTTCATGAGGTCCCGCCTTTTTCTATAGCTGGTGGCTCAGAGACCTGAGAGAATCTGTGGTGTTTGGTGTGTTCAGCTCTGTGGAAGTATTATTTATCCATGTATTCTTTTGTTAATCCTCACCGCGGATAATTTTTCCACTGATTTTTAGAGAGTGGAAGTGGGAGGGCGGGGAGAAACATCGATGTTAGAGAAACCCCAGAGCTGACTTTCTGCCCGTCCCTGCACATTACCTATAAGATCAGAGAGAAGTCTGAATTTAAACTTTGTCTAATCACCACTGACATTCTCCCTTGCCTTTCTTGCCAGGAGAAACGATTGCAGCACTTACAGATGTGAGCAGCTCGAATCACTCAGAACCTGGGGGCCAGATCACAATTTTCACAGACAAAACAGGAGTTATAAAAGCTGCAAGGTTACTTCTTTCTTCCGTGACCAAAGTGTTGTTGCTGGCAGACCGAGTGGTCATTAAGCAGATAATAACATCGAGGAATAAGGTACTTGCCTTTCTGCTCTTTCTATACTGGGTCTTTCAGGATTGTTAAAAAAGCTTTGTGTTTTGGACTTCCAGTCAAGATGGCGGGTAGGTAAACGGGTATCACTCCTCCCACAACCACATCAAAGTTACAACTAGCCCTGGCCAGTTTGGCTCAGCGGTTAGAGCGTCGGCCTGCGGTCCGGAGAGACCCGGGTTCGGTTCCCGCTAAGGGCATGTACCTCGGTTGCGGTTTGTCCCCGGCCCTGGTTGGTCGTGCGGGTGGCAGCCACTCGATGTGTCCCTTCACGTCGATGTTTCTCTCTCTCTCTCCCTTCCTCTCTCTCCCTCCCATGCTATCTGTACAAAAAATGGAAAAATATCCTCGGGTGAGGATAAAAAAAAAAAAAGAAAAAAAAAAAAAAAAAAGTTACAACTAAACTACAGAACAATCATCATTCAAAACTGCCTGAAATCCAGCTGAATGGAAGTCCTACAACTACAGAATTAAAGCAGCATCAAGACTGGTAGGAGGGGCGGCGCCGCGAGGGGTGGAGGCGGAGGCGCGGGCTGGTCCCACACCCACGTGTGGCGGATAAAAATCAGAAGGACACCTCGGCTGGGAAGGTCCTCCCTGACGACTGAGGGGTCCCCGTCCCACACCAGGTGCCCCGCTCAGGGTTCCAGTGCCAGGAAGAGAATCCCCATAACTTCTGGCTGGAAAAACCAGCGGAAACTGAGGCTCAGGGAAGCTGATGCGGCTGGAGCCCCAGGCAGCTCCTTAAAGGGCCCGCGCACGCTCTCCCTCTAAGCTCGGAGGGGAGGCAGCTCGAGGGGCGCCAGAGACATACAGGGAAGAACTGAGCTGTTTGGCACTGGAGCGAGGGCTGGAGAGGGGGCTTTCTCCGGGACAAACGTGCTGTCAGAGGCCTTTGTTCCTTTGGTGAGCTCTTCCCTGGGGCAGCAGACAGCCGCCATATCTGGGACTCCAGTAACCTGGCTCACACTGGTGGCCCCGCCCTGGTGACTGCCTGAGGCCCCGCCCCGCCCCACCCAACTTCCAGGCCCACCCAAGCTGTTGCCACTTGCTTAACCATAGGATTGGCCTGTCTTGGATCCTGCTTCAGGTTTTCCTAAATTCTTTCAAACAAGCAGCATCTGGTCTCAGCTAGCCCCATACCTCGTGTTAAGTAATACATAGAAACAAACACAGGGAGGCAGCCAAAATGAGGAGACAAAGAAACAGGTCCCAAATGAAAGAACAGAACAAAACCCCAAGAAAAGAACTAAGCGAAATGGAGAAAAACCACCTAACAGATGCTGAGTTCAAAATACTGCTTATAAGGATGCTCAATGAACTTAGTGAGAACCTCAGTGAACTTAGTGAGGGCCTCAAGAGCATAAAAAAGGACCAGTCAGAAATGATGGATGCACAGTCAGAAATGAAGGAGGCATTAACTGAAATAAAGAATAATTTACACAGATTTAATAGTAGAGTATGTAAATCCAAGAAGCAAACCATCGATTTGGAATATAAGGAAGCAAAAAATGCCCAATCAGAACAGCAAAAAGAAAAAAGAATTCCAAAAAATGAGGATAGTGTAAGGAGCCTCTGGGACAACTTCAAGCGTGCCAACATTCGCATCTTGGGGGTGCCAGAAGGAGAAGAGCGAGAACAAGAAATCGAAAACCTGTTTGAAATAATAATGGCAGAAAACTTTCCTAACATGGTGAAGGAAACAGACATACAAGTCCAGGAAGCACAGAGAGTCCCAAACAAGATGAACCCTAAGAGGCCCACACCAAGACACATCATCATCAAAATGCAAAAGTTTCAAGACAAAGAGAAAATCTTCAAAGCAGCAAGAGAAAAGCAGTTAGTTATCTACAAGGGAGTTCCCATAAGGCTGTCAGCTGATTTCTCAAAAGAAACTTTGCAGGCCAGAAGGGAGTGGCAAGAAACATTTAGAGTGATGAAAAGCAAGAACTTACAATCAAGATTACTCTATCCTGCAAAGCTGTCATTTAGAATTGATGGCCATATAAAGAGTTTCCCAGACAAGAAAAAGTTAAAGGAGTTCATCACCACCAAACCGTCATTATATGAAATGTTGAAGGGTCTTTTTGAAGAAAAAGAAAATATATGAACAAACAAAATGTCAATGATTACATATCTATCGACAATGGAATCTACAAACAAAATGAACAGGCAGAACAGAAACATTCTCATAGATACAGAGAACATTTTGTTGGTTGCCAGTTGGGAGGGGGGGTTGGGGGAATGGGTGAAAAAGGTAAAGGGATTAAGAAGCACAAATTCATTGCTAGACTGACAAACCTCAAAGGGAAAGGGGTTGGGGGGTGGGAAGAAATAAACCAAAGAACTTATATGTATAACCAATGGACACAGACAATAGGGTGGGAAAAGGCGGGAGGGGGCTGGAGTGGGAAGGAGGGGGTCAATGGGGGAAAAATGAGGAACATCTGTAATACATTCAACAATAAAGATTTAAAAATATAAAAAAAAAAGTTTTGTGGTTTTTTTTAAAGGTTAATTTAAGGTGGTTTGGTAATGCTTGTCTATTTCAGTTGTTTTTAACTCTAATGATCTATAGCTTAAAAGTGATGTTCTGTACCGGTACTTCCTATATGATGTGTGTACTGGCTAAACTTTTTCTTTGTACACTATTTTGTACATATTGAGGCTTATTGGTGAAAACCTTGCCCTGGCTGATTTGTTCAGTGGTTAAAGCATCAGCCTGCGATCAAAGAGTCTTGGGTTCAATTTGGGTCAAGGGAATATACTTCTGTTTTAGTTTGGTTCTGGCCCTGATCAGGGTCATGCAGGAGGCAGCCAATTGATGTGTCTCTGTCACATTGATGTTTCTCTCTATCTCTCTCCCTCCTACTCTGTCTGAAAATAAATGAAAAAATATTCTCAGGTGAGGATTTAAAAAACAAAGCAAAACAAAAACCTTTTGGAAATTTGGAAAGAAAAGCTGCACACCATGACAACGTATGTAGTAGGAACCTAGTTGAGCCTCTCGGGTGTGGCTCAGTAGTGAGAGCATCAGCCCACACACTGGAGTCTTGGGATCAATTCCCAGTCAAGGGCATGTACATGGGTTGCAGGTTCAATCCTGGTCAGGGCACATGTGGGAGGCAACCAATCGAAGTTTCTCTCTGCCATTGATATTTCTCTCTACCCTCCCCACCCTCCTCCCTTCCACTCTCTCTAAAAATCAATGGAAATAATATCCTTGGGTGAGGATTAACACAAAAAAAGAAAGTCAGGGAGTAACAATTTATAAGTTTAAGAAAACATTCAGTCACCTGAAACCACAGTTATCCACACAGACTTTCTCTGTGCAAAGTCTCTAAATATTATTGAATAATTATAAAATGTAGGGAATAGATTTAAACTCTTCCAGTGTCTCAGATAATGGTGTTTCTTGTCACTGGGAAGACAAGGGATATACAGTCACTTCTTGCCGTGGATAATTCTCTAGGCCAAGAGGAGGGCGTCAGTAGTGTTGAAAGGAAAAAGCTACCTGATGGGTGTGGCATGAATCAGAGGTGTAAGTTTAAAGAGAAAAAGAAATTGGAGAGGTGACTGGATCCGGCAGTGCTAGAGGAATAAAATTAACCTTCCCCTCTTTGGCCTTATCTGTGCTAGTTGCCTGGACTTCCTGAGTGGCCAGGGCAGATTAACACGCCAAACATCCATCACATCCTCATTAAAAATAAGTAAACACAGGATATCTGTGTTTTCTTTACCTATCTTGGTCCGGGGAAAACTAATCCAGTAGTGTTATTTTAGAGAAAAGTATTTGAAACTATGTTTCACATCTATTTACTTTTATTTCTAATGTTAGGCATACTCATGGCATTTTCTGTCGCCTCTGCTACAAGTTCATGTCTCTCTTCACCCCTGGCTGCCCAAAGCTTCTTGGCCATTAGTTTATTTAACACAGGCAGTTCCTGACTGATCCACACTGTTTTCCTCCTCCTGAAGTTTCCAAGCCTCCCTGCCCACTCCTCCCTCCACACATACCTTCCTTCCACGTCCCGAGAAGGTGGGCTTTCACAGTTCTGGTCGACTAGACCCTAAAGCTTCTATGAACCATCTCTTATCCTCACCCGCTTCCTGTCCTCCAGAGATTGGATTACTGTAGCCCTACCCATCCTCACCTTCTCCAGAATTTGCTACATACATGCTTTCTTCTTTTGGATATTTTCTATAGTCATTTCTTTTACTCTTTTTCCTTTTAATTTTCAAGTAAGCCAAAGTCTCCCCATCCTGAAAACGAGTCATCCGCTCGATGATTTTCACCTTTGAATCTGCCGCTGCCTCTCTGAGCCCCACTTTCTGTCTTCTCCTCTGACTCCTTCACTTTTTCCTGGAATTTAAGTTTCTCTTTTCCTCTCTCTCCTCAGCCTTGACCTCTCAGTCTCTTCTGCATCTACACCCGATAATAAAATATTCTCTATTTTGCAGGTTCTTGCAACTATGGAAAGACTGGAGAAAGTGCATAGCTTTCAGGAGTTTGTCCAAATATTCAGTCAATTTGGAAATGAGATGGTGGAGTTTGCACATCTAACTGGAGATAGACAAAATGTATGTATTTACCACACTTTAAAGTCATCCAGTACATGCATGTTTTTTTGTGTACATATAAACTTATTTGTTCCTGTCTCACACACTAGGAAAGGTCAGACTTGCCTTTAAGGCTGAACTCTAGTATTTCTGTTTTTGTGAAACTTTCCATTTGACTCTTCAACCAGGGCCCAGGCCAATAAATAAATTATATATACTCACAGTATTTTGTTATATATTTGTTATTGTTTTTTTCTGTAATTATTCTACATTAGATTAATAGTAATAACCCAAGCCATTATTTATTTGCGTTGGCTATGTGTTAGGTACTTAATGTCCGTGATCTCATTTAATTCTCAGAACATCCCTATAAAGTAGATATTGTTATTGGTGTTTTACACATGAGGAAGCTGGACCTGAGAGGATAATAAGCTTTCACAAGGTCACTATTCTGGGAGATTGAGCTGAGTTGTGTCTGATTCTAAAGCCTGTAGTTTTCAAACTAGTCTCTGATATTAGTTCTTTATAGGTCTGTTCCCCAATTCAGACTGTAAGTTCTGAAGTTTAGGAAGGTGGAAGACCATATTATAGCCAGGACTGACTTTTCCTTCTTGGGGTACTTGTGCATGAGTCTATCTTGTCAGCAGGTTAAATATATGATAATCGACCTTTTCTTGAGGTGCTTTGGTGGTCTGGGGCGTGGATTTCCGGTTGTAGCTGGAGTTAAAAGATGGGCATTGGCCTGGAAAGGTTGGCACAAACCAGATTGTGATGCTTCACCTGGTGCTTCTTGGACCATCTGGATTTATGGGGCCTCTGTTTGTCCTGTGGACCAGCCGTCTAAGAGATTGAGATGCCATCTTTTCCCATCCCGGGCCATCACCAGCTACATGTGACATCATATGTGGCTTACACGTGTTGTGTGTGGCATACGCGCTTCATGCGTTGTCAGCCAGACACACAGGTCATTTTGCAAAAAGTGCTGTTCAGTATGTTAAAGACAAAGTAGAAATTTTAGAAGTCACCTCAACTTTTATTTTCGATAGATACTCGTGATGGATGATACTGGCACTTGGGGTGTGACCTTGTGACATGAATTAGCTTTTGGTTCATGGGCAGTTTCTTCTCTATTAAAGAAAGCTATATTGGGATGCCAGTGAATGAGATTGATATTAGAGGGATAACTTTGAATTTACTATAATAATTTACTAAAACAAATAAAAGGCGAATCATTCTCAAACTTTAGGTCTTTGTTATTTGTAAGAAAGGGCTTGTCATCCAACTCACAAATGAAGAAAGACTGGTGTGGCAGGTGAAAATGTTATGTAATTGAAATGTCAGTGTCCGCAAGTAGCATTTTATTGGAACACGGCCATGTTCATTTGAGTATGTATTGTCTGGGGCAGCTTTAACACTATAATGACAGAATGAGGTGATTGTGACACAGCCCATGTGGTTCTGACAGCCTAAAAATGGTAATATATGGCCTTTTATTGAAAATACATGCTGACCTCTGATTTAGATGGTCATAACCAAACTGATATGAAGAGTATTTGGTTCTAGGTTTGATAAGCAATATTCGATACTTCTTTGATAGCACACATTCCATCAAGGGCACTTTGAAGGGAAACCAAAAGAAAAAAATTTAAAATTCATTTCTTGCTTCAGAGTACATAATCTAGTTGGGGAAGATGATATATCTATGAAACATCTTAAGAACATCTCAGAGCAGCAGGTTGGTTAGGTTTAGGACAAACAAACCTCATATTGAGATGAATAAGTACTTAGATGGCATTTATCAGACATGGTCCCTGAAAGAATTGACTTCTATTTTTTTAAATCCTCACCCGAGGATATTTTTCCATCTATTTTCAGATAGATTAGGAGGGAGGGTAGGAGGGAGGGAGGGAGAGAGAGAGAGAGATAGAGAGAGAGAAACAACGTGAGAGACACATTGACTGGTTGCCTCCTGCATGACCCCAACCAGGGCCGGGGACGAACCACAACCTAGGTATGTGCCCTTGACCAGAATCAAACCCGAGACTCAGTGGTTCTCGGGCTGATGCTCTAACCCCTGAGCCAAACCAGCCAGGGCGAGTTGCCTTCTATTTTGAAGGGAATAATAGCCCACAGGTGCTCAGTAAATAAGTCATTTTTATTTAAGTAAAGCATGGGATGATTGTTTCTGGTTAGGAGTGAGGTGTGTCCACACGGGCACGAGAATGTCAGGGGTGGCAGGCCACCAGAATGTGAGCCTCGTGGCAGCTTCCCCCTAGGGCTCAGTCCCTGGCTCTGCCGCCCTTACTGGGGAGCTGTGTCATTTCGCTCTGTTCCGTTCGTGTAGCTAGATTGGAGAGGAGATGTTTTAGAAAAATTTATTGTGTTTTTTACCTCTCTGTCACTTTTTTAACCATGTTACTTAATTGTTGAGTATTGTCATTGTCAAGCAAATGATTTTTCAAGAAATTTGATTGTTCCCATGATCCTAGTGTGCTCAGTGATTTTATTTCCTTTTTAGGATCTGAAAGATGAAAAGAAAAAGGCAAAAATGGCAGCAGCTAGGGCCGTTCTTGAAAAGTGTACAATGATGCTTCTCACAGCTTCAAAGGTAAGTACATTTTTTGTTTCACTGTGTTGTAAATTAGAGAACCTGATTAAGTGCATCTAATTTATATATTTTACATTTAAGAAAAGGTCAAAGTGATAAATTGGAATATGGGCTCTCATAGTTTAACCCCAGGTATTCTTTAGCAAGAATGCTAACTTTCTTCCCCAGTTCCAAACAGCAATTAATCTACAAGTCAGCTTTGCTTGAGCAACTAAGCAGGAGATGGTGTATTAGGTGCTGGGAATGGAGGCCTGTCCCACACGGTCACTGCCTGCGGGTTTTGCCAGTCTCATTGGGGAGCCAGCACATGTGCTTCTGGCACAAGCTAGGCAACTTAGAATCTGTTAAGTAACAGTGGAATATTAAGTCAGCCCTTTGTTGATTCTGTAAATTCATATCTCTAATTCCTTATCCTACTTTAAACACAATTGTCAATCAAGAGCTTGTAATTCCAAACAGCATTTGGCCAGCAAATTGGTACAATTCAAGAATGAACAAGTCAACATCTCATTAACAGTTTCTTTAGAATTGCCTTTTTCGCTCAGAATATTTACTTTGCTGAGATCAGTAAAGCCACAAAAACAGATTTCACTGGAGCCCACTTAGAAGCCTCCCTTTGTATCTGCCCCCTGAGTGGTTTTTCGTTTACATCACTTTTTAAAAGTCAAACATACATCCACAGTCATATATCACCTGCTCATTTTTCCTCATTCTTTTTTAGTTCTTACACGTGTAAGACAATGTTTAAAACGATTTTTAATTATAATAAAGATACAGATAGGTTACCCCCACCCCAAATTTTAAGTAAACTGATTATTGAAGTATAAAGATACAGTTTTGCACTCTGCCTTTTTCACTTAACCTTGCTATCGCTTTTTACTCATCCTGCTTCCACTTTTAGTGAGGAGAAGCAGCTGGGTGAGCCAGGGACCCGGGAGATTTTGGTAAAGAACCATTTTTATTAGCATGACATGTTCTCTGTAAGATTTTGTGTGTTGGGATACGGATCAAATCTTAAAATAAAAAGCTTCCGTTGTTTTGAAGACGTGTCTCAGGCATCCCAACTGTGAATCGGCCCATAAAAACAAAGACGGCGTATTTGACCGAATGAAAGTGGCATTGAACAAGGTCATTGAGATCGTGACTGACTGCAAACCCAACGGAGAGACTGACCTTGCAGCTATCGGTATTTTCACTGGAATTAAAGAATTCAAAGTAAGAATAAAGAGAATATATTTTGACTCGTTTCTTTCCACTTTAAAGGAGCATTGCTGTATGTAATATCTTTATTTTGTGTAATATTTTAGAATAGATGCTTCACAAAAGCAGATATTTCTCTTTTAAAAGTGTCGAGAGGTACAGACAGTAGTCAGTAACATTTGGCTTAGGGTGGTATGTACAAAGAACACTGGTCTTGGGTTAGAGGAGCTACTCTGGCCCTGGTTTGGCTGTGGCCTCCTGTCATCTCTTTAGAAGTGTGTCCCTAACCAAGTCTTTGGAGGAGTGCTGTACCATCCATGGATGAGGACAGACAGCACACCGTTTCTGCTGGAGTCACTGCTGTTTCCTGGGTGACAGGATTGCTGTTTGGAGATGGAAATAGTAGTAACAGTATTTGTGATAACTACAATTTTAAATGTACAATAATACGTGCTAAAATTTATTGAGCACTTACTCTGTTCTGAGTCCTTCGAATGTATGTACATGTGTAATTCTCACAAGAACTATTGTTCTTATCCCCATAGACTATTTAGAAGACTGAGAAACAGGGATTACGTATATTTACATGCCAGCTTTGGGATTTGGAACTAGCAAATCTGACTCCAGAGTCCATCGTTTTAGGGCGAACTTCTCATCAGAAGTCAGAGAGATGGTGAAGCTGCCCTTTGGGTGAGAACAGTGTCTGAGTCAGGAGGCCCTAGGAAATCAACTAGCACAACCCCGGATTCAGCAGATGGGAGAACCCCTAGGAGATGATCCAATATGCCTGAGGGTTACCACCTCTAACAGGCAGAGCTGTCACAGGGATGGCGTTGTTTTCATCTAACTGCACTTTGACTTTTCAGGCCGATTGTTCTGTAATGTGGTTGTAATTCCAGTGAGGTCCTGGGAGGAGGTGAGAGTAACTTCCACCTGCTCCGCTGCCATCTGGGATCCTCCACTTGGAGGTTTAATTGTGCGAAGGTCTAAGTAGAACAGGGGGTCAAAGAACCTTTATCTTTAGGGGCTGTGCTCTTAATAAATATTATTTAAATCTCACTTTCTTTTTAGGTGGATATTATTATACCCACATCTTTTTAATAACATATTTTAAAAGTTGATTTTAGAGAGAAACATCGATTTGTTGTTGCACTTATTTAAGTATTTGGTGGTTGCTTCTTGTATGTGCCCTGGCCAGGGTCAAACTTGCAACCTTGGTGTATCAGGACAGTGCTCTAACCAGCTGAGCTACCTGGCCAGGCCCTATTATATCCACATTTTTTTGAGGAGAAAAGCTAGTAAGTGATGGAATCCTTCTTTAAAAGCAGGACTCTCTAATCCCAAAGTCCAGAGGTATGATTTTCCAATTCATCCCTCTGGGTTTGTTTATAGGGTCCCTGTCCTGTCCTAAATTCCTTCCCGAGGGGTAAAAAGCTACAAAGGACCGTTCTCTTAGAGTTGGCATTGCTGAAAGGCATCTTAGAGATTATTTTTCTATTCTCTTTTTATAAGGGCTGAGGGGGGAGATGTCCTGTTAAAGGTCAGAGGATAATCAGAGAAACAAGTAGGGTTAGAGCCAGGCCTTTGGCCCCTTGGCACAGCATCGCTGGCCGGGTTGACTCAGGGCAGGGCTGCACCTGTGGCACTGCCCACCGCGCTGGCCGCTGGCCCGTCCACCCCCAGGCATCCGAGGGCAGAGCTGCTGTGGACAGACTCAGTGTCACTGCTAGTGGTTGTCTTTTGGGCATCTTACCTATTTTCTGGTGGAGAAAATAATCTGTAGAGGGAATACTTTGACTGTATTGGTCCTGTGAATATGTGGACAAATCTTCTGCAAGCGTAAAAATGAATGGCCTTTAAAAAAATAACTACTGCCCTGGCCGGTTTGGCTCAGCGGTTGGAGCGTCGGCCTGCGGTCCGGAGAGACCCGGGTTCGGTTCCCGCTAGGGGCGCGTACTTCGGTTGCAGTTTGTCCCCGGCCCTGGTTGGTCGTGCGGGTGGCGGCCGCTCGATGTGTCCCTTCGCGTCGAGGTTTCTCACTCTCTCTCCCTTCCTCTCTCTCCCTCCCATTCTATCTGTACAAAAAATGGAAAAATATCCTTGGTGAGGATAAAAAAAAAAAAAAAAATAACTACTCAGTTCCTATTTAAAAACACATCTGTGTTCTTGCTAAAGGGAAAATAAAAAACCTTAACAGAAATGGAGTGATCAGCATGGCTGATTTTTAAATTTTTTTTAGTCCTCACCCGAGGACATTTTTTTTATATATATATTTTGTTCAGATAGAGTGGGAGGGAGAGGGAGAGAGAGAAACATCGATGTGAAAGGGACACATTGAGTGGCTGCCACCCACATGACCCAACCAGGGCCAGGGACAAACTGCAACCGAGGTACACGCCCTTAGTGGGAACCAAACCCGGGTCTCTCCGGACCGCAGGCCGACGCTCTAACCGCTGAGCCAAACCGGCCAGGGCGGCATGGCTGATTTTGATGTTGTAATTCTGTTCAAATTCTCAAATTCTCAGATCCTCATTGTCAACTCCATACCTCACTTTTTTGTGTGTGATACATGCCCCTAGCGGGAACTGAACCCAGGACTCTCTGGTCCACAGGCCGACGCACAACTGCTGAGCCAAACCGGCCAGGGCCATACCTCACTTTTATCCATGTTCTTTCATAGCCTAAAAAAAAAATCCTGTCCACATGTGATGGCGTGATGCTGAAGGAGAAGGGGCAGCAGGCAGGCAGTCCCCTGTGGCTCTTGATCTTCCTAAATCTTCATATTTCCCTGGGCCACCTGGAAGGGTTAACTGTGCAAGGACTTGAGAGTGCCAAACGAATGTAAGCCGTTCTCGCCAGCACCTTCGTTGTGACCAAAGTCCCGGTCATCGTGACTTGCTGCCGCTTGGCCCCTGTTGTTCCTGGGATGTATGTCACTGGCTCGAGGTTACAGAAGGTTGAGGCATAGCGCATCTTAGAAAACGGAGAGAGAGGGACACTGTCTGCCACATAGTGGAGGAGCTCTAAGCACCAGGTGGCCGAAGTGAACGTGGGCGTGAGACAGACTGTTAAAGAGGGACATAAAGGCAGGACCCTAGAGGATTTTGTGTTTTACAATAGAAGTCTGGGCTTGATTTAATAGGTGGTGAGGAGCCCATTAGAGGGAGGTGGCAATATTAGAAGTTTTACCTTTTAAGAAAGATTATACAGGCCCCCTGGTAGAGGATCTTTTGGTCAGGGAGGTGCTCATGGGTACCTGAGACAACATGTAGGGAGGCCAATCGGATGACTGGTTGAGTTTTGCTGAATTAATTAAGGAAATTGAATCCTTTCCAAGTCTTTCCCATATCCTCCACCCTCCACAGCCTTCCTCCGGGCTCAGTACATATTCTTTTTGGGGTGTGACATTTTCTAGGACTTTGCCTCGGAGAAAATGGAGGCAGATCCTTTACCTGGAGGTGGGCTCATTTCCGCTCCGGGTTGCTGCGTGGCCACGCTCTTTCCTCCTCACCCTCACTGACCTGACGGGGATGCTGGGTCACAGCGACGGGAGCAAGGCTCTGCGTGGCCACGCTCTTTCCGCCTCACCTTCACTGACCTGACGGGGATGCTGGGTCACAGCGACGGGAGCAAGGCTCTGCGTGGCCACGCTCTTTCCGCCTCACCCTCACTGACCTGACGGGGATGCTGGGTCACAGCGACGGGAGCAAGGCTCTGCGTGGCCACGCTCTTTCCGCCTCACCCTTCACTGACCTGACGGGGATGCTGGGTCACAGCGACGGGAGCAAGGCTCTGCGTGGCCACGCTCTTTCCGCCTCACCCTCACTGACCTGACGGGGATGCTGGGTCACAGCGGCGGGAGCAAGGCTCTGCGTGGCCACGCTCTTTCCGCCTCACCCTCACTGACCTGACGGGGACGCTGCGTCACAGCGACGGGAGCAAGGCTCTGCGTGGCCACGCTCTTTCCGCCTCACTCTTCCTGACCTGACGGGGATGCTGGGTCACAGCGACGGGAGCAAGGCTCTGCGTGGCCACGCTCTTTCCGCCTCAGTCTTCCTGACCTGACGGGGATGCTGGGTCACAGCGACAGGAGCAAGGCTCTGCGTGGCCACGCTCTTTCCGCCTCAGTCTCACTGACCCGACGGGGATGCTGGGTCACAGCGACGGGAGCAAGGCTCTGCGTGGCCACGCTCTTTCCGCCTCACCCTCACTGACCCAGCGGGGATGCTGGGTCACAGCGGCGGGAGCAAGGCTCTGCGTGGCCATGCTCTTTCCGCCTCACCCTTCACTGACCTGACGGGGATGCTGGGTCACAGCGACGGGAGCAAGGCTCTGCGTGGCCACGCTCTTTCCGCCTCAGTCTCACTGACCTGACGGGGATGCTGGGTCACAGCGACGGGAGCAAGGCTCTGCGTGGCCACGCTCTTTCCGCCTCACCCTCACTGACCTGACGGGGATGCTGGGTCACAGCGAGGGGAGCAAGGCTCTGCGTGGCCATCGGTGACTCTGGAGCAAGGTGTCCTCCTGGGTTAGTGGAGAACATAGTCACCCCTGGAGGCTGCATGTCCCCTGAGCCCTCAGACAGGGAAAGGCACGGCTTGGGTCTTCTGGGCACTGCCAGAAGTCGCAGTCCGTTTGGGTTAGGTGACGCTGACTCTCGTGGATGTGTGTCCTCTCTGTTCTTAGGCGAACATTGAAGCTCTTCCGGAGAACCTTTATTTTCAGTCCAAAGAAAACCTTTCTGCCACATTGGAAGCCATCTTGGAGCGGACAGAGGACTTCACCGACTCTGCCTACACCAGCCATGAGCACAGGGAGCGCATCCTGGGCCTGTCGGCTCACGCCAGGCTGGAACTCCAGCAGTTCACTTCCGTGTGGATTCAGGCCGTAAGAACTCATTTCTGTCGGAGTCATTTGTATCTAGTAGCTTCCCCCTAAACTTTGAGAGCTGTGGGAGCCAACCCCATCAGCAGGAGCATGAAGGTGGTCCAGAGGGAGTCACGGCTGTCTCCTGCCCGTCTCCCTCCTACTTGGCCAAAGTGTCCTTGCCCTCCATCCCCACGCACAGGACTTACCATCCCCAGGCCTGTTTCTCATCCTGGCCTGTCTGGGTTCTGTGCCACCGTCACCATCACTCATTCACCCTGTTGTCCCTCCTCTTCTGCCAAACTCCCCTGGGAACATCCCTCCCCAGAATGCTTTTTCAGAGTGAGGAGCAGAGGAGGAGACCCTGCCTAGAGGTTCTTGGGACCTGTGTCTTACCGCCGGAGCCATTCCAATGGGCCCAGTTCTCACTCTGAGGACAGCCGGTGTACAGGCCCCGTGACTTAGAGAATGTACTGAGGTCTAGATGCAGTGAGGACGAGGGTAGATCCAGTTGGCCCATGAGAGATTCCTCACCCTTGCACAGGCTCCTAGTCTGAGATTGCTGGGCAGACCCTTAGAGCCTTCCAGAGGCTTGTGGTGCTGCAGCTTACGACACCGGCGCTTCTCTGGGCGATTCTCTAGGTCAAGATGGACAGAGCAGGTCAGCAAGGGAAGCACGTGCCCTGTTTCTCATAGAGGGTGGGCGACAACGTTGAGAGATGGGCCTGGGATGTCTCTGGCACCTTTATGTATTCCTTAGCCCTCGGCATGTCGAGATGGTGTTGAACATGGTTTTCAACACATAGCACAGAGGGAGCAAAGCTGGAAGTCTTCAGCGAAAGCGTGGGCAGTGCAGATGAAGGGTGGATGAGGCTGAGAGTGTGCTGGGCACAGCAGAGTGCACTTCCTGGCGAGCTGACGTAGGAGTGGAGAGAGATACGGATCACAGATGTCTCTCGTACTTGGCATCACAGCTTTGCCGTCGCTCACATTCGCAGGAAAATTAACCCAGGGTGGACTGGTGTCAGGGGTGAAAGCAGTGTTCTGCATTTAGTTTGAATGATCTATGTGATAGCTAATCTGAAATATAGATGGCTTCGGTGTTCAATTTTAAGCCCAACATGCAGGGAAAAGAGTTCCTGCGAGGAAACGCTGTCTGTGTTGGGAATCAGCACTTCGGTTCGCAGTCGGCACCTTTCACAGTTTCACAACACTGGCATCTCCGGTGGTACACGCCAGCCGGGCTGTCCACTCATTCACTGACTTCAGCGGTTGCTACCACGTGCCTTTTATAGGCCAGGCCCCGGACATCTAAAGATGAAGGAGATGACATCTTCGCCTGCGAGAATTTTGCAATGTGGACACGTGTGGGAAGGGGAGAGGCAAGTGCAAAAAGCCTTGTCAGTGTCCAGAGAGAAGGCACAGGCTGTGTGCTGAGAGGGTTTGGAGGCCGGTTTCTATTTCGGGAGAGGAATCAGGAGGGCTTCTTGAGGATACTGACATTTAACTGTAATTTATTCATTCAAATAACTGAACACTTACTCCCTTCCATTTGCTGGGCCAGGTGTTGTGGATCCAGTGGTGAACAGAATAAAGGTGGCCCCAGCCTTCATGGAGCTTACCAAGGCCTGGTGGGACGTAGACATTAAACAGACAAACTCATCACAAGGAACGCCGAATGGCATGCTGGGATGGTGCTCAGAGAGACCAGAGTGGGTCAGAGGAGGGTCTGATTTAGATCGTGTGAGCCGAGAAGGCCTTTCTGAGAAAAAGACATTTATGTGAGGACTTGAAGAGGAATCATGTTTGAGTTTTAACTAGATCAAGAGTGATGAGATGGGCATCCCAGGCATAAGATAAAATAGCTTACTTTTAGACATGATGAATGTATTGAAGAAAATTCTATTTTAGAAATTAACCTGTATATAGAGAGGGAAAATATTACTAAATACTTAACATTCTGTTTTTCTATGCTAACCACAAACAGGTGAATTTTTAAAATCAACTTTTCTTATAGCGCACAAGATGAGGTTAACATTTTATTATAATTTATAGTTAAGTAAAATTGGCGTCTCCCGTTGAAAATGATGAGGTAATCCTGCATATGTACTTCTTTACATTTGTAGCAAAGCAAGAGAACAAAAAGCATCGCTGAAGACCTGGAACTCAGCATCCTGACAATCAGCCACGGCCTCGACGAACTGAAGAAGGAAGTGAGTATGGTTGGAAATCTAGCCTCTTTGAAGCCTTTGCGAATTTTCATGGTGTGCGTGGCGTGTAGGAAATGCAGTGATGTGTCCCTGGGTGCAGAAAATGATGGTGACAGTTTTCCTTTGCCCTCGCTGTTTTGAAGCCACCGCTTTGTCTGAGCCATCGGTCTCACAGCTTGTACGCAAATGTTCACGGCAGCTTTATTCACAATGGCCCCAGCCTGGAAGCTGCCGAGGATGGCATCAATGGGAACCGATCAGTGAATTTTGGTGTCACTCAACCAAATATTATTGAGCAATAAAAAGGAACAATATTGAGCCCTGGCTGTTTTTGCTCAGTGGTTAGAGCATCAGCCTGTGGCCCTAAGAGTCACAGGTTTGATTCTGGTCAAGGGCACGGTTCGGTCCCCGGCCCTGGTCGGGGTCATGCAGGAAGCAACCAATCGATGTATCTCTCTCACGTTGATGTTTCTCTCTTCCTCTCCCTCCCTCCTACTCTATCTGAAGATAAATGGAAAAATATCCTCAGGTGAGGATTAAAAAAAAAAGGAACAATATTAATACAGGTAACAATATGGATGTCACAATGTTACACTGAACATAAGGAGCTGGGAACAGGAGGGTGTGTGTGTATGTCTCTATCTCTGTCTCTTCTCTATCTCTATTTCAATATATCTATATATCCAAAGATAGATAGATGTAGATATAGATATATAGCTATTTGGAACAAATTCTTGAAAAGTCAAAACTAATTTATAGTGACAGAAATCAGATCAGGGGCTGCCGGGGGTCAGGATTTGGGGGACATTTACTGTAGAGGGTCACGGGAGAACTTCTTGGGGTAATAGAAATACAAATATTGATTGTGGTGGTAGGTATGTATGTTTGCCACAACTCGTCGAACTGTACTCTTGGTACATTTCATTGTATATAAATTATACTTTAATAAAGTTGATTTATAAAAAAATGTTCTTTTGGTTCCCAGTATGAAAACTTGGTCCTCCCATGACTTACCTGGTCACTCTCAGGTCAATGAAAGTTACTTTAAGACAGGGGTTTGCAAACTACAACCAGGCTGCCTGTTTTTCTAAGTAAAGTTTTGGGGCCACAGTCCCTCATTTGCTTTTGTCTACTGTTTTTTTCCACCAACAGCAGCATTGGGTAGTTGCAATAGAGATTGTGTGACCTGAAAAGCTTAAGCTATTTACTCTCTGGCCCTTGACAGAAGAAGTTTACCGATCTCTGCTTTAAGTCATAAAACACAATCTCAGTTCAAAAAGGAGAATGTTCACTCCAATATATTGTTATTTAAATTGTAGGACTTGTCTCCTGTTCTCCAGTCCTGAGCCCCAGCCAGGGCTTTGGGGACAGCATCGTCTCCTGTCTCTTTGCACACCCCTCATCCCTCAGGACGTATTTTCTGTTGCTGATCTTTGCCAGGTGTGGCCCAGGGAGAGAGGACAGGAAGTGGGGAGGCAAACGTTCTTAGTGACTGGTGCCCTTGTAAGATGCTTTGGCTGAGTTGATGCTTAAAGCTGACTTTCTCTCCCATGCACACTTGAGGCTCTCCTGTTGTCCCCCTCTCCTCCCCTTTCTACAAGTCCTATGTCACATCTTGCCCTCTTCGTGGGTGTGCCTGCAGTGGACTCACAGTGAGCACCATCGGCTCTCCAAGCAGGTCCTCCTCCAGAAAACCTCTCTTCTCCCTCATCTCTAATTTCTTGATTCTTGTATAGTTTTGAAGTAGGTTAAGGGGTCAAGAGAATGAAATTGGGTTTGGGATGTCTCTTTTATCAATTATATACCTGGTGTTTCACATTTTACCTGGTACCAACCTCTACTGAAACCTTCATTTTAACATCCTATTAAACATGGAAGGATATGGTTTAAAAAAAAAAACCTACCCATTTTTTCCCCCGCCTATTCAATTTTAACTGAACTATTGTTAGAAATGTGACTATCAGAAGATTTCTTACCTCTGAAATGGGTATAACAACATCAACCTAGGATTTTTGTAAGAATTAAGGGAGATAATGTCTATAAAGCGGTTGTTGGTACATTGTCCTTCCTCCCTCAGGGTTGGTAATAAGTTGTCTCTAGATCCATTTGTAAAATGTACGTGATCTTGGATGAGTTACTCGATCTGTTTTGTCGTCTGTAAAATAAAGGGTTGGCATTAAGTATTCTCTAAGGCCCCAATGGCTAAACAAAATCTTTTAGAATTCTCATGTGGCATTTTGTTTCCAAAAGAAAGTGCGTTTTAATGTCTTTGTTTCTGACTGTAATTATTCTCACTTGATTGCATGAATTTGGACTACCTATTGTTAATTTTGTAGAAAGTCCTGTAATTTGAGTTGACATTGGATTACTTCCAAGGGGAAAAACACTTCATTCAAATAGGCTTAATTCAAGGTCAGATTTTTTTTCTGGGGACAGTGTTATTAAAAGTGATCTTTCTGGAGAACCCAAAATAACCTGTCACTTTTTTTTTTAAGCGGGATAAGGAGAAGATTTTGGAGTTAATAGGACCCAAAGATATCCAGTGTGAATGAGCCATGTTTAAAATCCACTCCAAAGTCCAATGTAACCTTGGGGGTTGTTATCCTTTTATGTATCATTTCTCCCATGACCCAAGTGTTAAGAGTAAAGCTATGGTTAACAGCCATAGATAGACTGTAACCCGGATGAGGGACGGGGTGTGTCCTACTTGTCATGTGGGTCCAAGCTCTAATCCAGTGCCTGCTATGATACAGGTATTTAAATAAAATGTTGGAGAATACCTAATTGACTGCATCCCACATTGACACCTTTTCAAAAGACTCACTCATGATCACAAACTACCAACTGATTTTTGTTCATAATACTTTGAATACCATACTATTAATCCTGCTCTATTCCTCACTAACTTTTTAAAAAATTATTTTTATTAATTTATTTTTGTTACAGATGTTTCTCCTTTTTCCCTCATTCTCCCCATCCCCAGCTTTGTTGTCTATGTCCATCGGTTATGTGTACATGCATGTAAGTTCTGTGGTTTAACTCCCACCCCGCTGACCCCCTCTACTGAGGTTTGTCAGTCTGTCCCCTACTTCTGTGTCTCTGGGTCTATTTTGTTCATCAGTTTGTTTTGTTCATTGTATTCCACAAATAAGTGAGATCATGTGATATATGTCTTTCTCTGCTTGGCTTGTTTTACTTAGGATAATACTCTCCAGGTCCCTCCATGTCGTCTCAAAGGATAAGAGATCTTTCTTTCTTACAGCTGCATAGTACTCCATTGTGCATATGTACCACAGCTTTTTTATCCATTCGTCTACTGACGGACACTTGGGCTGTTTCCAGATCTTAGTGATTGTAAATAGTGCTGCTATGAACATAGGGATGCATATATTCTTTCTGATTGGTGTTTCAGGCCTCTTAGGGTATATTCCTAGAAGTGGGATCACTGGGTCAAATGGCAGTTCAATTTTTAACTTTGTGTATTCCTCACTAACTTTAAGAGTAGCAGAAGCATGTTTTATGGTAAGAGGCGCTGTGCGGGAAAGAGTTGATTGACAGCAGAACAAACAATGGACCAGGCTCGTCTGCCAGGATGAGGAGTTCCTTTCCCACAGACGGCATTCCTGCAGACACAGGGGACTCAGGGATGCTCGCATCACCTGGCCCAGGTCTGCACAACTGCGACCACTGCCACAAGGAGCTGGACTCTTCCCCTGAGGTTGCTGCTCTGTGGTGTTTGAAGTGATTCTGAGGCGCTCGGTTACAAAATCTCACGGTTTGTTGTCTTTCTGTCATCACCCCTCACCCCACATCTGCAGCTTCACAGTACAGCAACTCAGCTGGCGGCAGATCTGTTAAAATACCATGCTGACCACGTGGTTCTGAAAGCATTAAAACGTACTGGAGTAGCAGGAAATTTAGAAGGGTTGGCTGAATATGCCTGTAAATTTTCCGAACAGAAAGAACAGCTTGTCGAGGTGAGTGATCGGTTTACTTGTTCAAGAAATGGTGGTTTCGTGATAGCCGCACCATCATCAGAGAATGTTAATGCAAATAGTTTTTGGGTAACTTATGTGAGCATTTTCTCTCTCTCCTTTGTCATTCTAAAGGTATTAGTTTATCTGTTCTGTTCTTAACAACCATCTGGCTTCTAAAACAAAGCAACCAAAATTGCTAGAACCCACAAATATGCTTCTTAATCTTCTCTTCCTTATTCTCTCAGAGAGGTTAGACTTTGAGTAGGGCAATGGAGATACACTGTGTGACCTTGTTTCTGTCTGAATCTGTGGGGTCTCAGCAGGAAAGAGATGACACACTTAAATTAAGGTCATTTAAAGAGGGTTTAATAAAGGAGCTATTTACAATAGCATAGACAGGGTGCAGGGGAGACCACGGGAATGCAGTAAGAGGGGTTAGTGATAGAGCTGGGACCACCTCTAAGCCCAAGTCGATGGAGAGTGAGTGGTTACTGGAAACTGGAAGGGCATTGAGTCTTCTAGAGAGGCACGTAGAGAAGGGATTTTAGGACTAGACACAGAGACAGTCCAAGGTGACCCTGCAGGGAAAGAACATGAGCAGAAAGGCCCTTACTCTCCTCATCCCTGCTGGTCTGTTGCTGGGACGTCCCATTGGCCAAACATATCTGCAGACCATGTTGGTCAGTGTCCCAGGACAAAAGCAGGTTTGAGAGAGGGGAGTGGATATGGAGGGACAGAGAGAAGACATCCGGTACAATCTGCCTTCTCTGAAGCTATCCTGTTCTTCCCAAGTCCCTGTCATGTGTCCCTGGTGCTTTGCCTGCCACTCTGTTATAATTTCAATGGTTAATTGATATTCTAAGCCTTCCACCTATTGAGAATGTCAGATGCTTGATCTGATAGTAAAATATATACTTAACCCGTGTGTACCTTGTATGTAAAAGGTATGCCTTAGGCAACATGCATATAAATGCTCAAATCAACCATCTAGCTGTCTGTAGATGATCTGATATACCCTGCTCATCAAATCTCAAAGACTAATGGCTGAAGCAAGCTGTAGATCAACTGGACTCGCTTCCTGTCCATTACTTGATTATATCTGAAAACTGCTAAGGAGCGTTCTTAAAATGAGTCTAGATATATCCTTTTTAAAATAGTTTTGATGCTGTTTTGTTTGTAAGCCAAATATTATGACTGTATTCAAACTTGCTAATTATAGGAACCCTGAAGCAAATCTTTTTAAAAGATGAAAAAATATTTTTTTCTAATTTTCTGTTTTAAGTCTCAAGGCTTTCAATAATTTTTGCTGATACAGGCTCCCTACTCATTACGTTGGTCTTGCCTAATCCAGTGTTATCGCCAGTGAAAGGTGTGTTAATTAACTGACCATGAAGCAAAGTGGTTTTTATGGACAGATAGAATGTGTAGCTTTTAGTAATTGTTCTAGTTTAGCCCAGAGACTTTGGGCAAGTCACTTCTCTGAGCCAAGTATCTTCATACATAAAATGTGTGGGCAGTGCTAGATCCTTTCAAAGACTCCGCCTGGTTCCAAGGTGTGACCACCTTGAGCGATCAGATAGGAAGTAAAAATAATACACCTTGTTTGTTCCTACAGAATCAGTTGGTAACCAATATAGTATTAATTTCTCATTGTTGCAACACTTTATTTTTATGGGTTTTAATGTCCATATGAATTATAAAATGAGACTGTCTTGTGAAGAATGAGAATGTGGAAGTTGAGCTGTAGAAATGCTTTCTTGCAGACTTGTCGATTGTTGCGACACGTATCTGGGACGGAACCTCTGGAAATAACCTGCGTCCATGCAGAGGAGACATTTCAGGTGACTGGCCAACAGGTATGATCAACAGCAGATTGTTCCTTCTATACTAAGTCTTGTCTGAGTATCCTAACAAATTGTGTGCATGGATAATAAAGTGGTTTGCATAACTACAGGCCAGATCTACGGAGAGAAAGGCTGATACTGGAATTTTCCTAGGTAGAGTTGCCAGAACATAGCTGACATTCCATTGGGTTATCTGGTCACCTGACAACCTGGAGACTGGCCCACTGAATTGACGTCCTAGTTTACATCTGGTTTAATGAAGCTGTTTACAGTGAGGGTTGTTGTAACATGTTTGAAAAGTAAGCTACCTTTATGTAATAAGCCATATAAATATTCACGTTTCGACTCAGCAATTCCTAAGGACCTAAGGAGATTAAAAACAACAAAACAATGTCTGTTACAACATTACTTATAATCAGATTTCATTGGAAGCAAAATAACTGTCTTAAATTGGGTAAATAATATGACTTAAATGAATACTGATAACTAGAATTAGCAACATTGAAATTATATACAATGTACTTATATAAGAAAATGAATCTATGGGAATATGCAGAAATGGAAGTTCTTGTGTTTGAGAGAATTGTGAGTTATTTTTTCCTGAGCTCTCTATAATAATTTTCAAAGCCTTTTAAAAATTGACATCCCATTTAATACTGCCCCTGTCAAATCACTGGCAGGGAAAAAGTGAGGGATGGAACTTCCTTTCAAACCCCCACAATACAATTCATCAGGTGTTCTTGTTTCATTTACCGTGGTCAGCCAAAAGGACTTACTCCTAATTGCAGTATTGGAGGTAGATGTCACGCCCCTGGGTTTATAGTTGAAAACTCTGAAAGTGACTTGGAGACAGTGGTGGTGTGTGCCCTCCAGCTGAACCGTGTTGGGTGTTAGAGGACGATGATATGCTCTCCTGTAGAGAACAGTATCAAAGGCTTATCCTGGAAGCAGGAACTACATTGCTATGCGTGGATTTTCAACTGTGCAAAGATCGGCACCTCTAACCCCTGCATGGTTCAAGGGTCAACTGTATACGAGTGACTCTCACCAGTGATCATCTGCTGAACGTTTTATTATACCAGAGGATCTCTGTTTATGTTGTGTTTCCTCAGATAATTTCTGCTGCTGAAACATTGACATTGCATCCATCTAGTAAAATAGCTAAAGAAAACCTAGATGTGTTTTGTGAAGCATGGGAATCCCAAATTAGTGACATGTCAACGTTGCTAAGAGAAATCAATGACGTGTTTGAAGGAAGACGAGGTGAGAGACTGTCCACATATGGAAATGTGTTATTATTTTAATGTAACTATTAGTTCTTTAATTTCAAACTTCAGATGCAAAATAAATTATCTTGTCATATCCCAATTGATCTTTTTTATAGTAAAATATCTTCCACAAAAAATTATGAAGGTATTTGTCCTTCATTTAATATCTGAGCAGTAAAGTTTATTGTACAAAGTACAACGTAGTAGATTTCTTTTCTATTAACATTCTAGTTTTCCTATTGAAATTAAGTCATTGTATATTACGTTTAAATTGTTTTTTAGTTGCAGTACAAATTTCTTCTGCAACACAGTGATTGTCTGATTTAATTTTACTAATTTCATAATGAAATGAATGTAGTTATTTGATTTTTTAATTGCTTTCCTTGCACTTGAATGGAATCTTTTTCCTTGATCACTACCTAATCTTGGAATATTTCCTACGGTGGGTAAGTTCATTATTTCTACAACATGTAGAATAGCACAGTACAGTGTGCAGGAAGGCATCATTTTTACTTTTTATTTTAACATCACCTGGGAATTTTGTTTATTTCCCTTTGTTCTCTGTGTCCTGTTATTTATGTTTGTGTTTATATATATATATATTTCCCTTCAAATGGCTTCTTTTAGCGTCAAGCATGCTTAGTTTTTAAAGTAAAATGGCATTTAAAGTTACAAGAACATCAAATTACATATTTTTACTGAATATGAACATTTAATCATTTCATGTTTTTTAAAATGTTCATTTAGAATCATCGCTGATATGCTTAAAAACCAGGGAATGGTAGACTTTGTAGATATAACATAATTTATAAAGTACAATAAAGGTTTGTCCTTCTTCTACATTGAGAGATTTCTGTGATAGCTGGTCTGAATGGCATACCAGTTCGATGCTTTGATAAACTATGTACAGTGACATGGGTTTTTATGTGAGACAAGTTTCACATATTCAAAGGAAAGTGATGTAGCTGATCCGCACATACAGAAGGATCACGTTGCCATACGACCTGTTTAGCAGAGGAAGAGAAGTAGCCTCTCCAGCCTTTCTTAGCACGAGCACCCACTACGGATAGGCCAGACTTGAAAGAGGAAAAGTCATGACTTATTTTTAGACTATGTGGTCACTGTGGTTTCTTTTCCTTTCAAGCTGGGTATTATGTAAATGCCTCTTCTTTAGGTTTGGGTAACCTATCCAAAAAAATTCAGATTGCCCCGGCCTGTGTGGCTCAGTGGTTGAGCATGCACGGAGAGGTCCCTGGTTCAATTCCCAGTCAGGGCACATGCATGGGTTTTGGGCTCGATCCCCAGTAGCGGGGGCATGCAGGAGGCAGCCGATCAATGTTTTTCTCTCTCATGGGTGTTTTTTTCCCCCCCCTCTGTCTTCCCTCTCCCTTCTTCTCTCTCTAAAATCAATAAAAACATATTTTTGGGGAAAAAATTCAGGATTACCTTAACCTTCTTAGGGCTGAACAGAAATTCCTTTTTAGGAGAGAAAAACTCAGCTGCATTTGATCAATGGGACACTCACCATTTAACTGCTAAAGACATCAGAAGACAGTGTGATGTGGGGTTGAGGTAAAATAGGTTGATTTTGTGGACTGCCTTTCTTTTCTTTAACAAAAATTTGTTTTCTTTATTGTTTTTTTTTAGAGAGAGAGCAAGGGAAAGGGAGAGAGAGAGATAGAAACATTGATGAGAGAGAACAGCGATTGGCTGCCTCCTGCATGCCCCCCATTGGGGATTGGGCCCACAACCTGGGCATGTGCCCTGACCAGGAATCGAACCTGTGACCTCTTGGTGCATGGGTCGATGCTCAACCACTGAGCCACACTGGCCGGGCTCTTTCTTTATCCTTGCTTTTTATCATGAATCTCATAAGATTAGCTTCTTCCACGAAGTCCAACTCCGAGTCAGCAGTTACTGATTGGGTGGAGTCCAGTGTCACGGCGTTGCTCTTCTGTTCTGCATGGTGATGACCACCCTGCCGGTTGCCTTGCCCCTTCACACTGCTTGCCATACAAAGGACAGGGTATTCTTTCGATCCTGACGTCTCTCTGCTGGTGATAGCTCATGTTCTAACTGTTACCGAAAAGCCTTTGCTGTACTCTAGCCACCTGTGTTTGGCTCTGCGTACCTTGACTCTCATAACTGGGACAATTATAAAATGTATTTTCAAGTATCATTTAGCCAACCTATTAAGTGGCAAACAACATGCTAAGCAATGGCAAAGAGCCATTAGTGTTCTCCTACTTGAAGTCAATCTGAGAGTTGGGTCATTGTCTTCTCTACTCAAGACACTCAGATTTCACAGTAGGGCCTCCTGGCATTGTTTTAAGAACTCAAAAATCAATATTTGTCTTCTGGCCCTTCTGTCTTTTCACCTAAACCTCCAGGGAGGCCATAGTCTTCATATTAGAAGGGACCAGGTAAAAAGACGTCACTTTCCCTTGGTGATGAGTATGTATCAGCATTTAGAACTTGAGATTATTTTAGACAAAAAAATGTCCAAAAGAAGCCTTCTCTTGTAGCTTGCAGATTCTATCTCTCCTTTAATGAAGATGAATTTCCTTGGTTTTGTTTGACCTATTTTTCTTTTTTTAATTAATTTTTTTATCCTTACCCGAGGACATTTTTTGCATTTATCTTCGGATAGAACAGGAGGGAGAGAGAAAGAGAAACATCGATGTGAGAGAGACACATCCACTGGTTGCCACCCACATGACCATAAACTGGGGGCCAAGGACAAACTGCAACCAAGGTACGTGCCCTTAGTGGGAACCGAACCCAAGACTCTCTAGTCCGCGGGCTGATGCTGTAATCGCTGAGCCAAACCAGCCAGGGCTGTTTGACCTATTTCAGAGTTCACGTGACTAAGCTCAGTTTTTAAGGATGTGTGTGGTAGCCCTGTTTCACAGACCTGCATGGAATTTATCACGTGGTAGGTTGGATGCGTGGGGTCCTGGTCACGGAAATGGGGAGTACAGGAAGAGGAACATGCTTGGGATTAAATACAAGCGTATTTGGGGGAGGCAAGAGTCTGGAACAAGGAAGCGATCCATTCAGACAAGAGATGATAGGGCGATGATAGTAGACATGAGAATTGGAGTACTGATATGAGGAGAATATTACAAATAATATTGGTAGGATTTGGTGATTAATTGAATGTAGAACTAAGGGAGGGTTTGAGATTGGCATGTAGGTTTGGATTAGAATATTTCAAGCCTACTGCTGAGGTTTGCCGATAATCTGCCTATGTTTCAGTGGTTAGGAATTCATTTTCAGTGGGTCTGGGACATAGATTTTGTTTTCTGATTCATGATGTCACACAGAGCCCCTCGAGAGCCAAAGAAACGAAATGAATTTCTAATAGGAAATAATGTAGCGCATCTTCAGTGAAACAATGAGGCTTATATGTGCTTGGGGAAATTGTTTTATTTTGTAGAGATGCAGGGAAGCTCTGAATATTGAAAATGGGAGTAATATTTCTCAATTAGGTTCTCATGAGAAATCACTTTGGTACTCTCATAAGATGAGAGGGCCTTCAGAAATTAAATGTGAACTGAATTTATCTTGCAGTGTAAACTCAGAAGTAAAGGTGGCACAGTCGCGGATTTGATTTAGGGAGTAGTAAATGAAGGATTTAGTGCTTTGAAAATAATTCTGTAAATCGAACTGTACCAAGGATGTTTTCCCTAAACATTTGTGTTTTCCAATTACTTCTAATGTTTATAACGTGTTTTCATCAGAGACAACCTCTTTAATTTGATGTAATGTCTAAACATAATTGAGTCAATATGTTCTTGCTCTGCTTTGAATCAATGGCAATCATTAGACTTGCATGAAGAATACTATAAAATTATACAATGATTCAGATTCATCTTTTTGTTTTGTATTTTATCAACTTCCTGGGTATATTAAATTTGAGGGGAAAGGGGACAACTTTGCCTACAGAGCATTTAGAGGAAAATGATCTGAAGAATGATCAATTTTGCAATGATCTTCAAATTTGAAAAACATTCTGAGTCTAAATGAAGGCTTGGAATGGAGAGTGAAACAAAGGGTGTATAAGAGGGCCACAGGTGCCCAGCCAGTGTGGCTCAGTTGGTTGAGCATCATCCCATGCACCAGGAGGTCACCCGTTTGATTCCTGGTCAGGGCATATGCCTGGATTGCTGGCTCCATTCCCAGTAGGGGGCGTGCAGGAGGCGGCTAATAGATGTTTCTCTCTCATCCATTTCTGTTTTATCCCTCTCTCCCTCTCCCTTCCTCTCTCTGTATCAATAAAAACATCTCTTATTTATTTATTTTTTTTAAAAGAGGACCACGGGGATTGGAACTTCCAGGTGATCAGGAACTGGAGAATGGTAATGATGGTAGCAGGCCAGGTTATGTAAGGGCTCTTTATTGCATTTATTTCTCCCTACCTTCTGTTTTTTGTTTTTGGTTTTTTTTTTTAACTCTGTTGTGCCTTGGAGAAATAAGAAATACTGAAACAGTTGGCTTTTTTCTTTTTCTTTTTCCTTTTGGAGAGGAAAGGTGAACATTTCAGGGTCATGGGCACTCTGGGGGATCGTAAGGGTGGATGATACAGGATAGCTCACCTAAGCTAATCGTACTGAAGTAATGGTTATGCCCCCTTCTCTAGCATATTAAGACCACCTTTTAAGGGGTGTTGTGGGCAGGGTTCACATTTTGAATTAAGATAGATGGTGATATAAAAAAAAAAGATAGATGGTGAATTTTGAGGTTCTGAGTGACTTGAAGACGGGTTTCTGGCGATGTTCTTGCAGCTAAGTGCGACACATTTACATCAGGGTTAGGAGACAAGGCATGGGAATGTGCACTTCCTCTTCAAAGTTTCATTTTCCTCTCAAGTCTGAGACCAGAAAACCATTAATAAAACTCCCTTACAGTTCTGACATTACAAAGAAATGATTTGAATCATAAAGTCATTCCCAAGTACCATTAAGGCCAACCCTTAATGAGGGTTCATCTTCAAGGCCAGCGCTGTTCCGTGGAAATAGGGTGCCAGCCATACATGTGATTGAAAAGCTGTAGAAGGCACAAAAAAAAAAAAACAGAAAAAGAAACAGGTGGAATTCATTTTGCTACTGTTTTTATGTAACCTGACATATCCAAAATGCTATTTCAGTTTATAATCACTATTTTAAAATGATTGAGATCTTTTGCATTTTTTTTCTTTATATTAAGTCTTCAAAATCCAGTATGTATTTTATATTTCCAGCAGCACATCTCAACACAGACTGGCCGTGTTTCAGCGGCTCAATAGTCACGCGTGGCTAGTGGATTCCATGTTCAACAGCACAGTTCTAGATGAAATGTTAAATATGTCATGAACAAGTTTTCCCTGTTCATGTAATAGTCATTCCACAAGGAAGGGCATGCTTTAGAGTTTTTACATATTATCGGCTTTGATGAGGTGGAATTGTATGAAGTTTTTGTGTTTGTATTTCGAAATAGCTGAGTATCAGCAATGGTATATGGTTTCACTTAATATATTATAGCTGAACACACTTTTCTTGAAATCAAGAAGCAATGACTGTTCAAATCTTATCTTGAGTTTCCCCCTCAGATACAACAAACTAGCTTTTAAGAAAGATCTATCATTTGTTGTAACCTGACTTTCTAAAAAAGATTTTTCTTTATTGATTTTAGAGAGAGGAAAGGAGAGAGAGAGAGAGAGAGAAACATCGATGAGAGAAAACAATTGGCTGCCTCCTGCATGCCCCCCACTGGGGATCAGGCCCACAACCTGGGCATGTGCCCTGATCGGGAATCGAACCAGCAACCTCTTGGTGCGTGGGTCGACGCTCATCCAGTGTGTCGCACCGCCTGGGTGTAACCTGACTTTCTACATGACCCAGAAGCCAGAAAAATGAAAGGGCAGGAACGAAGTGGGCGTTGCACATCTCCTTTCCTTAGATGTCGTGCTTCCTGCCGCATGCACCTTCCCGGCCGAGTCTGTTATTTGCTCTGTTTCACATTCCTGTCTGTACACTAGCGTGGTCTTCTTCCCTGATGGGGAGACTGTGTTGTGAGGGCAGCTGTAAGCGATGTGGTCTGGTACTTGCAGAAAAGGAAGCAAGCACCAGTCACTGGTACTGAAGAGTTGGGTTTCATTAAGGCATGCTGCTGTGAAAGCATTCACTATGGACAAAACTGGTTGTAGATGTAGGTAAATGTCAGTGAGCTGTTGTACCTTTCTGCCATTTTGTAGAGACTGGCCAACACAGATACTTTAAAGATACAACTGCCGAGAGTCTCTGTTCACCCATCAAATTACAAGTTTATTTCTGAATCATATGTAATTAACACACAAAATTATAAAAATGAATAGACTGACATTCCTGTGTATTTAATGTTTTTAAATGAAATGTGAATAATAGAAAATTTAAGTTATGTATGTTATTTGCAGGAGAGAAGTATGCCTATCTTTCCCTTCCAAAGCCAATGGTAAGTAGAAGAGTTTTGTGCATTTCAGAATGCCTTTATTCAGAATTCAACCATGCTCTTGCTGCCTGTTGCTACCCACCCCACAATCACTAACATTACAAGAATAGGATATTAAATGTTGATTGTTCATAGTTGTTATCTGAGTAACATTCTAGTTGCAGCCCATACTATGATTATTTGTGTTGGGTTTGGAGAGTTGAGGGAATAGGTAACAGATTAATAAGAAGCCATAATCTGAAGTCAGAGGTCTTTTTGTTTTTCATATCTTAGGTCTAATTCACAAGGTCATATTGGAATAATTTCTACGAGCTAGGGATTTCCTTCGTGCTTCCTACCTTGATGAAAGAATACCATGCTGTTTACATGTATAGACTTGAAACGTATAGCTGTATGTATTTAACTGAAACCGGTGTATCTGACTGCATTCCAAAGCAGTGTCCACTAGATGGCAAGCTTGCTTGTGTTGTGAAGATGGTTTCTATACCTTTTCAGGCAATTCCTTTCCTATCTTCATAAAACACTGTAATAATAATTTGTAAAAGTAAAACTGAAAATAATGAAAACAAAATTCAATTTAAAAGAATGACATGGAACATAACATTCTAAATAAAATAAAATCTAAAAACCCTGTAGGGTTTAATTGCTTTCTTAAATGCTTTAATTGCTTTGTAGTTTAGTAGACTAAGGAAGAAGATACAGATGATGTGACTGCAAGGAGGAGCCAAAGAGATCATTGAGCATCTTCATTTCTTTACCAATGAACATAAGAGGCAGTGTGTGTGTGTGTGTGTGTGTGTGTGTGTGTGTAACCTTATAGTTTTCCTGTACTTATTTTCTGTCCTTTAACTTCTCCATTTCTTCTATAGTAAACGGCATTAGAAAAATCTCAAAAGGGCTATGTTAAATGAGCAAATTCAAACTATGGGGTAGAAGAAAGGGAAAAGTTGAAGCTGTTCTGTTCTACTGTAAGTGGTGACGCAGTAGCTGGTCAGAAGTCAAAGTCATGGTAATAGGGCAACACAGAGAGGTACACATGCCCCAGAGGTATTGGTTGATGATGTATTTCTTAAGCTAAGCGGGAGCATGAGTGTTTTGTTTTATTGGAATTTATACTTTGTGTATGTGTGTGACTATGTACTCAATGTGTGCGTGTTATTTAAATAAATGTCTCCTAAAAAAATGAAAAATAAAAAATAAAATAAAAGGTTCTCTGCATCTTCTGGCCCCTTTATGTCCACAAGCCCCAGCTGTTCTGGAACTCCTTCCCCGACTATGGGAGTGCCCAGCAGACTTCAGAGTGAGAGGGATGCCCAACCTGGGCTGCCATCCCAGAGAACTTCTGAAGATATTTTTCAAAGGACCATTGCTATTGGTAGTGCTTTCTGTCCTTCTACTCAGTAGGCATCTGTGGGTCAGCCTGGTAACCTAACCAGTGTACAGTGTTTTCTACTTTCCCAGGGGAAATACATTCTGCATTCCAAATAGCTCACACAGGAACACATTTGCTGTTTCAAAAATAGGGGCCTATCAAACATGTTGGTTCAAATATTAAACCCTAAATTCTAGGTATAATCTCCTATGTAGCCTGGGTAGAGGATTGGGAATCAGGGCGTCAGTGACACAAGGGTGCTGAAATAGCCCTCAAAGGGCACATTGGGTAAAGGAATTGAATCCAGAGTCGTAACAATAGGAACAGATGGACCTCTACCAATAGTGGCTAGTTTTATTGTGTCATTCCAGAAGAATAATTCAACAGAGGGGCCAGGAAGGTTTGGGGGTGTAATAAACTGGATGCTGGAAAATGCCAAAGTCTTTAAGTCCTTTTGGGACACTGCTCGCTTCCTCGCCCCAGATTTCTAACCAACTACCTGTTCCAAGCTGAACTCACATACTTCTAGAGTACCTGCAGTTCTGTGACTGAATATATTTTATTACAGATGTTATGTTATGCTTTCTATTACCACTATATTTCCTCGCAATGAACTGTACTGCTTTTTAAAATATCGTAATCTTTATTGTCACAGAAGAATAACACAAACCTGAAATCATTAAAGCCAGACAAGTCTGACTCTGAGGTGAGAACTTTTTCTTTGTCGTAGTCTTCTAATCTCCCTTTCATATCAGTAAAAACAAAATTGTTGTGATTGAAATATTTTCTCCATCTTTGACAGGAGAAAGCCAAGATTGCGAAGCTCGGACTTAAGCTGGGTTTGCTCACCTCTGATGCCAACTGCGAGATCGAGAAGTGGGAGAATCAGGAGAATGAGATTGTTCGACGTGGACGGAACATGTCCAGTATGGCCTATTCTCTATATTTATTTACTAGGTAAATGCATTGCAGTCGTTTTGAATCAGTTTGATATCTCGTGTAGAGAAAAAGCGCCATGTTAAATCACTGAAGGTTAAAGTCAGTGTGTGTACCTGGTAGAAAGCCTGTCTAGGTAGTTCTATGTCAAGTAAGTGAATGCACCGAGAAGACGTTTAATGAAGATTTAGATTTAGAAGGGATCGTCTTCTGGGTTTGTATCCTATTCTTTTCATAACTTTGAAATAATTCTGCATTCTGCTTTTTTTATTTTATACATCTGTGTCTGTCCCATCCAGCATTAGTAAGTTTAGAAAATGTGCCTTTTAAATCTTGATACAAATGATTGATTAGACACAGATCAAAGAATAGAGCTGTTTGGCCCACTACCTCATTAGAGTGCCAAATCTCCGTGAATCAGTGTTTCTTACGTAGCACAGACTTTACCAACCTTTGCAATGATCTGACCTGCATTCTTTGTCTTGTCCATATCACAAGACTCTTGGTCAAATGCCTTGTTGAAGTCATTGTTGATCACCTTTTAAAATCTTCCATGATAGTAATTTCTCTATATGGTATAGCAATGTATACGTATATACCATAAATACAGTAATGTGTATGTATATATGTATAGTAACTCCATGTTGCTAAATATCAGTTATCTGCTCAATAATCTATTCTAGAATATTCTCAAGGAATGTCTTCAAACTTTTCACTAATTTTCTGAAATCTTTTTCATTTTTGAAAGCCTGGAAAATACTTCATATATCCAGTGTTATGGCCCCTCTTTTACTCATTTTGACTTTGAAAATATTATCAGCAATGGTTCACTCCTGCTAGTTGATTCAGTATTCTGAAATGTAATCCATTTAGTCTGGAATCTTAAGCTCGGTTAAAGTAGGTAGGATCTCTACAAATGTGTGGGCATTGGGGGGTCAATAAATGGCACCCTTTCCCTACTCAGCTTCTGAACAAAATGAAAAAATAAGCAAAAGAATAGGCAGGTGGGAATCGGTAACATTTATACTGATAAAGCTGATATTGGACAATGTAGTTTATATCCACAGGCAGGTAGGTTCTTACAAATGATCTCTGGAATTAAGAAATCTTTTTTTTTTTTTTTTTTTAATCCTTACCCGAGGACATTTTTCCCTTTTTTGTTCAGGTAGAGTGGGCGGGAGAGAGAGGAACAGAGAGAGAGAGAGAAACATCGATGTGAAAGGGACACATCGAGTGGCTGCCACCCGCACAACCAACCAGGGCCGGGGACAAACTGCAACTGAGGTACGTGCCCTTAGCGGGAACCGAACCAGGGTCTCTCAGGACCGCAGGCCGACGCTCTAACCGCTGAACCAAACCGGCCAGGGCTGGAATTAAGAAATCTTGCCCTGGCTGGTCTGGCTCAGTTGGTTGGGTGTCGTCTTGTACACCAAAAGGTTGCTGGTTCATTTGCTGGTCAGGGCACATGCCTGGGTTTCTGGCTCGATCCCTGGTAGGGGGCATGCGGCAGCCAATCGATGTTTTGCTATCACAATGTTTCTCTCTCAATAAAAATAAAATAAAAATCAGTAAAAATAATTTTTAGAAAAAGGAAATGTTACTTTACAGAGACAGAATATGTCTCTTAAAACACCTGAAAGAGCAGGTATCCCCCAAAGGCAGCTTTACTTTCAAGAGAAAAAGAAAAGAAAGGGTACCAAGTCCAATTTATTTTCACAAAGTCAACCAATAAGCCGAGGAGATAAATAAATGTCCACCTCTCCTATAGGATGGGGTAGTGAGAGAGAAGAAGGGAGGTGTGTGCCAGTGGGAGGAGGACTCGGCTTTCGTTCACAAGGAGCATTCCCGTCCGCCTTGGGGATGTCTTCTGCCTCTTCAAGATAAACCATTCTCGCCCTGGCCGGTTTGGCTCAGCGGTTAGAGCGTTGGCCCGCGGTCCAGAGAGACCCGGGTCGTGCTGGTGACAGCCACTTGATGTGTCCCTTTCACATATATGTTTCTCTCCCCCCACCCCCTACTCTATCTAAACAAAATATCAAAAAATGTCCTCGGGTGAGGATTAAAAAAAAAAAAATCAAGATGAACCATTCTCCCAGAGGGCGAAGGAGAAGTGATAGTTGAGCAGCTTTGTCGGGGTTGAGCAGTCATTTGTTAATACCTTACCATGTTTACATCATTGGTGACCTTTCCTCTTCGGTGGTTTCCTTCCTTTGTTCTTAATTGTTTTAGCAAGCTTCTCCTGGGATTAAGTCTTCCCAACACTAACCCTGACCTCCTTTTAAAAATCTGATGAGTCAGCTCTACAAAGGAAAGTAAAATGGAACTTCTTTGTTTTCTCACAAGAAAATGTTTACAAATTAACTGAAATAACAAAGATCTTTACTTTTGGCTGGAATCATGCTAGTTATCTCATGGGGATAAAAATCATATCTTAAAAAACCCTTTTATTTTGACTGATAAGAACTGGAGAAATGCATTATTACTTAATGAATATAGTCTGACATATAAAATCTTCCCAAACAAATGTTTCATGAGTAGATTTCCTTTTGTTTGTAAATCCTCTTTTATTATTTCTTATTTCAGAATAGTTTAGGATGCTATGGTAGCATTTTTTGTTTCAGAGTCAGAATAGTGGATGTTGGTAAGGGATCACATGCCCCCTGCAGAGCTGGGAGGCACAGGGGTTGCATTATGGGTGGAGGGAAAATTAAAGTTCTGTGACATGAGACTTGTTGCTAGAAGATGGTTGTTGGACAGGAACGATGAGTTTCAGGACAGGAAAATCGATTTTTCTGTGATGGGTAACACCCTGTGCCATTTGGCAAGTCTTGGAACTAGAATTCAAATACTTCAAGCTGGCTTTGTTTTCTACTCACGTATTCAGTATGCCTGTGTTTTCTCCAACAATGTTTCCTGTTTTCCCTTAAGACTGTGTGGTTTACCAACCTCATCTAGTTACTCCTTTCTGATACTCATCTGTTGGCCTTCGCTGTATCCAGTTTTGTCATTTTCCTGGGTAATTTTGTTTTTTGTTTTTTTTATCCTCACCCGAGGACATTTTTCCTTTTTTTTTGTTCAGGTAGAGTGGGAGGGAGAGAGAGGAACAGAGAGAGAGAGAGAAACATTGATGTGAAAGGAACACATCGAGTGGCTGCCACCCGCACGACCAACCAGGGCCGGGACAAACTGCAACCGAGGTACGCGCCCTTAGCGGGAACTGAACCCGGGTCTCTCAGGACCGCAGGCCAACGCTTTTAACCGCTGAGCCAAACCGGCCAGGGCTTCCTGGGTAATTTTAAAGGTCTCCATCGGGCTATTGTTTAATGTTGTCTTAACAGTTTATATGCATTTCTTCATAATTTATATATAATTGTTCATATTTCTTAATAGTTTGTATGTTTAGATTTTATATTTGTTTTATAATTTTAAAAAATTTCAACTTTACCAATGCCTTGTAGTTTTTAAAATGGTTTCTGCGCTATAATTTCATTTGATCCTCACAATAATTTGTCAGCGAACAGGAAAAATTTGCTCACATCTTATAGTTGTTAAGAGACAGAACTGGTTGCTACCAGATTTCAGACTTCCGATTCACACCTAGTCCTGATTCATGCCTTCTGTTGTTCTTAGTGGTAATTCACTCTTCATATGCAGAAATCTTAATTCTTCTTGGTGGTTTTCCATCTGATACTCCCTAACCTTCTTATGAGAGAGGTACACAAATATTATTATGATTACTTTATAGACTTGAATTGAAACTAAAATGACATGCCTCATCAAAGACAACTGAGTTCCTGCCAGAGTTGAAATTGGAATCAGAAGTGAGAAGTTCCTGCCTTTCAGTCTGAGCCTCTTTCCATTATGTAACAGAGATGTTTTAATTAAGACATGTTATAAGATCTTGTATGTTTAACTTATGAAGCAAAATGAAAAAGGCTAAATAGGGAAAATAAAACTTTAATATAACTTATCAGTTTTAAATTTCTTTATATTATAAAATGAGGATGTATAATGTTTACTTAAAATTTTAAAAAGTGGCCAAGAAGTAGTATTAAGTATTAAAGTTGCTTTAAGAATGAAATCACAATATTATTAATCTATTCAATATTCTTCAAAATTTAGGATCTCCTAATATACAAAATGCTCTAAAACTTTAATATAACAAAACCAATTTCCAGGCAATAAGTTTTCTTACCTCCTTAATAATTCATTTATTTCAGGGGAGAGGGGCCACTGAAAACTTCCCAAGATTTAATTCATCAACTAGAGGTATGTTTTATTTCCATTTTATGCTACTACTTCAGTTCTGGTCTAAAAGTGGGTAATAACTAATTTTCAAATGGTTTACGGTATCATGTTTGTGTGCTTAGCTGTACACACGTGTACTATAGAGGGTGGAGGAAAGTAGAGGGCTTGCAGTAGCATTTTGTGGAGCTTTTTTGGTGATCTTATTGGAAAAAAAACACCTTCTATATAGTAGGGATAAAGTAGGGTGGGCTTTGATAGCCAATAGATGAAAGAATAAGTTTTAGGTTTTCCCCAGCAGGTGAAGATATCCTGTCAGTAGATGCATGTCTCTTATACTCTCCTGAATGCTGGAAGGCTTTTTGGCCTCTTCATCATTGAATTGGAGGAATGCTAGTGATTCAATGAGATCACATGTGAGAGAGCGTCAGCGAGAAAGCACTGAGACCATTAGAGGATACTCCATACATGTTAATTTCCTTTTTTCTTCCATATTCCTGATCATTTGGGACGTTTGGGGAGAGACAGGTATAGTAACACCCACCCGGGTGTCCGTCTCTAATTCTTAGCTTTGGATTGACCAGCAGATGGCAGGATTCCTTCTTACCTTCCCTCTCATGTTAGTCTGTTCGCCTGCCCAGAACCCAGAGCATGCTTGCATTTGAATTGGAAATTTCTGTCACTCCATCACCTTTGTCCAGTTTTCTCTGGCATCCCCATGCTCCCGCCTCGCCTCTAGGAAAGGGACTGCAGCGGGGAGGATGTCTGCCGGCAGGGGCAGGAGAGCTGTAGAAGAGACTTCTCCTGGACTTTTCTGTATAGTTGACTATAAGTGAGCTTTTTCTCTTAAAACAGTTGGAATAAATTCTGGATTCATTCCATTCAGTTTGGCCCATGTCATTCCAAGTCACACCACACCATCGGGGGTATTTCACTGCAAAAGATCCGCTGCTCACCTTCTTCCTGTGTGAGCATATTCATGAAACTGATGTCTGTGGAGTTGTCAACAAACTGATGATTCTAAACTGTTCCTCAAATATTTACTGTGTTTGTACCATGTATCAGACCCTGGGGAAAGGACTCTATGACCAGAAGTGAACACAACAAAGTCCCTGCCCTAATGGAGCTTACATTCTAATGGGAGGAGATAGACAATAAAAATTATAGAATGCCCAGGTGTAAGTACTTAGAGAGAAAAGCATGTAGGATAAAGAGAGAGAAGGTGGTCAGAAAAGACATCTCTAAGGAGATATTTGCATAGAGATTTTATCTAAGTGAGAGATGAGCTGAATGGATATCTTAGGGTTGACTATTTCCGGCAGACAGAACAAGTATAAAGGCACCGAGGTGTGAGGCTAGGCTAGGGGAATCTGAAGAACCATAGGGAGGCAAGTGTAGATGCTGTGGAGTGAGCCAGAAGGAAGGTGGTAACATGACATCCCTGCAGCCACGGGAGAAACTTTGCCCCTAAGGATGTTGGGAAAATGCACTGAGGGTTTTGAGGAGCAGTAGCGTGATCTGACCAATGGGCTAAGTGGTAGTGCCATTTCCTGAGATGAGGACACTGAGGGACAGCACCAGATCTAGAGGGTGGAAATCAAGCACTGATTTGTTCAAGCAGAATGTACAAGACTGGTGTCAGGGTAGTCCAGGAATGGAGAGAGAGGTTTGGGGGTCATCAGCTTTCAGGTGGTTTAAACCGGGACTGTCTATGAGACAGACATGGATCTTGCCCCCAAGGGGTTTACAGGCTAGAGGGGCAGAAAAGATGTAAAACAGAAAGTGGTAATATGGAATGAGGAGGAATACATGAGTAAGGGCGTTGCTGCATTTGGTTAGAAGTGAGGTGTAAAACTCATTGGTTTTCCTTTTAAAGGATAGGGAAGGATGCAAAGGACGATTTGACCATGAGATCAGTTTATCCAATGATAGCAAGGTTGTTGGACAGAGGACTAAAGTTAACCCTAAAATTATTGTCTCTTTCATATACTTCATCTAATTTATTACCAAAACCTGTTTCTTTCCCCCACAAATCATTCTCGGATTGCCTTGTTCATTCTTACTGCTGCTTCCTAAAGCTAAGTCTCCACTCTTTTACAATCTGAATCTTGTCAGTCCAACTTTCCCATCATCCTGTTCCCCTACTAAATTGTAAAATGCATGATGAAGTCAGAAACCAATTTGAATTGCTCCTCTTGAATGGCTGATTATGGAACGTGTGTGTGGTCACAAATTGTGTCTTGCTTAGCTGGAGGAAGGAAACTTCTAACCGTTTGAGCTCGTGCTGTAAGATTCAGCACCCGTTTTTAATTGGGGAGATTACAGGATGAGCTCTGGAACCCTCCAGGAGCCCAGATATAATTTGTATGGCTAAGTATCAAAGGTCTGTGGACCTCAAGTAATTGGAGGTGTCCAGGTGTGGAGGAGCCTCTTCAGGGATTAATCCTGCAGCAGGTCAGGGAAGCCTCCTTCTGGATACTGTTAAAATCGTGTGTTTTCCTGGGACAAGAAATGTAGGGGTTCCATACTAGACCTTTATCTTTAGGTTTCAGTTTTTAAATTATCCATGAGTATTTTTCCTGCCAACTACCCAGAAGACATACATCTAAAGTAGTGATATTTTTATTTTTCCTCCAGGTTTTCGCTGAAGAGGGCTTGAAGGTTGCTTCAAGTGTACAAGCTTTCTCAAAACAGGTAATGTGGTGTTGGGGTTGGTGTTGGTGTTGGTGGTGATGTCATGAATACCCACTTTGGGCATTATGGTATAAAGGTGTTGAAGGTTTAAAAGATAGAGTTTTGTTGGATTTGTTATAACTTCCTAAATTACATTTCAGCTGAAAGATGATGACAAGCTTATGCTTCTCCTGGAAATAAACAAGCTAATTCCTCTGTGCCACCAGCTCCAGACAATAACTAAGACATCTTTGCAGAATCAAGTGTGTCTAAAGGTAAAAGTGAGGGTGGGTTATTCAAGTAGGCACTGGAGAGACTTTGACACTTCATCAGGTTAGCTTCAGCCCCTCTTCCTTCAAATAAGGGGCCAATAACCACAGAAGAGCCATTTATTTCCATATTTTTCTACCATGACTGCAAGAGTCATCTATTATCTGAAGTTATAAATTGTCCCAGAGAGCAGTAGGTTCACCAAATAAATCGGCTTTTTGACATGATTAATTCTATAGCAGTAAGCTTCTTCCCTTAAATGCCGGTGTCCTCACATGTCTAACTGGGACACAGACTCCTCAGAGTATGGGCTCCATCCCTAGGGAATTGGCATGCAACAAAGCAGACTGGAAAGAATTGCAAAGCAGGGGGTTCACTGCCACTATTTGGAATGCTTTGAGGAGCCCCAACAGCCTGAAGTAGAACGGGTTGGTTTTCCATCCATTCTTCATGAGCGAGGCCTGAGACCCAGCAGCAATCCCTGCATCTGTGTTCTGGGGCCTCAGATCATCAAGTTAGCTCATTGTACTGATCCATGTACCTTCTGAGATCCCTTAGAATTCCTTAATGGAGAAAAATTTAAATTGGATAATGACAAAGTCTTTTGAAGTACCCCTTGTAAAGGAGTTTGATTTGCTTGCTTTTTGTCACTCTAGGTTGATAAATGTATTACAAAGACAAGATCCATGATGGCTCTTTTGGTCCAGCTTCTCTCACTCTGCTTTAAACTGCTGAAGAAGGTGAGATAGTTTTCCATCTTGCACTCACATTTAAAAATCTAGTTTAAAGGACAATGCAAAAGAAAAGTTTAATTTTGCAACTTTTATTTTGAGAGTAAAGCAGAAATTAATTGTCTTTCCAGCTTCAGATGGAAAACAACAGATGGGTCTCAGTCACAAAGAAAGACTCCGTGGATGGTAAAACTTGAGAAGGTTTTGAGATCAGATCTCGGGAACACCATATGGCAAAGCTGACTTTTTTAAAAGCAAATTATCCTTTATATTTTTTGAAATTCAGTAATTTTATAAAAAGAACAACACTGAAATCCTGCTTTATTTTCTGATCATGAAACTGACTGGCTTTTTGACAACTAATAAATGCTATAGTAGTTGCTAGAATTCTAACTGCAGTGTGATTTTAAAATGAGACATTGCCACCAATATTGTTCTTTAAAAGTCAAGCCAAATACACCAACTGTCTTTATGACAGTTCAATCCAAAGAAGCTATTTTGAATATGTGCTCACCTTTAGCATATTTGACCTTCCCGTTTTCTGTTTTTTATTTAAGCTTATTGTTGAGGACATTAATTTTCAGCAGAAAATATATAGTAGTCTTGTTGAAAGCAGTTTTCCTTAAACTTATGGACACTGCTTCAATCCTTCAGTCCACCAAGTGTGACCAGGCCCCTTGGCTGCCCACTGTCACAGATCATCCATGCTAGTGGCACACATTTGCTTTCTGACAAGCATTTCACATAGCACAGGCTATCTGTTGTGAAGCATACCCCTCCCCCATCTGCCAAAGCAGGGTCATGGAGCTCACTGCACAGAATCCTGGAGGAACGCACTAGGAGCTGGCTTTTAGTTCTAGTTCTAGCAGAGCTGGTTTTTCTGCCCTCAATACTAGCTGGAATCCTAAAACTATCTTACTGGCTTTTAAAAAGTAGCTTTTGAACTGTCTTCAGTAGTGACTGATGGAATGGAAAATGTAAGACAAGGGAATGATAGAACTAAGAAGCTGTTTAAAATAAAATTTGAATAATCATACATTTTATATATGTGCCTTTTGAATGTTCATTTTAAAACAAATAAACATCTTTATTCTTTTTAATTTCAGAGTTTAAAGCTTTTCTTATTTATGTGGGGTGGAGATTTGATGGAAGGATGTGGTTTGTTGGTCCTGCTCTTACGACTTAGTAGTTAACTTTGGTTTGGACTCCTTTCATAGTGCTTGTATCCCACTGCTTTGACAGCTAATAGGACTTGTCTCCCACTGCTTTGAAATCTAATAGGACTTGTAGCCCACTGCTTTGAAATCTAATAGTGCTTGTATTCCAATGCTTTGAAATCAAATAGCCAAATGGCTATAGTCATATAAGCTTGTCTGATAGCTCTTATCTGGGTCAGCCATCATAATAGTCACAAGATCCCAAAGAATCACAGTACTATCAGTTAGCTCATCAGTATTTTATTGAAGGAAACTTGAACTTGAATTGGATAGGCCTTGGGGAGAAATGGGATGCACTTAGCTTGGTTAATGATCTTTATGAAATACTTCTTTATAAAAATCATCAAGCATTATTTTTATTCCCTGAAACCATTCCTTTAAATTACAATAGAAATAATGGTGAATGATGTATTATTGTTAGATATGAAATAGATATCATTTTTTTTACTACCTTTAGTAGCTTTATTTTAGGACATCTTCAGGAATCCTTGTGCTGTTCAAACCGAGGACCTACTGGATTGTGCTTACTTCAGCTCACAGCACTGTCAGTGTAGGTGTCTGTCGAGTCACTATACCTGTATCATGGCTGGTGGGTATACCTGGGGCAGTCATGTTGGCACTCAAGTTACAAGTTTTTCTTGTGAGTCAAAAATAATTTTTTAAAAATTCCTCACCCAAGGATACTTTTTCCATTTATCATCAGATAGAGTGGGAAGGAGGAAGAGAGAGAGACAGAGAGAAACATCGATGTGATAGAGCCACATTGACTGGTTGCCTCCCGCACAACCCGACCAGGGCCAGGGACGAACTGCAACTGAGGTATGTGCCCTTGACCGGAATTGAACTCGTGACTCATTGGTCTGTGGGCCGATGCTCTAACCACTGAGAAAACTGGCCAGGGCTCAAAAATAATTTTTTTTTTTTTATCCTCACCCGAGGACATTTTTCCATTTTTTTGTACAGAGTGGGAGGGAGAGAGAGGAAGAAAGAGAGAGAGAGAAACATCAATGTGAAAGGGACACATCGAGTGGCTGCCACCCGCACGACCAACCAGGGCCGGGGACAAACTGCAACCGAGGTACATGCCCTTAGCGGGAACCGAACCCGGGTCTCTCCGGACCGCAGGCCAACTCTCTAACCGCTGAGCCAAACTGGCCAGGGCTCAAAAATAATTTTTAAATTTAATTTACAAAATACTTTTACATACCCTAAATGAGAATATTCTCTTAAGTGCAACTGGAGGTGGGGAAGGGATAACTTATGACTTCTGTATAAGATAGGGAACCAAAGGAATTTACATGTCAAGTGATTTCTGTATGAAACAATTGTTTATTTAAAAACCAATATTTAAATGTACATGTGTTGCAGCCCTTAAGAAAATAACAATTTTAAAAGTCATTTAAAATTCAGTGTAAAGAAGTATATAATTTTAAACCATAAATCAGTTGTTTTTTTTAGTTCAAATGATGTGAAAGCTTTTGCCCTATTCAAAGGCCTCTATGTCTTTGAATTACAGTAACTTCTCCTTTGCTCCTTACCTGTAACTAGCATGAGACGGAGTGACTGTAATGTTATGTACTACGTTGTAACACTCCCATAGTTAGGAAAGCCCTTTGTGTTTTTCAAAGCTTTTTCATGTTGCCCCTCATATACGAAGCCACAGTTGGTTCTACTTGGTTTCGGAGAGGAAGGCCATCCAGCGACATAAGGCCTGGGCAAGGCACACTCTGCACGCTGCCTCTCTCCTACAGCCTGGAGAGAAGCTGGGGCACAGGGCTGGGACGAGCCTGAAGCAGACTGGGTAAGAAAGGCCAGCTACTGTTTCTTTTACCTTCAAACTGATGGGAGTTTGAGCAAAAACAATTAGCCAGGCCGTAACATTCAAACAGAAGTATGAATTACAGGATAATGGGCAAATTATTTTTACTTGCTACTTATAACTTTTGTCTTTCCCAAATTTTCCTCAAAGTGCTCTGCTTATTTGTTTTTAATCAGAAAACGCCCCTTGCCTGTCAGTTTTTAGAAAGAGAGAAAAGAAGAGCAGAGTGAGTCCAGGGCAGGGCAGACCTGGGAGGCTAAAGACAAAATGGGAACAAGGCTCCTTATGCAAGAGAAAGACGGCTGGCGGGAGTATGCTGCCTGCCACACGCGGGGACTCAGCATGAGCGAACCCCGCTGCGTTTCATACGTCTCCATCCTCACGATGTGGCTGCCGTGGCGCTAACGCGCTGTACCACCACTTCTTCATACTGCTTTTGTGTCAGTAACCCTTCCGTTATGCTTTTACTTTCTTCAAATTTGGGCAACACAACTGCAATGTAACCTTCAGTGGATGGCTAGAAAGGAAATAGAACATTTAGTACTGTCAAATGACAGAAATCAGATTAAAGGTATGTGGGTGGGATCCTACTCCACCCCGCCCCTCTTTTACCTTCTCTTGAAGAATAGAAGGCTCATGGAGAATATTTTCATTCACTTCCATCAACCGTCCTCTGACACAGCTATTGAAAAAAGAACTATTTTGAAGAAAAATATTACCTTTTTTTCCTCCTAAATTGTGTTTAAAAAGTAACTCACCTAGATATGGTATATTCTTCCCCATCTGAGCAGTAAATCTTGCACAGAGGTGCAAGTTCTGTTAGAAACTGTGCCCCCTGATAATAAAAGGCGAGAAGTAATTAATCGATGTACATTTTCACTTTCCTTTGAGAGGAACTCCTCAGTGTTATAGGATATATCCTGGAATTAGTGTTTTATTTTTTTTATCCTCACCTGAGGACATTTTTACATTAATCTTCAGATAGAGCTGGAAGGAGAGAGAGAGAGAGAAAGAAAGAGAGAGAGAAACATCGATGTGAGAGGGACACATCGACTGGTTGCCACCCACACAACCCCAGGGACCAACTGCAACTGAGGTACATGCCCTTGGCTGGAATCAAACCCGGGACTCTCTGGTCCGCAGACAACACTCTTACTGCTGAGCCAAACCAGCCAGGGCTGGAATTAGTGTTTTAAAAACTATTCATGTATTTAAACATTTATGTAAGTGCCTGCTATGGGCCAGGTACCAACCCAGGTTCTAGGGAAACAAGCAAACTAAGACACATGTGATAATAGCTAGTTTAAAGATTAAGACTATATTTTATAAACTTTAAACCAAAAAGCTGCATATAGCCAAGTATAAAGATTTCAACAGTGTAGGAAAGTCCATCAAAAGCAATAGAAAATTCAACACGATAAGAGTGGAACAGCAATATTGTACAAAGTTAGTGTCATTAAGATTCCTACCTTCTCTAAGACTTTTTGAAAGAGATGTTTTTACCTTCTTTAAGGCTTTTTGAAAGAGATGTTTTTCTATTTAAAAAGTAATAAACTTGGAGGAAAATTTGGAAAATATAGAAAAGTTTTAAGTAGCAATTAAGAATCATTTATCCATTATCCTATAACCCAGAAGTAAATACTGCATTTTGACTTATATCTGTTAGAACATTATGGTGCATTATTGTTTCATGTACTTCACTCTATGGATATATCTGGGGAGTTTCTGACAAAAATCTACAAGGAGGCTCATGGGAAACCGATGCAGCCATGTTTCATGTGTTGCTCTTTTTTTCCCCCTCCAGGAATTTTTCAAGATGCTATTCATTATGATCTCTACTACTCAAAACATTATTAGACAACATTCAGATATATCACATTGGGTTCAATCCTCTGTGTGTGGGTACTTCATTTCAAAATACTAGTCAGTGCGACGTCCCAGCTTTAGGAGGAGAGGCTGGGGGTTCGTCCCAGAGGGTTTGTCTACCACTGGGACTGTGTAAAGAGAGTAGAAGTGTTCTGACTCCTTTTTATTACCTCTCCTGGAAAATTAAATGATTGGCAGTGCTGAGATCCAATTAAAACTTGTCTCTAGTGGGTTCTATTTGCAGGTCCCTCTCTGTTCTTGGGTAGTAACAATAGTGTTACTATTTTGGACAAAGATTTATCACAGGTCTTTCCCAAGCATTAACTGTTTTATTTATAATTTGCAGATTTTGTCTTTTAAGAATGGTCCATGCTTTTCTAAGTCCATGTGTTTCCTGAGTGAGGAAAAAATATCAATAATCATAAATCAAGTCATTCGGGCATTCTGGGTCTACAAAGGGTAGAATAAACAAGGGTGTCCTAGAACAGTGAGGGTTATTAGTAGAAATTATTAGGATGAACTCAGTAAATGAAGGACCTAATCACCCGCTATGATGGATCTACTAAAAGGAACACTCTCCTTTAAAAAAAATGTTGTCTATCCTGCCTAGGGTTTAAGAGGGTAGAATTATTTTGTGGAAGAAGAGTGTGTGGCTATATGAGTATGAAACTAGCAACAGAAAATGCTAAGGAACAACTACTGTAAATTTTTTCAGATTGATTTTTTTTCACTACCTCAGAAAAAAATTTTTTTTTAAATTTATATGTGGAAATACATGGTAAATAGTTGGTCACCTAAATTTTATGGAACTCAAACTACTGGTTTAATAAAACGGGAAGGGACAAAATATCTCATTATATTGGTATCAGAGTTGTCCTTTCAAAGGCCCACCTTTCCCATCCTCCGTCCTGGGGATGACAGGGTGGTGGTATAGAACCTGAAATGACAAATCCTATACCTCCTGTAATACCCCACTTTGGGCCTGACAACTTCTTTAGGGTTAAAGTAGTTTTAAGATCAGCATCTCAAACTGCCAGAGAAGGATGCTGAGCACACCTCATGGGTTTCTAAGACTGAGTGATTCTATCTTTACTATGATATCAAGGATTTAAGTAGAGAATTATAGGAACATACCCGTTTAAATTTCCCAGAGACCTTGTTCTGAAGTCTGCTACAGTTGTTACTGATTTGATAGGAAATGCTTTTAATTGTTTTTCCACTTTGAAGAACTGGATGAGATTCTGCCAATGTGATGACACATATTCTACAAGGAGCAAAATTGATCCTGGATTACTGCTTGGTATAATTCTTCCTCGTATAGCACAGTATTCCTACTGACAAAAGAATATCTGAACTGACATTTATTTAGTCAAACTATCATTTCCCTCTGGTTACTGTAGAATGGAATGCAATGATAAAAACAGGAGGAAATGGGATTTTATATCCTTCCCAGAGAAAGGAAGAGTGTCAGGTCTGTAGGTAGCACTGAGGTGGCGGAGAGTAAGGCATGCCTGTGTGTACAGGACACCACCCAGCCCTCCACCCCAGCCTTCTCCATGGCCGCAGGCGATTCGCTGGTTAAGCAAAGGCTGCTTACTTCAGGCAGTAGCTGACTGGGGGAGGGCGGTCCATCTGGATGTTGGGTAATCAAATTTGTTTAATGTGAGTAGGCACTAAAAGGCTCATTCCTGTCAACCAAACTCCTATAATAAAGACTATTTGAATACAGTGGAAGATAATCATTTATTGAACATTTTGTTCAATCCAAGACCATACCAGACTACAAGACCAGGAAAAAAAATTTTTTTGGATAATTTAAAATTCCCAATTTGCTTACCGGTTAGAGTGCTGTAATATACAGTGGTCCTCACAGGGTTTTCCTTTGACATCTAAAAGAATGAATGGGTCAGGTGTGGTTGTGGAGTCAACATTTACTGCCACTGCGTAGCACTTTCTTTGGTTCAGAGAGGCAGTTAATTATGAAGATTGTATACATACTGATCACTTGTATCCCTTCATTACTCAAAAAGATATACCTAAAAGGCCTGCTATAGAGATGTGGCCCAGATGTACCCATTCATTTCCTCATTAAAGTGATTACTAACTCTTTGCTCCACCTTGCTTTACCCTCACATGAACACGAGTACACATTACTTCTATTAGAAAAATGCGATTAGCAATTCATTCTTTATATAATACAGTAGTGTATGTGTTGGTCAATTTTAGAGGGACCAACTGCTGGTTTGCATAGGACTGTTCTGATGTTAGCGCTGAATGTTTCAGATTCCAGAAAACCCCTCTCAGTCTTTGGTAAACGGGATGGTTAGACATCCAAAATTTGGCTAATAAAACCTATGCTACAATATTTTTTAAAAATGAGTACACCTGTTATCCCTGAATGAAAGGGAGCAAGTAAGGGGTTAAAAGAAGGTCCCCAGCGATGCTTCCAACACTGACATTTACGGGGTACACAACACAACAGAATACCTACTTATTAAGCAGCAGAAGTATATAATACGACTTCTCTTTCAGTAAAACTGTTAAATTCTGGTCTGCTCTCCCTTCCCTCTAATCTTCCCTCACAGGCATGATCCCCTAAACTCTAAGGGACCCCAGGAGACTTGCAACCAGGGGAGCAATGGACGGTGGCAGCTGGTCCAAGGCTGACCCCCGAACCTGTCCCCAAGGCCCCTTCTCTCTGACTCCAGTGAGCTGACAGCAGCACCGCCTTGGCTCACTTCTTTTCCATAAGGTTTCTAGAGAGTCAAAGCAGCCCCACTTGGTCTCTCTCCCATTACTATCCTATGCCCTGTCTTGTTTCACTGTCCCCAGCTTTAATAAACAAACTCTCAAACCCCGCCCCCCAAACTGTTAGATTCTTTTTTCTAAATGCCTCTATTCTAACCCACCCTCTTTTTCCTATCCCTACGGTCTCTGCCTTAGTTACGACCTGATCATTTACATCATTTTATGTATTGCCACTCCCTCCAGGACTGCCCCTCAAATCCCTTCAGGCACGCCAGGAGACTGAAACCCAGCCCTGCCTACCTCTGGGCCTCACCTTGGACTACCATCTTCCCGCACAGCTCTCTCCAGCCCCAGAAGGCGCCCTGCTGCATTCAGTCCTCCATGCCTTCGCACATACCCATCTCCTCCCGCTTGAAGGCAACAGAGAGGTCCTTCTAGCGTGGGGGAGAGCGCGCGTGGCTTCTGATGTGCCACCGTAGCAGTCCCTACGGCATCAGGCCCATGCGGCCGAGGACAGACCGACATCATTCCCCGCTTACCCGCTTTGTACCAGCGAGTGAAGTAACGATCCACAAGAGACGGCACCGCGGACTCCACGGCCACCGGCGCGGTAGCCACGGCGACCCCGGGCGCCGGGACCTCCGCCCCCAGAGACCCAAGCGCTTCCTCCATGCTGGCCCCGGAGGAGGCGGTCCTTCCGGCACGCACCCCGCGGCGTGCGCACGCGCGCTGCAATTCTGGGTCTGTAGGCTCCGCCCACCGACGCCAATCACGGAGCTTTGGGGTTGACGTCAAAGTCGGGGGTCAAATACAATAGGCTGCGCCGGAGAACGCAGCGTCTGCCTTTCTCTGGCTGGGGCTGCCTGCGGAAAAAGCCGGCCACTCCTCCGCAGCCTCGACTGTCTCTCCCGCTCGTGTGGACCGGCTTCGCCTGCAGTCCTCTCTGCTGGCTTCCGCCAGTGACTCCGGGGTCGGGCGGCCCAGCGGCCCGAGGTCTAGTGCGCACCGCGAGAGCTCGGAGCCGCGGCCGGTGAGGCGCGTGCGCAGCCCGGGCGGACTCCGGGAGGCCGGTCGCGCGTGGCCCGGGAGGCGAGGTGAACACACCGTTGTTTGGGGGTGAGCGCGGCGTCAGGTGAGCGTTGGAGTGACTCTCCCGGTGAGGGCACGTAACCGGCCTTGTCCGCCAGGCCCTGGGGCCCCGAACTCCTGAGCGCGCAGCCGCTGCGTGCTGTCCGGCCCCGGGGCGGAGTGCTGCGCGACCACTCTGCCCTTGTGGCTGACGTTCTCTGGGAGGCTCGCCTCCACCTGCGGCCTGCGGGGCCGGAGGCTCTGCTCCCCGGCTGCACGCGTATCCAGCCTGCGGATTCCCTGGAAGCGAATCAATTAACACACAAGAGGAGGCGCCCGTTATTAGAGGTTCGAATACTGTGGCAGGTTCCTTCTCGTGTCTGCCACTTTTTCGTGCGGTTGTCCCCTGTGCTTCTCCATCGAATACCGCATATTATATGGCCCTCTACCGTTGAGCTGTGACCTCCGTGGAGATAATGACTCTGAGTCCTCTCTTTTCTTCAGATTTGAGCAGCACTTAGTGCTCATTTCGTGTTTGATGTAGGCCACAGACCGGGTCGTGGGATCGACTAGGTACCAACTGTATAAAGGACTCAAGCTGTATATTGACATCCACAGAGATAATAAGTGGATAGTTGAGTATGAAAAGCGTGAACAAAAACTAGGCAGGTTTCGGCTTGGGGACTAGAGAGAGTAGAAATACCATGTTCCCTAATAGGAGAAACATTTGGTGGGAAAATAGCAAGTACTTACTTTATTTTCCAGGTTGCATTTGATGTAGTTGTGAGACATCCTTGTGAAAACTTCAAGAGGTTGAAAATACGGGTTTAGTGTCCAATTTAGGGAGGGTCAAGGCTAGACATTTAGATCTTGGAAGCTTATTAGTGATCTGCCTGGTACTTATACTCAGGGGCATGATAATTAGCTAAGAGACAGCTGAGGGAGCAAGGAAGAAAATGGAGAAGTTAGAAATTTTGGAAAAGATCGGAATTGATCTTTGGTGTGGAGAGATCTTTACCACATGTGAAGGCTGATAAAAGTTGGATCATTGAGGGCTGGGAGTTGGAGATTGCAGATGCTTAAGAAAGGGTACAAATAGGTTGAGGTCCTGGGGGAGTTTGGAGGGTATTCCTTTCCTATCCTTGCAAAGAAAGAAGGATGGGTGTGAACATTTAGAGAAGTTCTTTTTGAGACCAAGAGAGTTTGGGAGGGGAGAGATGAATGATAAGCTCACCTTTGCTGGTGATTCTGGAAGCTCAGTGATTTGAGAACTCAGGTTGTTTGCTATATTTTTGTCAGTCAGGGTCCAGTTGGGGAAATAGAAGCCACATATTTTTTGAACAGAATTTATTATGAATAACTGGTTAAATAGCTCTTGGAGGAACAAAAAGCAAAAGAACATAAAAGTAAACTGGTGGAAGTAGCTACAACACTTAGCTAGGGCTGGGGATCAAAACGGGGGGGAACCCTTGGGATTGTCATGGCCTGAACTTGGAGGAGAAGCATTGTAAAGCTGGGTCTCAGACTTCTGGTGTTGATACCTTTGGAATTCAGAGGGCAGGCCCCCATGTTGCTGGATTTCAGACATCTGGAGGGGCTGTGCCTGGTTACTGCTGGTACCCTGGAGATGGAGGCGATGAGGCTGGTCTTGGGAGTGCTAGAGACTGGGACCAAGGGCCCCTGCAAGGATGAAGGCCCATTGCTGGGGTGGCAGTGATGGGAACAGTAAGGTAACAGAAAAAAGTAAGTCCTCAGCTCCTGCTGCCTTTACCCTGCAGATTCTTATCCTGGGGTTCATGGACCCCAGAGCTCCATTATTGGTGAATAGAATCCAAGTTCACAGGGAGGAATATGAAGATATTTTGATGATCTGATCATGGCAATACTACACTATGATTATTATTAGGTAATAATAATATATATATTCAGGTAAATAATATATATTCAGGTAAACCAGAATGAAAGAGCCAGGAAACTACCCCTCCACCCCCACCTCTCTTTATCTCTTGCTACTCTGTTCCCTGCTTACTCCCCTTTTAGATCTGTGCCAGTGTTTTTCTATATGTTTAAAAATAAAATATGCAATTTTTATATATTTTGAAAAGCCTAAACTTTCTGTGTAGAATTAGATGTAAATTAAAAACCTGCATGCCCTGGCCAGTTTGGCTCAGCGATTAGAGCGTTGGCCTGCAGTCCAGAGAGACCCGGGTTCGGTTCCTGCTAAGGGCGTGTGCCTCGGTTGCAGTTTGTCCCCGGCCTTGGTTGGGTTGTGCAGGTGGCAACCACTTGATGTGTCCCTTTTATGTCGATGTTTCTCTCTCTCTCTCCCTCCCATTCTATCTGAACAAAATATGGAAAAATGTCCTTGGGTGAGGATTAAAAAAAACCCTGCATGTATAGTAAAGGTTCAAATAATTTCTAGAAGTTCTTGAATATAAATAGTGCCAAAGCTTACAAAACCATGTCTGCCTTGATTTTTTTCCCTTGCTTGCACCATGTATGGTTTTGCCTTTCTCTTAATCCACATCATATATGTATCATTCATATCATACTTAATATTATTTGCTGTGTAGGAGATGGATTAACTCATCTTTTTTGATATATGTATGAAATGCACAATGAGAGAGTTCACCTTAGAATATGGTGGCATTAAGACCATTGTAGTCTGTGTAATTGCCACTACTAACATAGGGACTTCCAGTGGGTGCAGACCACAAAGGGATCTAAATACAAATATGCAGTACATTAAATTTGTTTTTCTCCGACTTAGATACCATTATGCATTAAAGCAAGTGTGACTTTGCCAGACCAATGTAGGTTTCCTATTTATCATTCTTTTCTCACGTTTCTATTACACTGGTAAAAATCAGACCAGGAAAGCTGAGTTGCATGAAGTAGTTATATCAAGCCATCAAGCTCCCCAAATGTTGGTTGTCATTTTGAAGTAAACGGTTGTAATTTTACAGGTTTCATTTACCCCCTTAGAACAGTATATAGTTATATTCCCTTCTTTTTTTTTTTTTTTTTAAATCCTCACCTGAGGATACGTTTCCATTTGTCTTCAGATAGAGTGGGGGGGGGGGGACATCAGTGTGAGAGAGACACATCAATTGGTTGCCTGCTGCATGACCCCGACTAGGGCTGGGGACCAAACCGCAACCGAGGTATGTGCACCTGAACGGAATCAAACCCATGACTCTTTGGTCCATGGGCCGACGCTCTAACTGCTGAGCCAAACTGGCTAGGGCTTTATTTTTATTTTTTATTTAAATTTTAAATTAAAATATATCCAGTTTATAAATAAATATACCTAGTGATATTAATTTTATTACAGATTTTCTTCAAATACATATATGAGTTTTATAAATCTGTGGTTATAAAGTTATCCTCATTCAGAATTAAAATGTTTTCCCATTCATTTTGTTCTTTACAACTTACATGAGGAATAACTGATGTTAAATCTTTTGTTTTTTTAGTAGTGAGTGCTTCATCAAGGGATATTTGTGCTTTTCTTTCAGGAATTGCTTCATCATGAGAAATCTGAAGTTACTTCAGTCCCTGGAGTTCAGGGATATTGAGGCTCCTGGGACACCTCAGTGCTTCTGTCTAAGAACTGAACAGGGCACTGTGCTCATTGGCTCAGAACACGGACTGGTAGAGGTGGACCCTGTCACAAGAGAAGTGAGTTACTGACGGGGAACATGAGCATTTAGCATGACCGTTTCATCTTGTCTTTTTCTAAACTTGCTTCTCCTCAATAGTCTTTGAGTCCTACTGAGTTTTTATCCTCCTAAATGAGAACTCCCTTTGCTTTGTACTCATGTCATATTAGATATAACTTAAGCAGTAACCTACCTTTAACTTTGCTACTGTTTTAAATCTGAGTTGGCAAAATTCAGACCTTACATTTTATGTGGATGCCCTACATTTCACCCTTTCTACCTTCTACTAGTTGTAACAGTGGTTCTCATCTGGGGATGCAAATGAAAATTGCCTTTTTAAAATTGTTTCAGCCTCCATCCCATACAACTAAATCAGAATCTTCACTCCTGGATCCTGAGCAGTCATATGGTGGGGCAAAAGTAGGTTTATGGTTGATTGTTTGGAGAACACTACAATAATTAATAAATAATAATACAAGAATAAACTCTGGGTGGAAGAAAGATGTCAGTGGAATAGGTGGATCTTGCTCCCACCTCCTCCCAGAATCTAACTAGAATTAGAACTAAATTTGGGAACATTCACCCTGAATTACAAGCTGAAGACTGACTGAAGAGGAGACAGAAACAAGGATGGGCAGAAATCACCACAATACTGGTAGGCAGGATAGGGCTACGAGAGGCACGGGCGGAGCTCTCACGAGTGAGGGGCCAAGGGTGAGGAGAATTCCACCCCCAAAACAAGAGAGGTGGTGACCCCAGGCGTACAGCCAGAGCACTGAACCTCGGGCATAGCCGCCCTCGCAGCAACATGGGGCAGGGCTCCTAACAGCCAGAGAGCTGAGCCTGCTGGGCAGCAGCCACCCACTCCGCAGCAACATGGGGCAGGGCTCCTAGCAGCCAGAGAGCTGAGCCTGCTGGGCAGCAGCCACCCACTCCGCAACCCACGGCTGGGGCTTCTGTCAGTCAGGGAGCTGAGCCAGGGAGCTGAGCCGCTGGGAGGCAAAGCCACTTTTTTTTTTTAAAGGGCCCCTGATGCACAGGAATTCTGTTCCCAGTTACCCTACGTTTTGGCAAAGGGAGGGTGGTGCGGACTGAAGTCACCTGAGGAGAGACGGGTGGGAGGAGTTGGAGGGAGAGGTGGGGTGGACCGATGCCGGGATACCTGTGCTGAGTCATCGCACACACTCCCTTTATTCCCCCCACCACTATCACAGCAGCCATTTCTCCAATAGCAGAAGCCTGGGGAAAGGCATCTACCCTGCCCCCATGGTACAGCTCTCCCCACTCTAAGGAATCCCACTCACTCTACCGTCTGGAATTCAGCATGTCCTACCCTGTACCATGAGCCCAGATGAGGAGGCAGCAATCTCAGGGAGCAGCATTCTCAAGCATCAGTGGCTGGCTATGGGTTGGGGAACCTGGCTGGCACTTCCCTCTAACGGAAGAGCTGATAGAAACTCCTGGCTTCCAGCAAACCCCACTGGCCTGCTTAAGAGGTACTCTGGCAGGCCTAGGACAGGAAAATATTCTGAGTATATACCTTCCATCTGCCTTAGGGTCCTGTGCTGACAATAAACAGGCCTTAGGAGCTCAGCTGGACCCCTTCCATGGACAGACAAGCCCAGTGAAGGCAGCCACAAGTTGTGAATCGCTTGAAGCTTTGAACAGGATGCTGAGAATCAAACTTGGACAGCTGTTGATGTTGGATGGCACAAAAGTACCTCCTGGGAGGCCAGAAATCAGCATATAAAACAGTTAGCCTCAGACAACATCAGAGTAGGATCCAAAGGGAAATCTTAGCAGGCACAAAAATCTGCCAAGATGAACTTCACATGGTTATTTGTTTAATTTTTTATTGCTTGGGTATTGTTATTGTCGTCATTATTGTTTCTCTTTTCTCTCTTGTTTCATATCTTTTATTAGATTCTTTCCTTTTTTTACTCTCTTTAAAATTTTTTTCTATTCTTTTTACCTTTACATAATTTTTTCTTTTTCTCCTTTTCTGTTTTATTATTTTCCTTTTCCTACTCTACTCTTATTTTTATCTCTCTCCATTTCCTTTCAGAATCTTTTTTCTTCCTTTTTCTCTTTTAGTATTCTTGTCATTTTTATTTCATTATTATTATTATTATTGTTACTATGTTTTCTGTCTTGTTTATTATTATTCTCTTTTTTCTTTTCTAATTTTCTTTCCATTTGGGGTTGTTTTGTTGTTGTTGTCAGGTTCTCTTATATGTTTTTGTTTATTTCCTGTTTTGTCCTGTCATCATGTGTATGATAGCTCGCATGATGTGGTCAGGGTTGAACATCACAGTTATCCCGAGGAGATCATCCATGAATGGGACAACAACAATCAGGACCCAATTACAACAGGAGAGCCCAAATAACCCACTATAGGGTCACTCCCAGAGCATCCAGCTCAGGAGTTCAAGGAGACCACACCACTGGGTCTCACAGGACATTTACTATAAAAGGCCATCCCACATAGACACAGTCATAGCAGGTATATCTAATACATAGAAACAAACACAAAGAGAACTAAAATGGGGAGACAAAGAAATAACCCCTAAATGAAAGAAAATGAGGATTCTCCAGTAAAAGACCTCAGTGAGATGGAGGTGAGCAATTTATCAGACATAGAATTCAGAGGAATGGTTATAAAGGTGCTCAAGGTACTTAATGGGAACTACAGGATAGATAGTGGGAACTATATCAGCATGAAAAAGGACATAGAAATCATGAATGAAAACCACCCAGAAATGAAGAATACTATACCTGATATCAAGAATACACTGGAAGGAATTGAAAGCAGGCTTGATGAAGCAGTGGATCAAATCAGTGATTTGGAAAATAAGGTAGAAAAAAACAATTAGAGCAGCAAATTAAAAACACTTAAAAAGCATTTGGACAGTTTAAGGAAAATTTGGGGCAACATGAAATGGGATAACATCCACATCATAGGGCTACCAGAGGGAGAAGACCGTCAGCAAGGCATGGAGAACATGTTTGAAGAAATAATGACAGAAAAGTTCCTTAACTTGGTGAAGGAAAAAGTCACACAATTTCAGGAAGTACAGAGTCCCAGTCAAGAGGAACACAAAAAGGACCACACCAAGACACATCATATCCAAAGGCAAATGTTAAAGACAAAGAGAGAATCTTAAAGTCAGCAACAGAGAGAGACAATCCCATAAGACTGTCAGCTGTTTTCTCAACAGAAACACTACAGGCCAAAAAGGAATGGCATGAAGTATTCAAAGTAAGGAAAAGCAAGGTTCTGAAACCAAGACTATTCTATCCAGCCAGGCTGTTGTTCATAATTGAAGGTGAAAGTAAAAGCTTCTCAGAAAGAAAAAAAATGGTTAAACGAGTTTATTAGCACCAAACAATCATTACAAGAAATGCTAAAGGGACTGTTGTAAGAAGAATAAATATATAGAGAGGAATATAGGCATAAAGTATAAAAATGGAAATAAGCACCTGTCAACAGTAACCTTAAATGTAAATGGATTAAAGCTCCAATAAAAAGACATAGGATAGCTGAATTGATAAGAAAACATGACCCCGCCCTGGCCGGTTTGGCTCAGCAGTTAGAGTGTTGGCCTGCGGTCTGGAGAGACCCTGGTTCGGTTCCTGCTAAGGGCACGTACCTCGGTTGCAGTTTGTCCCCGGCCCTGATTGGGTCATGTGGGTGGCGACCACTCGATGTGTCCCTTTCACATTGATGTTTCTCTCTCTCTCTCTCTCTCTCTCCCTCCCACTCTATCTGAGCAAAATATCAAAAAATGTCCTCGAGTGAGGATAAAAAAAAAAAAAGAAAACATGACCCATATATATGCTGTCTACAAGAGACCCACCTCAGAACAAAAGACTCACACAGGTTGAAAGTGAAGGGATGGAAATTTTTTTTTCTCAAGCAAATGGAAACAAAAAATGTAGGGGTAGCAATACTTACATCTGATAAAATAGACTTTAAGACAAAGTCCATAATAGGCGATTACCCCGTAACACTAAAGGTATCATTTCAACAAGAGGCTATCACCCTGGTAAACGTATATATACCCAGTACAGGGGCATCCAAATATATTTTAAAAAACTTCTGGAGAACTTTAAGGGAGAGATACACAGCAATACAATCATAGTAGGGGACTTGAACACCCCACAGACATCACTGTGTTGATCTCCTAGACAAAAAAAATCAACAAGTAAACAGCGACCTAAACAACAAATTAGATCAGATGATTTAATTGATATTTACAGAACATTTCATCTAAAAGCGGCAGAATATACATTCTTTTCAAGTGCACATGGAACGTTCTCAAAGCTAGACCACATGTTAGGATGCAAAGCAAGTTTCTAAAATTCAAAAAGATTGAAATCATATCAAACATCTTGGATCACAACAGCATGAAGCTATAAATCAACTACAATAAAAAAACTAAAAAGCACATTGAGGCTAAATGGTATGTTATTAAACACTAAGTTACTGGTGTGTTCAAGGAAGAAATAAAAAAGCTTCCTGGAAACAAATGAAAATGAACACACAACAACACAACATCTGTGGGATACAGCTAAAGCAGTCCTGAGAGGGAAGTTTAATAGTATTATAGGCCTACCTCAAGAAACAAGAAAAAGCTCAAATGAATGATCTAACCCTATAACTAAACAAATTAGAAACAGAACAACAAAATCCAAGAGGAAGTAGAGGGAAGGAAATAATAAAGATTAGAGCTGAAATAAATGACAGAGACTAAAACATCAGTATCAGAGATCAATGAAACCAAGAGCCGGTTCTTTGAAAAGGTAAACAATATTGATGAAGCTTTAGCGAGATGCATGAAGAAACAGAGAGAGGACCCAAATAAGTAAAATCAGAAATGAAAAAGGCAAAGTAACAACTGACACCACAGAAATACAAAGGGTTGTAAGAAAATACTATGAATATCTATATGCTGAAAAAGTGAAAAACCGGGTGAAATGTTCAAATTCCTGAAATATACAATCTTCTGAAACACAATCAGGTGGCATCAGAAAACCTGACTAGGTATGCTAATGAAATTGTAACGGTAATAAAAAAAACTTCCAACAAATTAAAGTCTTAGACTGGATGGATTTACAGGTGAGTTTTACCACACACTTAAAGAAGACCTAACACCTATCCTCCTCAAACTACTCAAAAAAATTCAAGAAGAGGGACGACTTCTAAGCTTTTTATGAGGCCAGCATTATCCTAATTCCAAAACCAGATAAAGACCCTTCAGAGAAAGAAAATCACAAGCCAGTATCCCTGATGAACATAGATGTTAAAATCCTCAGTGAAATATTAGCAAACCGGATCCAGCAATACATTAAAAAGATCACACACCATGCCAAAGTGGGGTTTATTCCTGGGTCGCAAGGCTGGTACAATATTCACAAATCAGTAAATGTGATACATCATATAAACAAAACGAAGGATAAAAATCAGTCACATCAGTAAACTCAGAAAAAGCATTTGACAAAATCCAACACCCATTTTTTTAAAATTTTCACCTGAGGATATTTTTCTATTTATCTTCAGATAGAGCGGGAGGGAAGGATGGAAGGGGAGAAAGAGAAAGAGAGAGAGAGAAAGAAACATTGATATGAAAGAGACACATTGACTGATTGGTTCCTGCATGATCCCACCAGTGCCAGGGATGGATTGCAACCAAGGTACGTGCCCTTGACCGGAATCAAACCCGAGACTCAGTCTGTGGGCCAATGCTCTAACCACTGAGCCCAAACAGCCAGGGCCCAGCATTCATTTTTTATAAAAACTCAGCAGAGTGATAATAGGGGGAACATACCTCAACATAGTGAATGCTGTATATGAGAGACCTACAGTTAACATCATACTCAGTTGGCAAAAAGTAAGAGCATTTCCTTTAGAACAGGAACAAGACAAGATTGTCTGCTTTCACCACTCTTATTCAATATAGTACAGGAAGTCCTAGCCATAGTAATGCGAAAGAAGAAAAAATAAAAGGCATCCTAATTAGAAAAGAGGACTTAAAACTATCATTATTTGCAGATTACATGATATTGTACATAGAAAACCCTAAAGACTGCACCAAAAAATTATTAGATTTAATAAATGAATTCAGTGAAGTTGCAGGATACAAAATTAAGAACAAGAAGTCAATGACTTTTTTTTTTTTTATCTTCACCTGAGGACATTTTTGCATTTATCTTCTGATAGAATGGGAGGAAGAAAGGGAGGAAGAGAGAGAAACATTGGTTGCCACCCACATGACCTCAACTGAGGCTGGGACAAACTGCAACCGAGGTATGTAGCCTAGCGCGAACCGAACCCAGAACTGTCTGGTCTGCAGGCCAGTGCTCTAACCACTCAGCAAACTGGCCGGAGCTCAATGACTTTTTTATACACTAATAATGAACTCTCAGAAGGAGAAACTAAAAAATTTATTTAGCATTGCAATGATAAAAATAATATAATCTAGGAATAAACTTCCCCAAGGAGGTAAAAGATCTCTACTTGAAAAACTATACGACATTGAAAAAATAAATAAAGGAAGATACAGACAATTGGAAGTGTATACCATGTTTGTGGATTGGAAGAATTAACATCATTAAAGTGTCCATAGTACCCCAAACAATCTATAGATTCAACTCAATCCCTATTATACCAGTGCCATAATTTATAGATCTAGAATAAATATTCCAAAAATTTATATGGAACCAAAAAAGACCCTGAATAGCTACAGCAATCTTGAGAAAGAAGAACCAGATATAGTACCAGATATCAAATATACTACAAAGTCATTTTAATCAAAACAGCGTGGTACTGGCACAAGAACAGGCATATAGATCAATGGGACAGAACAGAAACCCCAGAAATTGACCCATGCCAATATGGTTGGTTAATACAGTGGAACCTTGATTTTTGAACTTAATTTGTTCAGCAAGTCTGTTAGAAAACCGAAGCATTTTTTCTAATTAGAAGTAACGTAAATTGAATTAATGTGTTCCAGAACCCCAAATGATTCCATTGTAACCTTACATACAGTACATGTCTAATGTACTGTTTAATCTATAAATAAATACTTTGAAAACAAAAGGACATGAACTATAAGTCAAAACTTAAAAAGGAAATGTATAGTAAATGAAAATTGGATAATACTAAAAACACCAAAAAAAGCAAAATAACAAAAATATAGCCCAATATTCTGAAGTGTTAAGAGCGGTAAACTGACTCATACTCACACATTTTCTCCTTTGTCACTTGAGAGACGAGTGACTGATCATACAAGTATTGGCATTAAAGGGTTGTCAGGTTGAGAAGTGAATTTTTCAAGATGGGAGACATTTGAGCACAGAAGTTTGTATTTGACAAAAGACGCGCATACAATGGAGTAGAGACAGTTTATTCAATAAATGATGTTGGGAATATTGGACAGGTACATGCAAAAAATTGAAACTAGAACACCAACTTACACCACACACAAGAATAAACCCAAAGTGGGTAAAAGAGTGAAATGTAAGTCACAAAACCATAAAAAAATCCTAGAAGGAAATATAGGCAGTAAAATCTCAGACATCTCACGTAGCAGAATTTTTGCTGATACGTCTCCTAGGGCAAGAGAAACAGGAAAAATGGGACTTCATTAAACTAAAATGCTTCTGCACAGCAAGAGAAACCATTCACAAAATGAAAAGGGAACCCTCTGTATGGGAGAACATATGCACCAATGATACATCTGATAAGGGGTTAATTTCCAAAATATATAAAGAACTCATACAACTCATCAAGAGGAAGACAGTCCAATTAAAAAATGAACAAAAGATCTGATTAGACACTTCTCTAAAGAGTACATACAGTTGGCCAAGGAACATATGAAAAATTGCTGAACATCACTAATCAGAGAGATGCCAATTAAAACTACAGTGACGTATCACCTCCCTGCCAGAATGGCTACATTAAGAAATTAATAAACAAGTGCTGGTGAGAATTTGGGGAAAAGGGAACCACAGTGCACTGCTGGTGGGAATGCAGACTGATGCAGCAACTGTGGAAAACAGTATAGAGATTCCTCAAAAAATTAAAAATTGGAAATGAATTTTGACCCAGCAATCCCACTTCTGGGGTTATATCCTAAGAAACCTGATATGCTAGTCAGAAAGAATATATGCATCCCTGTGTTCATAGCAGTGTTACTTACAATAGTTAAGATTTTGAAACAGCCCAAGTGCCTATTAGTAGGTGAGTGGATACAAAAGCTGTGGTATATTTCCACAATGGCATACTATGCAGCTGTAATAAAGAAGGAACTCTTACCCTTTGAGACAGCTTGGAGGCACCTGGAGATTATATGCTAAGCAAAATAAGCCAGTCAGAGAGAGAAGTATCACATGATTTCACTTATATGTGGAATCCAACGAACAAAATAATGAACAAATAGGTCCAGAGACATGGAAGCATGGAACATACTGACAGATCTCAGAAGGAAAGGGGGAGGGATGGGAAGAGATTAACCAAAGAACCTATGTACATAGCCCATGGACACAGACAATAGTGTGCTGAAGGACTGGGGTGGGGTGGGAGCCAGGTTGAGGGGGCAAAGTGAGGGAAACGGGGGGCATCTGTAATACCCTCAACAATAAAAAAAAAAAAAAAAGAAGAAGAAGAAGAAAAAAAGAAAAAAAAGAATAGCCCTAACCAGTGTTGCTCAGTTGGGCCTTGCCCTGTGTACCAAAAGGTTGCCAGTTTGATTCATGCTGTACAGAAAGCAGTCTGTTGATTTCTTGCTCTTACATTAGTGTTTCTCTCTTTCTTCCCCCTCCCCTCTCACCCTCCCTCCCTCTCTAAAAATTAGCTAAATTTTTTCAAATAAAAGGAAAAATAAAAATAGACTCTTGTTTTGTGTACTCATAACTATAAACCTATTATTGCCCACCCCTGTGTATATTGAAAAGCTCTTTGGGTTGATTCTAATGTCTTCCCTAAATTATATTTTGCTTCTAATGTATTTTAGGTGATTTAGGTGATTACATTTTTAGTCCCTTTCCTCCATATGGTAGAAATCTTAGGAAATCATAGTTATTAGCTTCTTGTTTTGTTGGACATTTTAAGAGACCAGGCTTCTTGCTTTTATTTTATGTTTGTTTGGCAAAAAGATTGCATTTAACTACTTTTCTTGTTAAATACAGTAGGGTTGTAAGACTCCTCAAGTGAAAGTTTGGATTTTAATCTAGAAAAATAATTATTTTTGAAAGCTTTTATAGTATAAAAGAAGCATTAAAAAATATTTTATTTTTGGAAATATTATGAATTGTTCTTGAAAGTAGATTGGCTTAATTTGCTTATGTGTTTATTTTGATGAAAGGTGAGAAATGAAGTTTCTTTAGTGTCAGAAGGCTTTCTCCCAGAGGATGGAAGTGGCCGCATTGTTGGTGTTCAGGACTTGCTGGATCAGGAGTCTGTGTGTGTGGCCACAGCTTCGGGAGATGTCCTACTCTGCAACCTCAGCACGCACCAGGTAAGGGCAAGAGTCTGGTGAGGAGGAAGCCTCCAGCGTCTTCAAACAAGACCTTGTTTTGCATAGAAGTTTAAAAAGTCAGGAGTTGTGATATTTAAGAATTTTGCACATTAGTGTTTTTGCACTATATATTTATTTACAAAAAATTGTTGGCGTGGCTTCAATTATATTTCAGGATTCTTCTAAAACTCAGTTTTGTCTACTGTATTTGTTAATCAGAACAATTACAACCTGGAAAAAAAAATCCTAACCATTCTTGTGTGGTGTAGCTCCCCCTTACATAAAATCTGATCCTGAGTTGTAACCTGTGTTTCTCAATTAGAAAGTCTTTGAAATATTTATATGACTTCTGTTTTCTGTTAGGAGTACTGGTTAAGTCTCTCGTTGATGGCTATTTTTGGAGTGCCTGAACTACAGGTCCTACAGTAATACATCATTCTACTTTATGATCACCGGAGGAGAGAGACTGCAGCCATTAGCCTCTTTCTCTCTTCTGGCATAAGGCTGACTTTCTGGATTTCTAAACAGCAAGTCTTCCACACTAAAATTGTCGGATTTTTTAACTTCTTTGAACTTTTTTAAACTTCTTTGATTACTCCATTAGTTGTGATCCCTTTAACTTTGATCATGTGATGAGATTTATAGTATTACTAATAATATAATAGTAGTTGTAGTAGTTTATTCATTATTCACAATGTGCCAGGCACTTTGTCAAGTGCTTTTCATGCAGAGTTTTATTTAAGATTCACTACAGTGTTATGAGGTAGATTGTTTCCCCATTCTTTAGAGCTGGAAGAATTTGAGGCACAGAGAGCTTAAGGAACTAGGCTGAAGTCATACAGTTGTCAGAGGGGATATGAATCCTGGCCATCTAATTCTGACACCTTTAGTGCCATAATAAATCTTACTTTCAGTTTATGGTAAGAAACACCAAACCATCAAGTACAACTTAATTAGTATTTCTCATATTTAGAAGGTATGCTTTTACTTTCAAAACATTTTGGAGCATTTTTTCCTGATTACTGAGTTCCTCCATTCCATTGATTTAATCACATGGGCTGATCCTCCCTATTTGTGGCTTCTCAGTGTCTGTAAGACAGAATCCATGTTCCTTGCTGTGCCTTGTAAGACCTTTCACTATCTGTTCCGCAGCTTCTTTAGCCTCCCCCACCACTCCTGCGTATGTGACACCTTATGTTCTATTTGTAGATGACTTTTAACTGCTCTTTTTATAGTTCTGTGTCTCAGCATTGCATTTTCCCCTGATCTCTTTTTCCTGGCCCTGTTACCACCCTTCAAGGCACCTTTCCAGGAAAGCTTTCCTGGACTGTCCCGGGCCACTGTAGTGATTCCCTGCTCTGAGCCCCCACTTAATTCCCAGAAATCTCAGTTATAGCCCCAATCCCACTGTAGAGTTGCCTTTTCATCCCCTTCATGAGACAACTCATAGTCACATCTACTTCCTGTGCCTTGTATCATGCCTTGTCCCTCTTTTTTTTTTTATCCTCACCCGAGGATATTTTTTTTCCATTTTTTGTATAGATAGAGTGGGAGGGAGAGAGAGGAAGGGAGAGAGAGAGAGAAACATCGACGTGAAGGGACACATCGAGTGGCTGCCACCCGCACGACCAACCAGGGCCGGGGACAAATTGCAACCGAGGTACGCGCCCTTAGCGGGAACCGAACCTGGGACTCTCCGGACCGCAGGCCGACGCTCTAACCGCTGAGCCAAACTGGCCAGGGCCTCTTTTTTTTTTTTTAATCCTCACCAGAGGATATCTATTCTGTTGAGTTTTAGAGAGAGTGGAAGGGAGGGAGGAAGGGGAGGAAGGAGAAAGAGAAACATTGATGTGAGAGCGGCACATTGGTTGGTTGCCTCCAGCATGGTCCCCAACCAGGGTCGTGGATGGAACCTGCAACCCAGGTTCGTGCCCTTGACTGGGAATTGAGCCCTCCACCCTTTGGTCTGAGGACCGACACTCTAACTGCTGAGCCACACCGGCCAGGGCAGTGCCTAGTCTCTTAATATCTGATACTGAATACATGTTTATTGAATAAATTCACATTTGTGTGTTTTGTTAATAATTATCTTGACCAAGGTTGTAGTAAATATGCATTGGGACAGTGGAGTTTTGAAATCTCTTGTATTTTTCTGTCTGTCTCAGCTGGAATGTGTTGGGAGTGTAGCTAGTGGTATCTCTGTCATGAGTTGGAGTTCTGATCAAGAGCTGGTGCTTCTTGCTACAGGTAAGCTTGTCATTGTTCTCATGTGACTTTATTATAAAGTATGACTCCTAAGATCTTACAGGGTTAAGTTTTGAGCTGTGTTGGTTTCAAAAATTTTCTTTGAACAATTATATCAGCATTATAATTCAGAGATAAATTTTATACTAGCCTTACATACATAAATAGCTGAGAACAACCACCTCGTCAAAAGTTTTTTTTTTTTTTTTTATCCTCACCCGAGGACATTTTTTGTTCAGATAGAGTAGGAGGGAGAGAGAGAGAGAGAAACATAGATGTGAAAGGGACACATTGAGTGGCTGCCACCCGCACGACCAACCAGCGCCGGGGACAAACTGCAACCAAGGTACATGCCCTTAGCGGGAACCGAACCCGGGTCTCTCGGGACCGCAGGCCGATGCTCTAACCGCTGAGCCAAACCGGCCAGGGCTCAAAAGTTCTTTTTTTAAAATGAGAGTCAAAGCATTTTGAATAAATTCTGTCTGCCTTGTTCTGACTATCAAGCTCTGTAGTTTCCGTTGCCATTGATACTTATGGAGTGGCATGTTCGTTACATGAAAACACAATCCTTCTTGTTTGTACTCCTCTAAGGTCAACAGACCCTGATTATGATGACAAAAGACTTTGAACCAATCATGGAACAGCAAATCCACCAGGATGATTTTGGCGAAAGTGAGTATAGCTTTGTTTGAAGCATTTTGTGACTTGGGGTTTCTCTCAGGTCTGATCATTTTCTTACACACTAATATCCATGTCATAACTCCAAGGACTGTGACACTTGAATTCTTGTTTATTAAGTGTCTGATCGCCCAGTTCCTTTAGCACACTCCTGCTCTTCAGAGGCATACCTCTGGTGCCTCTCCAGGTCTGAGAGTTGACTTTGTCAGTAACCTGGGGAATAGAAATCTGTGCTTAGGGTCACCCAGATAGTTGTTGCCCAAAACCCAGGAAAGGCTTAGGCTGGAGGTTTGATGAAAGGGACTGTACACTAGCTAGAATGAGGAGAGCATTTCTGGGATACAACTTTGGGGAGAAAACAAGAAAGGTCAGATAGAAGGCTGGTTTTTAACTTTTGCTGAGATCTGACATTATGCCTTCTTGTTTCACCAACTCTGAGAGGTCATTTAGAAAACTGCTACTCGTTTATTAATTCAAAAGTAATTTATTTGTTCAGTAATAATTTTTGAGTAGGAATGAACCCAGCAGTGTTTGGTGCTATAGATAATTTGGCTTGTCCCTTAAGGAGTCCCATTAGTTCAGTAATACCTTGATGTACAGATATTAGGGTAGCATAAGGGGAGGAAGGGAGGAGTGGAGAGGGAAGACTTCTGAGATGAGGCTACTTGAGCTGAATATTGGCTGAATTGGTGTTGGGTAGATGAGGGTTGAGGGTAGGGAAGTGGTCCAGGCAAGTGAATAAACCCATTCCAGGGCAGCGTGTTTCCCAGGAGCCTTTGACACATGGCTTATTCAGACAGCTAGGTACTTAGCAATGATGGTTGGCAGGACGTGAGTGTGGGATGAAATAAACAGGATGGATTTTGATTAAGTTTGTTACAGAATTTGGACATGGAGTTATAGGTGATGAGCCATTAAAGGTTTTGATGATGCAAGATTGACTGAATGATTGGTGCAGAGGGAAGAGGCAGGGTGATCTGGTAAACGGTTGCTATAGGAATATAGATGAGGGTATGGGGCCAAAAGAGGCAATAATTCAGGAAAAATTTGATTCTCAGTGAGGATGGGAGTACATTTTTTGGAATTATCTAAGCATCTTTTTTGGAATATAGGTGCATGGCTCCTCTCCTGCCCTAGCCAGTTTGAGAAATACCACTTTAGAAAGTGAAATAAGGAAGCTTTGGGTATGTAAGGTGAAGGAGAAAGTTTAATGGGGCTCCAGCCAGAAGCTCAGGTGCCAGGATCTGAGAGGGAGGGTGGGGAAATGCTGGTCTGTAAGGGGTAGGTGGTGAGTTCTATTTTGGGTTTGTTTCAGGGCCACATGGGATTACCGTGTAAAGTAGGCAGATGTAAGGGGCTGGATCATTGGCATGTAGGGATCTTTATAGTCTTGGTAGTAGATGAACTTGCTCAGGAAGTAGGTGTGGTACTGGAAGAGTGCAGGCTCCAGGATGGAACTCTGGGGCATCCAGCTTTGAGGACAGTTGCAGAGATAGATAATAACCAGCATACCTGTGCTTGGGAAATGCCTTGGGCCAGGCGAATCCCACTGATTTTTTCATAAGATGCTTAATAGAGTAAATCAAGGGAGCGAGGGGAGTCCAAGTTAGGGTTTTACATCTTAGAAATGTATTTATCGGTACAAAACAATCACTCATGAAGTGGTAGATATTTTTCCTCTAACCCAGAGGTTGATAAACTTGCTCTGTAAAGGGCTGGATGGTAAATATTTTTAGCTTTGCAGGCTGTATAGTCTCTGATGAAACTACTTACCTCTGCTGTTGCAGTGTGAGAGCAGTTACAGACAACACATAATGGAACGGGCATGGCTGTTTCAGTGAAAGCTGATTTGTCACAGACACAGGCTGTAGTTTGCTGTGTCCCGCGATAGCTCCATCGCTTGTGTGATCCCACTGGAAAGGTTCTCTTGCTTTACTCCTTGGTCCTTTACCTCTCTGTGGAACCTGCGGTGGAAGCCCAAGTGTGTGCACAGACTAGCATGCTATTTGTACCCAGTAGCAAGGTATGCTCTGAGGTACACATGGTACTTGGATGTGCCCATGCAGAGCAGACAGGAAATGGTTGTACTGACCCATAATTTATAGAAACTATAAATAGCCCCTTTTCATCAGAGTCCATGGTGGGAGGGAAGTACTGGGCCCTGGATTGGCCAGTGCTTTGAGGGACATCTCTGTAGTACTTGCCTCCAGGAACAGGGTTCTGCATTGTTTCAGCAGCTCTGACTTCATACTTCATGTAAGAGAAGCATTATGATTTAGAAGGAACCTTGCCTGGAAGGCAGACGCCCTATGTCCTGATTTTAGCCTCTGATACTAGGGGTTCTCAGTGTCTGTCTACATGAGGAGTTGAATTCCATCATCTGCCGTCCCTTCCACCACTAGCAGGGAGGTCAGAAACATTTAGTGAATTGAAAGCTTATAATTAGAATTTTATTCCCAACTCTGTGTAGAGCTTTATGTCTTGTTATCAGTGGATATATTGTGTAGCTTCTTTGTGTTTCATTCTTCTTGTACAGTGGGGTGGATTGCTGAGTGTCATCAAGGGAGTTTAGAAAATATATATGATGGCATTAAAGCTCTATCTGAAATAGGAGCACTTCAGAGTCTTTAAAATCACTGCAGCATATAATATGGAACATAGGTTTTTCACATATTGGCTGCTGGTCAATTTATTGAGAGGTCTCAATAAATCTGAACACCCAAGTAATTATCAGTCCCTAAGTTGTTGAAAACTAGCAATGAAACTGCATTTATTTCCGTTCATTTATCTTACTGGTTGTCTTGCTGTACTCAATCACTTGTTCTCTAGGCAAGTTTATCACTGTCGGATGGGGCAGGAAGGAGACCCAGTTCCATGGATCAGAAGGCAGGCAAGCGGCCTTTCAGGTGCAAATGGTAAGGTTGGTCTGATGGATAAAGAAACTTGATTGGAATAAGTAGAATTTCTGCCACCCACCAGGAGCCCTACCTCTCTAGTTGGAGGCTAATAATGGACACGTGTCTTGTGCTCTAGTAAAACTAAACCTTTTCAGAAAATGTCAGGGAGTGAGTTATCTTAGAAAGATCCTTTTTTATTAAAACAATTTTTTTTTCTTTATTGACTTTTAGAGAGAGAGAGGAAGGGAGAGGGAGAGAGAGATAGAAACATCGATGAGAGAGAACATCGACTGGCCACCTTCTGCATGCCCCCCACTGGGGATCAGGCCCACAACCTGGGCATGTTCTCTGACCTGGAATCGAACCGGCAACCTCTTGGTGCATCCATAGGTTGGCGCTCAACCACTGAGCTACACCAACTGGGCAACGTTTTTCTTTAAATGCCAAGTTGCTTCATCAATTTTTTTTTAGTGTACAGAATAATTATAACCAATATTCAGTTTAAAATGTAAATTGCAGCTCGAAATAAAGCACTCTATGTATCCCTTTCTGATACATAGGGGGAGTTGTGTTTATACTTTTCCTACATATGTAGATATTAGATAATTTTTCCTGATTTTTCCTCTTGGATGAAACTTGTTATTTTCCTTCTTTCTGGATACATTTTGAAGGTAGAGCTACAGGGCTCACGTGTGGGGTGTGAGAGAGTGGAATGGAGGAGGATTTGGGGACTGGGCAAATGGAAGCATTGTGTGTCTAGTATATATAGAAGTTTCCACGAGCTGCCCTTCTAGGGTAAATGAGTCAGTAACAGACTGCCTGCCTTTCTCCTCCTTCATTATTTCTGGCTGCATTTTGTGACTCGTATTTCATCCTTTAACACTGCACTAGAGGAAGCTTGTGTTCTATACCATGGGCAGTTGCACCTGGGACAGATCTTGTTAGCTGCCAGTGTAGACTGTGGCACTAGCACCATTCTGACATAGCCTGTCACAGGAGTGGGATGATGGCTCCTCAGGCGGGTTTGTCCCCAACCACGCATTGAAGGGATTGAGATGTAAGTGACACCAGAAAGCCTTTCTTCCTCTTAGACTGTGAGCACAGAACAGGTCCGTGTTTTCATCGCCGCTGCTGCCTTCATTACCTCTGGCTCGTCTCTTCTGTGTGCTGCTGTGAAGCTTGCACACAAATAAAACTCTCTCTTACTGAGACAAAGAACGTTTGTTTTCTTGCTGTAGATACCTGGTAGATGACTCAGCTCACTGGTGATACTGTCCAGATCTGTAACTCTCTTCCCTTGTTGCTTGGAGGTTACTTTTTTTTTAATGCCCAAAGAAGGATTTTGCTTTTTAGTTCTTTTCTCTTCTATTGATTTCTGCATTAAAGGGTCCTTTTATCAGATGAGTCCCTCAGGTTCCTGGGAAGTTGGTTTTCTAGACAGTTTAACCTTATATAAAAGATTAGAATTTAATAGCCTGAGGCTTGTTCAATTCTGGGCCATTTAAGGCCCCAGTGACATTTGTCTTTTGTCATGTCTTTAGCTTGAGTCTGCTTTGCCCTGGGATGACCAGAAACCACAAATCACCTGGCGTGGTGATGGACAGTTTTTTGCTGTGAGTGTTGTTTGCCCACAGACAGGTATGGAAATAAATTGCAATTGAACAAAATAAATAAATAAAGAAAAGTTATTAAGTTCAGGGAAATTTTTCTTCATTTTTTTTAGACAATACTAAACATTTTAAAGATTTTTTAAAAAATTGAATTTTACAGAGAGAGGAAGGGAGAGAGAGAAAGAAACATTGATGTGAGAGAGAAACATCTATCGGTTGCTTCCTGCATGCCCCCCCACCAGGAATCGAGCCCACAACCTGGGCATGTGCCCTGATCTGGAATTGAACTAGCGATGGATGATCATGCCCAACTAACTGAGCCACACCGGCCAGGGCAGTTTTTTCTTTTTCATTGAGGGTTTTCTTTTATTATGTAAAGATAATGGTGCTTTAGGTGTTACTGAATTTAGAGCTAAGAATTAGAAGAGTTCTTTGAGGGTATTTTATCCAGCCTCCTGCTTGTTGGACACAAAATTTTTAACAAAATTCATCTAATTGGCTTTGTAAAACTAGGACAGTTTTTATTAGTAAGGGAGGTGTTTGGAAAGTTCAGACTTGACAACATTTATCATATGCTTTAAGTTTGTTTCTGTCTCCTCTTCCTACTGCATAGGGGCTCGGAAGTTCCGCGTGTGGAACAGAGAGTTTGCTCTACAGTCCACCAGTGAGCCTGTGGCAGGACTGGGCCCGGCTCTGGCTTGGAAGTGAGTGGGAGAAGAAGTCTTAAAACTCCTTCCTCAGAATTTCTTGGAACTAGGGTAGGGGTGGTGGTACCTGTTTCATCTGGGTGTTTTTATAACACACACAAAAAGAATTACTTTCTTCATTTGGCTGTAAGCTTGTATGTTTCTTTCTTTTTAGTTCACTGAAGTCTGACTACAGTTTGAATGGTAGATTCTAAGCTTCTTTATAGATCTCATCATCCCAAGACCCACACATTTTGTAGGTTATAGCAAGGTCTCCAAGAAGCCATTGTATAAAACAGAAAATGGTGCTCAGAAGGGAAACCGCAGCCTGCACAGCTCTGTGGGGCAGTGGAGCCTTGCTGAAGACTAGGAAGAGGCTTCCTTCCTGTGCACAGACTCCCACCTTGTAAGGGGATCTGTGTGCCAAGGAACCTGCAGGCTGGATTCAGCCTGATTCTCCTGGTGGCCCAGCAGCCTTGTGCCAGTCACTGCCTGCCTTCGACCTGCGGCTGCCCTGACTATAGACGGAGGAAATGTCTCATTCGCTGTCTCAGTGGCATCTGTTTTAGGCAAAGCCACTAGGTCTCTAGGTTTTAGATATCGTGTTTACCATCAGTATTTGAATGGCAGTTGGATGATAGCGCAAAGAGAAAAATATGTTTGAATTAAAAGCTAGAGACCAAATATAAACAAGACGAGGAGATGGAGTCTTTAAACATACCCACCTAAGCATGGAATGTCTGCTGACGTTATCTACTTGAAGGAGAAATAGGTTATGGTTTTATAGGGCATTATTCATGAAAAAATTTAAATAATGTATTTTTTTTTTTTTATCCTCACCTGAGGACATTTTTCTATTTTCTGTTCAGATTGAGTGGGAGGGAGAGAGAGGAAGAGAGGGAGAGAGAGAAACATCGATGTGAAAGGGACACATCGAGCGGCTGCCACCCACACGACCAACCAGGGCCGGGGACAAACTGCAACCGAGGTACGTGCCCTTAGCGGGAACCGAACCCGGGTCTCTCTGGACCGCAGGTTGATGCTCTAACCGCTGAGCCAAACCGGCCAGGGCATGTATTTTTTTTTTTTAAAGTCATCCAAGTGCAATCTAAATCTGAGGCTTTGTGGGCAAATGGAAGCTTTGTGAAAATTAGGAAAAGGCACTCTGTCCTCTGGGTAGGTGGAGTCTCACACTAGGGGGACTGCTTACCAAGAGACACATGGAATTTAAAACTTCCTTGGATGGTTCTTGTTTGTTTTTGCTGGAAAAATCCAATTTCTTCTAATTTCATCTTGTTTGAAGCCAGCTGCGTGCACTATGGGGCCTTCTAACATACTGTGTTTACTTTCAGGCCCTCGGGCAGTTTGATTGCATCCACACAAGATAAACTCAACCAGCAGGATGTGGTGTTTTTTGAGAAAAATGGACTTCTTCATGGGCAGTTTATGCTTCCTTTCCTCAAAGACGAGGTGAAGGTAGGTGCCTGAGTTGTTTCACCATCAAATTTAGAAGACTTGCACAACTAGGGAAGATTCGTATCTGGGAGCTCCATTGTAGATAGTGAGAGGAATAGTGGCTTCTTATAACTGAGGGCCTTTCCCTTAAAAAAAAGAAATTCTTTTTCTTAGAGATTTATTTTATTATTTTTTAGAGAGAAAGGAAGGGAGAGAGAGAGAAACATTGATGTGAGAGAAACATCGATCGGCTGCTTCCTGACACCCCCTACTGGGGAATGAGCCCGAAACCCAGGTGTGTGCCCTGACTGGGAATTCAGCCAGGCCTTCTCAGTCCAAGGGATGATGCTCAACCCACTGAGCTATACCAGCTGGGCATTTCTTAAAGATTAAAAAAAATTTTTTTTTCCTTTATTGATTTTTAGAGAGAGAGGAAGAGAGAGAAACATCGATGAGCAAGAACATCAATTGGCCTCCTCCTGCATGCCTTCCCCTGGAAATTGGGCCCACAACCTGGGCATGTGCCCTGACCAAGAATTGAACTGGCAACCTCTTGGTGCATGGGTCAATGCTCAACCACTGAGCCACACTGGCTGGACTTAGAGATTTTTAAAGAAGAAATAATTTCTTTCCCATTCTAGATAAAACACAACAAGAAGTAGAAATGCTAGTTTGTATTGTTTATTTTGACAAAAGTACATCTTTAATAAAGATGCTTTTCATTCATAACATTTAAACCTTAAGCAGCTTGTGTACCATTAGGATCTTTGTTGGGGCACATACACATCAAATGATAATCTTTAAGTACACTAAAAGTTGAGAGAAGAGGTTAATGAACTCCCATGTGCCTCTTATTTGTAAAATACCAACATTTTGTAAAATTATTTTATGTATTTATCACTCTGACATACACACACAAACATGCATTTTTATTTTATTTTCTTGGGTTTTTTTAATTTTAGAAAATGTATTTTTAATACTCATTTTTAACAGTCAAGAACGTTTTTGTTTAACCATAAATAATCACAGTTATATTATCGAATCTTATAAAATTTGTGGTCATTTCTTAGTGTTGTCTCATACCCAGTCAATATTCAAATGTCCCTGATTATATAAAATGTCACTTGCATTTGGTTAAGTCTCTTTTAATCTTTAAGCATAATTTTGTAAAGTCCTCTCCATAGAGTGACATATGACAGATTTGTTTAATGGCTCTGTAGGGGGTCCACTCCAGGAGTGGGATTGTTTGTGGTTTGTGAGAGCAGGGAATTCAGCTGTCACAAAGATTTTGAAGTAAATGCACAGGTAAAGGACAATGGCAGGTCTTTTTTCCCTACTAGGTAAATGACCTGCTCTGGAATGCAGATTCCACTGTGCTTGCAGTTTGGTTGGAAGACCTTCAGAGGAAAGAAAATTCTGCTCTAAAAACCTATGGTAAGACAGCTGCATTGTCTCAGCATTATGCCCCATAAAATGTACTTGAAATTGGAGTGGAGTTGCCCTTATCCCTTCCACTTAATCTTGCAGTGGACTCAAAGATGGGGGAGGGATGTGGGTGGAGGTGGGCAAGTGGTTAGGTTTTGACTATTGATGGTTTCAATCGCATGAAATCAGTCAGGGGTCTCTAGAGAAACAGAACCAGGGCAGACCAGTGAGCTGGAAATTCAGGTAGGAGTTGATGTTTCAGTCTTGTCTGAAATTTATAGGTCAGGCTGCAGTTTGCAGACAGGCAGGATTCTGTTACAGTTTTGAGGCAGAATTCCTTTTTCTCTGGGAAACATTTGCTCTTTAAGGCCTTTAACTCATTGGATGAGACCCACCCCCATTATGAAAGATAATCTGCTTTATTTGAAGTCAGCTGATTGTAGTAGGACAAAGTTGGTAAAGGGGATCAAATGAATGGTGACAGATGGAAACTAGAATTTTGGTGGTAAGTGCTCTATAGGATATACAGATATTAAATTGTAATATACACTGAAATATCTATAATGTTACTAACCAATGTTACCTCAATAATAAATAAATAATTTTTTAGATAAGTGAGAAAAAAAGTCAACTGATTATATATGTTAATCATATCTACAGAATATCTTCCTACCTTCTCAGCAACATTTAGATTAGTGTTCAACCAAACAACCTGGCACCATAACCTAGCCAAGTTGGCACATAAAATTGACCATTATAGGTAGGTCATCAGTACTTGCTTTTCTTAGATGGTATTGTACAGGAAATCAAAATATTGAGCAAAGGAATACTACACTGTGGAAGCGAAAGATAATTGGATTAGATATACGAATTTTTTCTGTGCCTTTTAAATTGTGTAAATCGGTATTTTTTACTGTGTACTTAATAGGTGTAGACATTTGAAAATAAAGATGAGAAGGAAAATAGTTAATAATTGTGTCACTTTAATAATCACTATTAAAATATTCTCATCTTCCAGATTTATGGGGTATATCTTAGTATAGACATGATCTCACTTTTATTATGTATATAGGTATGATATATGCAGTTTTGTAATTTACATGCAGTTTTGTAATTTACATGCAGTTTTGTATCTTACTTTTCCACTGTCACCAACATATTTTCATTTCAGATATCCATCTGCATTATTCTAAATTGCCATTTAATATTCATTTGTGGCACCGTTTATTAAATCCCATTCTGTTTTCAAATTTTTCATTATCAACAGTAGTGCACTGAACATTTTTGTTCATAAATCTTTTTACTTGCTTGGTTATTTCTAAGTGGCTTTCAAACTTTTTATTTTTATTTATTTATTTATTTATTTTTAATGAATTCTTTATTTATTTTTTTGTTACAGATATTTTACCTTTTTACCCCATTGGCACCCCCCACCCCACCCCACCTCCGCCCCGTCCCCGGCTTAGTTGTCCATGTCCATTGGTCATGCATACATGCATATAAGTTCTGTGCTTTATCTCTTCCCACCCCCTCTTCTGAGGGATGTCAGTCTGTGCCCTACTTCCATGTTTCTGGGTCTACTGTATTCCTCAGACTGTTATGTTCATTATATTCCGTATATAAGGGAGATCATGTGGTATTTGTCTTTTTCTGCTTGGCTTCTTTCACTTAGGATAATACTTTCCAGGTCCCTCCATGTCGTCTCAAAGGATAAGAGATCTTTTCTTTCTTACCGCTGCATAGTACTCCATTGTGTATATGTACCACAGCTTTTTCATCCATTCGTCTACTGGTGGACACTTGGGCTGTTTCCAGATCTTAGCTATTGTAAATAGTGCTGCTATGAACATGGGGGTACATATATTCTTCCTGATTGGTGTTTCAGGCTTCTTAGGGTATATTCCCAGCAGTGGGATCACTGGGTCAAATGGGAGTTCAATTTTTAATTTTTTGAGGTAGCACCATATTGTTTTCCATAGCGGCTGCACCAGTCTGCATTCCCACCAGCAGTGTATTAGAGTCCCCTTTTCTCCACACCCTCGCCAACACTTGTTTGATGATTTGTTGATGGCGGCCATTCTGACAGGTGTGAGGTGATACCTCATTGTTGTTTTAATTTGCATCTCTCTGATGATTAGTGATGTTGAGCATTTCTTCATATGTCTTTTGGCCATTTGTATGTCCTGTTTGGAGAGGTGTCTGTTCAGCTCCTCTGCCCATTTTTTAATTGGGTTCTTTGTCTTCCTTTTGTTGAGTTGTATGAGCACTCTATATATATTGGAAATTAACCCCTTATCTGATACATCATTGGCAATGATGTTCTCCCATACAGTGGGTTGCCTTTCCATTTTGATGATTGTTTCTTTTGCTGTGCAGAAGCTTTTTAGTTTGATGTAGTCCCATGTGTTCATTTTCTCCTCTATTTCTGTTGCCTAGGTGATGTATCAGTGAAAATTCCGCTCCGTATGATGTCCGAAATTTTGTTGCCTACATTTTCTTCCAGAATTTTTATGGATTCACGGGTCACATTTAAGTCTTTTATCCATTTCGAGTTTATTTTTGTGTATGGTGTAAGTTGATGGTCTAGTTTCATTTTTTTGCATGTAACTGTCCAATTTTCCCAACACCATTTATTAAAGGGGCTGTCTTTACTCCACTGTATGCTCTTGCCACCTTTGTCAAATATTAATTGAGCGTATTGCCTTGGGTCCATTTCTGGGTTTTCAGTTCTGTTCCACTGGTCTATATGCCTGTTCTTGTGCCAGTACCTGGCTGTTTTGGTTACAGTCGCTTTGTAGTATAACCTGATATCTGGTATTGTGATCCCACCTACCTTGTTCTTCTTTTTCAAGATTGCTGTGGCTATTCGGGGTCTTTTTTGGTTCCATATGAACTTTTGAAGTATTTGTTCTAGTTCTATGAAATATGTCGTTGGTATTTTGATGGGGATTGCATTGAATCTATAGATTGCTTTGGGTAGTATGGACATTTTAATGATGTTAATTCTTCCAATCCATGAACAGGTTATGTGCTTCCACTTTTTTATATCTTCCTCTATTTCTTTTTTCAATGACCTGTAGTTTTCTGCAAATAGGTCCTTTACTTCTTTGGTTAAGTTTATTCCTAGGTATCGTAATTTTTTTGGCGCGATGGTAAATGGGATTGTTTTTTCAGTTTCTCTTTCTGTGAGTTCATCATTGGTGTACAAGAATGCCGTCGATTTCTTGACGTTAATTTTGTATCCTGCTACTTTGCCAAATTCATTTATTAAGTCTAGTAGATTTTTGATGGAGTCTTTAGGGTTTTCTATGTATAATATCATGTCATCTGCAAATAATGACAGTTTCACTTCCTCCTTTCCAATTTGGATCCCTTTTATTTTTTCTTCGTGTCTGATTGCTGTGGCTAAGACTTCCAGTACAGTGTTAAATAAGAGTGGCGAAAGTGGACATCCCTGTCTTGTTCCTGTTCTTAATGGAAATGTTTTTAGTTTCTGTCCATTGAGTATGATGTTGGCTGTAGGTCTTTCATATATGGCCTTTATTATGTCGAGATATGATCCCTCTATTCCTATATTGCTGAGCGTTTTTATCAGAAATGGATGCTGGATTTTGTCGAATGCTTTTTCGGCATCTATTGATATGATCATGTGGTTTTTATTCTTCATTTTGTTTATGTGGTGTATCACGTTTATTGATTTGCGAATATTGTACCAGCCTTGCATCCCTGGAATGAATCCCACTTGGTCATGGTGAATAATTTTTTTGATGTATTTCTGGATTCGATTTGCTAATATTTTGTTCAGGATTTTGGCGTCTATATTCATCAGGGATATTGGCCTGTAGCTTTCTTTCTTTGTAGTGTCTTTTTCTGGTTTTGGAATTAGAATTATGCTGGCCTCATAGAACGTGTTTGGAAGTCTTCCTTCTTGTTGAATTTTTTGAAATAGTTTGAGGAGAATGGGTGTTAGTTCTTTTTTGAATGTTCGGTAAAACTCCCCCGTGAAGCCATCTGGGCCTGAGCTTTTGTTTGCTGGGAGAGTCTTGATTACCTCTTCAATTTCCTTAGTTGTTATTGGTCTGTTCAAGTTTTCTATCTCTTCTGGGAATAGTTTTGGGAGACTGTGTGTTTCTAGAAATTTGTCCATTTCGCTTAGATTGTCAAATTTGTTGCCATATAGTTGTTCATAGTAGTTGTCAATGATCTTTTGTATTTCCCTGGTGTTGGTTGTTACTTCTCCTCTTTCATTTCTGATTTTGTGTATTTGCGTTCTCTCTCTTTGTTTCTTGGTGAGTCTAGCTAAGGGTCCATCAATCTTGTTTATCTTTTCGAAAAACCAGCTCTTTGTTTCATTGATCCTTTGAATTGTTTTTTTGGTCTCTATGTCATTTATTTCTGCTCTGATCTTTACTATTTCCTTCCTTCTACTTGCTCTGGGGTTTTCTTTTTGTTTGCTTTCTAATTCTTTAAGTTGTGAGGTTAGACAGTCAATTAGAAATTTTTCTTGTTTTTTGAGGTAGGCCTATAGCGCTATGAACTTCCCTCTCAGAACTGCTTTCGCTGCATCCCATAGATTTTGTGTTGTTGTGTGTTCATTTTCATTGGTTTCCAGGAAGTTTTTAATTTCTTCCTTGATCTCCTCGGTGACCCATTCATTGTTTAATAACATGCTATTTAGCCTCCATGTGTTGAAATGTCTTTGCATGTTCTTGTTGCAATTGATTTCTAGTTTCATGCCATTGTGATCTGAGAAGATGCTTGATATGATTTCAATCTTCTTGAACTTGTAGAGATTTAGTTTGTGACCTATCATGTGGTCTATCTTTGAGAATGTCCCATGTGCACTTGAGGAGAATGTGTATTCTGTAGTTTTGGGGTGTAATTCTCTGTAGATATCTATTAAATCCATTTGGTCTAGTGCTTCATTTAGAGTCTCTGTTTCCTTGCTAATTTTTTGCCTAGAGGATCTATCCAGTGCTGTCAACGGGGTGTTGAAGTCCCCTGCTATGATTGTATTGTTGTCGATTTCTCCTTGGAAGTCCTCCAGAAGATTTTTAATATATTTTGGTGCTCCTATATTGGGTGCATATATGTTTATCAAGGTTATATCTTCCTGTTGGATAGATCCTTTCAATATTATGTAGTGGCCTTCTTTGTCTCTAGTTATGGTCTTCATTTTGAAATCTATTTGATCAGATATGAGAATTGCTACCCCAGCTTTTTTTTGCTTTCCATTTGCTTGGAAAATTTTTTTCCATCCCTTCACTTTCAACCTATGTGAGTCTTTTGTTGAGAGGTGGGTCTCTTGTAAACAACATATAGATGAGTCATGCTTTCTTATCCAATCAGCTACTCTGTGTCTTTTTATGGGAGCATTCAGTCCATTTACGTTTAAGGTGATTATTGATATGTACTTATTTATTGCCATTTTTGTTTAGTGTGGTTCTATTTTTCTTCCCATTTCTACTGCTAATTACAGCAGTCCTTTTAACATTTCTTGCAGTGCTGGTTTGGTGCTAATGTATTCCCTTAGCCTTTTTTTGTCTGGGAAGCTCTTTATTTGATCTTCTATTTTGAATGATAGCCTTGCTGCGTAGAGTCGTCTTGGATTCAGATTCTTGTTTTTCATGACATTGATTACTTCATGCCATTCTCTTCTGGCCTGTAGTGTTTCTTGTGAGAAGTCAGCTGAGAGCCTTATGGTGTTCCCTTTGTAGGTAACCTGTTGCTTATCTCTTGCTGCTTTTAGGATTCTCTCTTTGTCTTTAATTTGTGGCATTTTAATTACTATGTGTCTTGGTGTGGGCCTGTTTGGGTTCTTCTTACTTGGGACTCTCTGTGCTTCTTGAACTTGAATGCCTTCTTCCTTCACCAAATTAGGGAAGTTTTCTCTCACTATTTTTTTGAATATATTCTCTATCCCTTGCTCATTTTCTTCTTCTTCGGGGACTCCTATGATGCGAATATTATTACGTTTCCAGTTGTCCCATAGTTCTCTTAACCTGTCTTCCTGTTTTTTAATAGTTTTTTCTTTTTGTTTTTCTGATTGGTTGATTTTTTCTACCCTGTCTTCTAATTCACTGATCCGGTCCTCAGCTTCCTCTACTCTGCTTTTTAAACCTTCCAATGTGTTTTTCATTTCTGATGTGTCATTTTTTATCTCTTCTTGTTGGTTTTTAATTTCCAATTGGCTTATTTTCAGTGTCTATGTCCTTACTCATGCTGTTCAGCTTCCTCAAGATCATGGCTCTGAATTCTAGCTCTTTTAACATGCCTAATTGCTCCACATTGATCTCATCTTCGGTGGATGTCTCTTGCTCTTTCATTTGGCTTCTGTTTCTGTGTTTCACCATTTTGGCTATCACTGTGGGCTTTGGAGCCTGTCAAGTTCTCCCTGTGGGTGTTGGTGTTCTACTGTTTGTGGCTCCCTCTCCTGTGTTTAGATGAGCGAGGGAGGACCCACGTTGAACACCACTGTCAAGTCTTACTTTCCTGGTTAAAGTTGCCAGCCCAGGAAAGGTACTGTTATCCTCTAGCTTTTTGCCTGGAGGCTAGCAGTCGAGGTTACTTGATGAGTTTTGGGTTGTCAGTTGATTGAAAAGCTCCCTCAGGTGCTTAGCACAAGGGGATTTCCCGAGGGTGGGGCAGATGCTGGTCCTTAGTGAGCCTCAATTAGCACTTCAATGGCCCACAGGGTGGGGTTGGATCTCCGAGGCAGGGGCTGCTGCCTCTCTCAGAGCCCTGGGAAGGAGCAATGTGGCCACCGTCCTGAGTGGCTGCACTCAGCCAAAGCTCTGAGCGTCCTCCAAACCCCGAGTGTCCTGACACAGTTCCAGTCCAGTCTGCCCTCCCTCTGCCGGAGCCCAAGGTGAGTGGCTGTGGCTGTTTCAGCCTCTGTCCCGGCTGCGCTGTGGAGCCACCTGGGAGTGTAACCCGAGGGCGCCGCTCCCAGCTAAGGCCGCTGCCGAGCTGCCGACCGTGGGCTCCCAGCCCCGTCTCGCGCCTTCGCAAGCCTACCAGGATGGAGTCAGTGTCCCTCGTTGTATGGTCCTCACAAGCTGCTTTTCTGTTGCTTTTTCCCGTCGATTTGTCTGTGTTATAGTTGTAATTCCAGTTTGGTTCTGGGAGTCGGTCTGTGTAGCTCCGTTCACTCCGCCGCCATTTTTCCTCTCCGCTTTCAAACTTTTTAATCAGTAGAACTTTTTCTTTAACTCAGGTGCTATTAAGAAGCTTATTCATTCATTCGTTCATTTGACTCAGTGGTTTTCAACATTGGCTGCACCTTTAGGAAAAAAAGCAAAATACTTTCCAGGCCTCGTCTCATTGGATTAATTGTGTTAGAATGAAGACTGTCCGTCAGTATATAATTAAAAAAAAAAATCTTCCAGATGATTTTTAGCATGCAGCCAGGGTTGAGAACCACAGGGTGTCAAGGGCAGGCACTGTCCTATGCTCAGAATATATATTGCAGAAGAACATAAGAACAGCCACAGTGCCTGTCTTCACAGAGCATGAGCACATAGTCTAACTTACCAACTCACTGCTAGGGAGAAGTATTTCCATTTCCGGGTTAGAGAACTAGGTGAGATTTGCTGTGAGCACTCAATTAAGAATCAGTGAGCATGGAAATGCTTAAAGAAAATGAGTTTCTTAATATAATCAAGATATTCATTTATGTATGTAATCTATTTAAATAAAGGTTGGTTTTAACATGATTAAGTCTTTTTTTAAAAGTTGTATTGAGATACATACATGTATCAAATCATGTTGCTAAATGTTTACCACAATGAGATTTACCTCACATAATTAGCATTTTATTGTTATAGTGAGAACATCTAAAATCACTTAGCATCATTCATTCATTCACTCATTCATTCATTCATTCATTCATCAGCATAGCCTATGCAGAAACTCTAAGAACCTCATATATATATATATATATTTTTAATCCTCACCCGAGGACCTTTTTTAGTTTTTTTTTTTCCCCCAGATAGAGTGGGGTGGGGGGGGAGAGAGAGAGAGAGAGAAACAGAGAGAAACATCGATGTGAAAGGGACACATCGAGTGGTTGCCACCCAAACGACCCAACCAGGGCCGGGGACAAACTGCAACCGAGGTACATGCCCCTAGTGGGAACCGAACCCAGGTCTCTCTGGACTGCAGGCTGACGCTCTAACTGCTGAGCCAAAGCGGCCAGGGTGCAACTTGCAAGTATATGTTACTGTATGGTTAGCTACAGTCACCATTCTCTACATTAGATCCCTGGAACTTACTCATCCTGTAACTGAAGGTTTGTATCCTTTGATCAACATCTCCCCATTTTTCCACCATCCAGGATTAGGTATTGTGTTTTTATATTTTTTTTTTTTTTTTTTTTAAATCCTCACCCGAGGATATATTTCCATTTTTTGTACAGATAGAGTGGGAGGGAGAGAGAGGAAGGGAGAGAGAGAGAAACATCGACGTGAAGGGACACATCGAGTGGCTGCCACCCGCACGACCAACCAGGGCCGGGGACAAACTGCAACCGAAGTACGTGCCCTTAGCGGGAACCGAACCCGGGTCTCTCCGGACCGCAGGCCGACGCTCTAACCGCTGAGCCAAACTGGCCAGGGCAGGTATTGTGTTTTTAATATATGTTGGAAAAGATTATTGTTTGCTAATCTACCTTGGACAGCTGAGTCACAGTTAACAAGAGAGAGCCTTATATATGACTGCATTCAGTGCACCTGGGAGAAAATAATAAACATCTTAACCCTAACATAATGTAGTGATGCTAGCCCAGTTCTTTTGGGTTGAGTGTTTTAAAAATTTTTATTTATTATTTTTATTTATTATTTTTAGAGAGAGAGATAGAAATATCGATGTATAACATCGATCGGCTGCCTTCTGCACACCCCCCACTGGAGATGGAGCCTGCAACCCAGGCATGTGCCCTGACTGGGAATTGAATTGGGACCTCTCAGTCCATGGGATGTCACTCAATCCACTGAGCCACACTGGCTGGGCTTGGATTGAGTTTTATAATACTTTTAATCTCATTTTCAAATCTTTGGAGAAGAACCACTCACTAAAACACTGTCTTGTCCTAGCAGCCTTCCATCCTCATGATCATATAGTTTGAAAGTAGAGGCAAAAATAAACATGTGTTTCTGACCTTATTCATATTTGAAACTTTGTCTCTATGGAAAATTGCCTTTTAACACAATATTATTTTAATAGAGAGGCTGAGCAGGAAGGGTCATTTGAAGAAGAAAAATTGCCCTGTCTCCTAACAAGTGGCATGAGGCCTGGTCCTCCAGCCTCTGAGGGCCTTCCTTTCATTTTCCCTTGCAGTTCAGCTCTGGACTGTGGGGAACTATCACTGGTACCTCAAGCAAAGTCTGCCCTTCAGCACCTGTGGGAAGAGCAAGATTGTGTGTCTGATGTGGGACCCGGTGACCCCGTACCGGCTGCATGTTCTCTGTCAGGGGTGGCACTACCTCTGCTATGACTGGCACTGGACGACTGACCGGAGCTCGGGGGATAATTCAAGTGACATGGCAAATGTGGCTGTCATCGATGGGAGTAAGCAGCTGGGAAATGTGTCTGTGAGCCTGGAAGGGGCGGGTCCCCTGACCCCGGTACCTGCACATGGAATGACTTGACTAAAACAGTGGGGGATATTTATTTGTTTGGCTGTTTGGTTTATTTTTACTTATTTGTTTTGTTTGGGTGGGAATGGCTATAGGTGGGGCATGTACTCTCCTCAGGCCATAGTCCCTCCTTCCAACACCCACTGGCCTGCCCCAATTCCCTGTTGTGCTATATCCATGGTCTTCATGTTTACTGGTTCAACCTTTGAAGACAGTGAAAATTTTGACCCTGGGTAGAGGACACATAGTAGTGTGTGGCTTTGGGTGTGTAGGTTAGCCTTGTCTTTACCCTGACATAGGTTTTCACCCACCCTTGCGTCATTCTGCCTGTGTTGCTTTGTTTTTTTGTTTTTTGTTTTTTTTTTATCCTCACCTGAGGACATTTTTCCATTTTTTGTTCAGGTAGAGTGGGAGGGAGAGAGAGGAACAGAGAGAGAGAGAGAAACATTGATGTGAAAGGAACACATCGAGTGGCTGCCACCTGCACAACTGACCAGGGCCGGGGACAAACTGCAACCGAGGTATGTGCCCTTAGCGGGAACCGAACCCGGGTCTCTCAGGACCGCAGGCCGACGCTCTAAACGCTGAGCCAAACCGGCCAGGGCTGCTTTGTTTTTTGATAAAATACTTGTCAGTTACATTCCTTTCCAGTGTGGTCACTTCAGGTCACAGACATCTGTCTAGCATGAAGATTGGCCTGGTGTTTTATAATTAGGTTGAGGGTTTTTTGTTGTTGTTTTTGTTTTCGTGAGGGGGAGGAAATTGGGGAGAGCAGTAGTCACCCGAATAGACAGTTTACTTTTTGCTCATAACAGAAAGGAAAACTTGTTTTTAAAGCATTGCTGTGTATTTCCTACCACCATTATTCGTTAGTGGTACTGTTCTGTTCTGATGCCTTATTTCATGTATTGAACATCGTGTGTCTAATCCTCCTTCTCTTCCTCGCTCATGCAGACAGGGTATTGGTGACAGCCTTCCGGCAGAGTGTAGTTCCTCCTCCCATGTGCACCTTCCGTCTGCTGCTCCCAGAGCCTGTGAATCAAGTCATGTTCTCTGCAAACCCTCAAAGGAGTAATGACCTTGCTGTCATCGATGCCAGCAACCAGATTTCTGTTTATAAATGTGGTATGTTAAAACTGTTACCAAGATGTTTTGAATCAGGTTTCTCCTCTAAAAAGCAAGTTATAGTTTGATGTTGCCTTTGCTCTAGTGTTTCTAAAAGTTTTGAAGTTTATAATTAATATCTTTATCATTATGGTATTTAATTGGCTTGTGGGGTTTCTTTCAAGGGGTTTTCAGTCTTACTCTGGCTTGTAAGAGCAATTTTTTTGCTTTATTGAACTTGAAGAGTCAGTTATTTACAGAATAACATTCAACCCTGGAAATACTTTTAACTGGTGTTACCGTTTTTGCAGCCTTTGCGTGTATTTTCAGTTGCTCTCACAGCACTCCTAGGAGTGTCACAGATCGGAGTTTTCTGTTCTGTAGATGAAGGAACAGAATGCCGGAGGGTTTGAACTTTGCTTGAGCAGGAATGCACAGAGAGTAACACTGAGGTGTTGCAGCTTCTCATCAGTTGTCTTCCACAGCCCATTGCTCTCAGTTCCTAGTTGCTTTCCCAATGGACAGAGAAAACCTGAAACTTGTTTTTAGTTGTGCGTTCTATGGTCATGTCGTGAATTATACTGGCAAATGGCAATGGTGGCCTTGTGTTCAAAGAACTTCTGAATTCTCAGAGAAAAACCTGGATAGCTGCTAGGAGAGAAGAATAAAAATTAACTAATTGGTATTGGAATTTCCTGCTTGCTTATCAACTTTTCTGTTAAATTGACAGCCTGCTGTTTATACGAATACTACAGCAGGTCCTTGTTTAGTTCCATCATCGATGAAGTGCCATAAGTCTTATTTATACCAATCAGCTTGTGATAAAATGGATTTCATTATATATCATTTTGCTTAAAGGCACAGAACCTATTGATGGCATTAAGTGAGGACTGACTGTACTTGGATATGTCTCCAGCTACTTTGATTTTAGTTTCACTCTATAAAATGATGTAACAGCCTGCCATAAAATGTTTATTTCTTAGTAGCTTAACAACAACAACAAAATAATAATGTGTTCATTGTTAAGGCAGATCAGAAAAAGTAGATTTTCTATGAACCAGTAATATCAAAAGTAAACAAGTGGATTGTCTTTGTACTTGATCACTTTTTGGGTATGTTACTGCTGGTTTTGTGAGATTGAAAAGAATCAGGTGTAGAGTAAATTTTTGTGGTGCTTACTGTATGGTACTCACTTAAGTTCATGTATCATTTACGATGTACAAAATATTTTATCCTACATTGACTTAAAAATATAACTGTCCAGCCCGGCCAGTGTGGCTTAGTGCACTGTGGCTTGAGCATCGTCCCATGGACTGAGAGATCCCAGTTCGATTTCCGCATCAGGGCACATGCCCAGGTTTCGGACTTGATCCCCAGTAGGGGGTGTGCGGGAGGCATCTGATTGATATTTCTCTCTCACATTGATGTTTCTAGCTCTCTCTCCCTTCCATTCTCTCTTAAAAAATCAATGAAAAACACATATTAAAAAAGTAAAAGTAACTATCCGTACCACTTACCCATTTAAGGTATACGAATCTATGCTTTTGAGTATATTTACAGTGTTATGCAACCATTACCACAGTCAATTTTAGAACATCTTTATCTCCCCAGAATGAAGCCCTATAGCACCCTACGTTCATGGTGCTGATCCTGTGGTCAGATAGGGTAGCTTAGAGCTCCACTCTTAGACATCGGTCTGTCAGGTGTCACTCTGAGGGCTAGGCCATGGGTTGGGCCCTGGAGGAAGACAGAGCAGTGAGGCTGGTGCAGTGTCTAGGCAGGAGGTGGCGAGAGCTCGAGCCAGGGGAGTGTCTCTAGAAATGGACAGAAGAGAAAGATCATACAAAGCCAGGAGCTAAACACCTGTGGGAGTTAGGAGCATGTTGTAAAGTGTTTGGGTATAAAAGAGTCTGGAAAAGGTTGTGGGAGTTTTTATTAGAGCGTAGGATTTAGAGACTAGCCTTTCAGACAGGGAGCAGTTTCAGGCGATGGCCCCATGTGGATAGTTCACATGGTGCTGAAACTGTTGGATGCGAGCAATGGGCACCTTCTCAGGCAGCATGGTGGGAGGGCAGGTGGGTGAGAGATTCAGGGGTGCTCATGGGGAAGAGCGGCGTCAGCTCTTGTGCAGGCGCCAGTGAAAGTTGAAGAATAATCCATTTTATTGGGATCGAAAGGAATGAGAAGAGGAAAGATTGGAAGTTGAGGTCAAAGTCGAATATTCCAGTTTGAGGTGTCAGAGTGGACAAGTCAGATACTGATAAAGGCCCAGTATTACAAACAAACAACTTGAAGGTGAGTAGAAGACGTTTGAGTCAGGTGGAGACAGATTATATGCCAGAATCTTCAAAGATGACATTCATTGTGTTCCAAGTATTCTCCTTTTTCGTATCCAAGTTTATTGTCTGTCATATGACAAGTTTTCTTGCAAGCCATGCTTCTGTGGAGTTTATCTTCTAGTTGGGGAGAAAGATGGTAAATAGACGTTATAATCTAAGATGGGAAATGCTGTGGAGAAAAATAAGCAAGGCCAGGGTGTAGGGAGAGCATGAGAATAAGGGACACAAAGGAAGGTGGCTTTTGTATTTCGGTGGTCAGGAATCCTCTCTGTGAAGGTGACATTTAAGCAGAGACCCCTTGGGAACTGGAGAGGGAGCCTTGCAAACACTCGGGTAAGCACGTTCCAGGCAGAGTAGAAAGCAATGGCTGAGGTGCTGGTCGTGTGTAGGAAATAGCCAGGAGGTCAGGGTGGCTGCTACCGAGCAGGTAAGGGGTGTGTGGGTGGGGTCATACAGTGACAGGACACAGCTCTTGTTGGGCCTCTAGTAAGATGTGAATGTTTATTCTGTGTGAGGCAGGAAGCCAGCAGAGGGTTTGAGGCAGACGAGTGTGGTGTTCTGACTCAGTTCTTAGAGGTTTGTATTGGCTGCTGTGCAGTGAATAAGTGAGATCAAGAATGGGAAGAGAATGTCTTGATCAGGGATTCGAGGTTGGTGAGAGGTGGCTGTGGGACAGTGGGAGAAAGTAGCTCAGGTGAGAGGGCAACCTCTCCTTGGCCTTGCTGAGGATGGTGAGGGTGCTGAGCGTGGTGGGGTGCTGAGCGTGGTGGGGATGCTGAGCGGGGTGGGGATGCTGAGCGGGGTGGGGATGCTGAGGATGCTGAGCGGGGTGGGGATGCTAAGCGGGGTGGGGATGCTGAGCAGGGTGGGGATGCTGAGGATGCTGAGCGGGGTAGGGATGCTGAGCGGGGTGGGGATGCTGAGCGGGGTGGGGATGCTGAGCGTGGTGAGGATACTGAGCCTGGTGAGGATGGTGAGGATGCTGAGCGTGGTGGGGTGCTGAGCGTGGTGGGGATGCTGAGCGTGGTGGGGATGCTGAGCGGGGTGGGGATGCTGAGCGGGGTGGGGATGCTGAGCGGGGTGGGGATGCTGAGGATGCTGAGCGGGGTGGGGATGCTAAGCGGGGTGGGGATGCTGAGCAGGGTGGGGATGCTGAGGATGCTGAGCGGGGTAGGGATGCTGAGCGGGGTGGGGATGCTGAGCGGGGTGGGGATGCTGAGCGTGGTGAGGATACTGAGCCTGGTGAGGATGGTGAGGATGCTGAGCGTGGTGAGGATGCTGAGCGTGGTGAGTATGCTGAGCGTGGTGAGGATGCTGAGCGTGGTGAGTATGCTGAGCGTGGTGAGGATGCTGAGCCTGGTGAGGATACCGAGCCTGGTGAGGATGGTGAGGATGCTGAGCGTGGTGAGGATGCTGAGCCTGGTGAGGATACTGAGCCTGGTGAGGATGGTGAGGATGCTGAGCGTGGTGAGGCTGGTGAAGATGATGGCCAGTGAAGCAAGTAGGGGAAGCTGATTGGGGCTGAGCCTGGGAGGTAGGCAGAGATTTTAAAAAGAGGTGGAGATGTTACTGACTTTTAGAACCCCATAAACCTTAGTATTAGGAGAAATGTTTGTAGTTTACTATAGTAGTATTTGTGATTTTGTTTTCTAGGTGGTGGTCCAAGTGTGGATCCCACGGTGAAGCTGGGAGCTGTGGGTGGAAATGGATTTAAAGTTTCCCTTGAGATGCCTCATCTGGAAAAGAGATACAAGTAGGTGGTTCTTCATTATCTGGGACCTCTGGGAACAGAAGGAGCCAGCATTTACTCCTAAATTTACCCGTCTGTTGTCCTGTGCCTGCTTCTGAGCCGAGTAAGAAGATACAACACAGGTGCTGGTTCTTCAGCCTCGCTGGGGAAGACACTTACCTGTATTCTGAATGTGGTAGGAGAACCCCAGTAATAAACTAGTCTAAAACCCGTTCCACTCAGCACCCTTGGTTCTCCGGGGAAATTGCATGGGAAAGGTAGAGATGAAGATAACAGGGCAGAGTTGCTTTCCCGTTCCTACATGCGGGTGTCTCTGTTGTCAACATGGCTGACCTACCGTAGCCTCTGTCCGCTGCATCCCACACTCCAGAACCTTTGAGTGCTGTGTTTTGAGGCCCTGCAGGTGGAAACCAGAATGTGTTTTCCCATGGAAATAATATTAGAAATGGCTGGGTGTAATTGAGTACCTCAGGTACACTACAGGCATCATAAAACGACCCAGAAGCCAAATTATTAATTATAATGCCATTCCTGTGACAATCCGGGATTTGAGTCTGTTCTGTTTGATGAGTCCATGTTCTTAGTTACTGCCCTATTCTACCTCCTGGGAGCATTTATTCCTAAATGAATAGGAATAATAAACTGACTAAAACAAATAACTGAATGTTTCTTAAATATATGCAATGTATGTATGTGTATAGCCTTTGAATGATTTGGGCGCTGCCTATGTAATGCTTAGTATTTCTCAGAGAACATTGACATGGATGATTTTATCTCACAGACTTGAAACCACTAGAGGAAGAACATAGAAGGCAATGTAGAATATACTTTAGAAATTAAGAAAATTGCTTCAAGTCATTTACAGAAGACTTCATGAAGGACATGAGTACTTATCTTGATCCTTGAAGAAGGGTTAGGTTAGGATTGCAGAGAAGGCTTGGGAACATTGGGTATGGTGGGCGGAAGGGTGTTGGTGAGAACCAGGTGGGGATGCCCCTGCATGGAGCTGAATGCAGTTGGGAAGCAGTCCTGGGAGAGCTGGTCGACAAGGAAGATCAAGCTCGTGACCCAGCTCCTTCCGTGGCGCCCAGGGTGTGCTGCTTGAGCTTGAAGGCAGGGAGTAGCCATTATGAGTTCCTGCATGAGGTGGCAAGAATCACTCTCCTCTGGTGTGTAAATGCTGCAGAAGGAAGACATTAGAGGCAGGGAAACTCTCAAGCTGACTTACTCATTTTGATGTGAGATGCTTGGGAAAGGACCCATTCTATTAAGATCCAAATATCTGTTCCAGTTTGGTTTGAATGCTGGTAAGTGGGGGCAGGGGAAAACCTCTGGGGTTTATTAGTGTAAGGTTGACCTGGGGCAGGTAATTTCCTTATGTGGTCAGATTCATGAAGTGTTCTCTTCAAATCTAAAGATCTCAGAGTATAAGAAACAACAGTAAATAAATAAAAACCACAATTTAGAGCCAGGCAAACAATATTTTTGGATTTTTAGTATTTGACTCACTTCAGGTTTTGTCCCTCCAACTAACTAGATGTTGATTGTATGCAGAGTGGTTTATTCTTCCTTTGTTCAGGGAAATCTAGTGGCATTAAAGTTTCATTCACGTCTTTGATATTCTTAAATATTTAAACAGAATTCAGTTTGAGAATAGTGAAGATCAAGAAGTAAATCCACTGAAGTTCAACTTTCTCACCTGGGTCCAAGAAGACGTCTTCCTGGCCATACGCCACAGCCCATCCAGCGCACGGTCTGTCATTCACCATCTGACCGCAGTCTCTTCCGGGACGGATGACGAGCAAGGACAGCTCACCGTTAGGTATTCTGGCACTTTCCTGTGTTCCATGTGCTGAGATGGGGTTGTGCTTCTTCTTTATGAGCACAGGACTTCTTTGGCTTCTGGTGAGCTGGGTTGAAGGGCAGCAGCTTCACTGTTAGACACATGTAGCAAGAGGTTAAGGCTGGTTTTGAGTCCTGTCAAAATACAGGCTAAAAAAGTGGTGAAAAATAGGGCAGATACCAGTAGATGAAGCAAAACATTTTAAGCTATGTTAAAACTTTTAATTGAATGTATGCTTACATTCCAGCAAGGTAATTGCTAGACCATGAGAATCAGGCGCTCTGATTACCCTTGTTATTAAAGTCCATTAGACGATCTGTTTCTATGTGCTGAATCTTGATGTCTGGCCTCCTCCTCTTTACATTCTGTTTGGCACATGACTACATTTACTACTGGAAAGTTGCCTCTGTTTTTAAAAATCTTTTTGTTTTTATTTTTTAATTTTATAGTTTCATTGAGGTGTAATAAACACACAACAAACTGCACAAATTTATGTGTACAATTTGATAACTGGTGACATGTATATGTCCATGAAGCCATATAGTCAGGAAACAGAACATATACTTTTCCCACACACGTTTCCTTGTGCCCCTTTGTAACATCCTTCCACGTCCACCACCATCCCCAGTCAACCAGAGATCTATTTTCTGTCATAGTAGATTGCATTTTATAGGATCCCTGTATTTTTCACTGCTCCCTGTCCCTGAGTTTCATTTTGATTCCTGACCACATCTTTGTCATGTGGCAGGTCTTAGTCCTGAGTGCTGTTTTCTGCAATGCTGCCCTATGTGCAGTAGATAGCATTGTCTGGACAGCTCTGGGAAGTCCTCAGGTTTCCCTTGTCAAAACTTGGCACCTTAGGCATACACTGCAGTTAATCTCCAGCTGTACTTGTAGCGACAGATCTGGTTAGATGTAAACTCTGAAAACCCTTGTTGCGAGATTAGCACCTTTCCTCATTGTATATGTAAAACATATTCTGATAACAGTTATTAACTCCTCATCTTTGACTCATAGTGCTTTGTATTTTTAAAAAGCTTTTTGTGAATATGTCTGGTTGTGGAAAATGTTGTAGCTACTTGTACACTTAAAAATAACCAGGGGTTTACTTTTGAAAAGCAAGGCAGTTTTCATTAGAAATGCCTAAATTTTTAATGCAAATTTCTACTTTTCAAAATTTAAAATGCTTTATAGAAGATAAAGGTAGATGCAATCATCTCATCTACTGAGAAGGGAATGAGAAGTCATTTAAAATATATTTCTGTTGCTTTGCCTGTTGTTTCTCAAAAAAGACTGTTTTGTTCAAATAAAACATCAGTGTCTTTGATGACTGTAAAGTCCCTCTATTGGCTTATAGCTATTAACAGCTTATGTTTAGTACAGCTTGTGCTTTGTGAAAGGTACTCTTCTTAGTGCTTTACCTGTATTAACTCACTCACTTCTCTCACTGTCTCTACTGTTAGCATTTACAGCTGAGACAGCTAAGGCACAGGGCACTTAAGTAATGTGCCTGAGATCACACAGGTGAAGCCAGGATCCAGTCCCAGCAAGTCTAGCTCTAGAGTCTGTTCTCTTAATTTACAGATAATTTATCCTCACAAAATTTGGGACATTTTGGGTATTTCATAGATTGGTTAAAAATTCTTTGAATAAATGTTAGCCTTGGCACCATTTGTTTTTGTCATTATTTTCACTTCCTTTAAGACATGTCTAGTTTATGTTCATTTTTTTTTTTTTTTTATCCTCACCCGAGGACATCTTTCCATTTTTTGTTCAGATAGAGCGGGAGGGAGAGAGAGGGAGAGAGAGGAAGAGAGAGAGAACCATCGACGTGAAGGGACACATCGAGTGGCTGCCACCCTCACGACCAACCAGGGCCGGGGACAAACCGCAACCGAGGTACGTGCCCTCAGTGGGAACCGAACCTGGGTCTTTCTGTACCGCAGGCCGACGCTCTAACCGCTGAGCCAAACCGGCCAGGGCTAGTTTATGTTCATTGACTCAGGAAAAAATATAATCGCGATAGCAGATTCCCTTCTTCCCATGAATGAAGAAGACCCACAGGTTTCCATCAGTGAATATGATAGTGATAGAAAGTGCTCTATTTTCCTACAGATGCACTGTTTCATTACAGAAGTTTGTTTTAAGAAGACAGAAATAATATTGGTACCAGGCATGTCTAATGAAGGTGATTAAGTTGCAGTAAGTTATAATGAGTTGCTGCCAGAATAGAAGTGATGACTTCACAATGTAGCTCATTTGTATTATGGAAAATAGTGTGATGTGACAGGTAATTGCTTTATCTGGGCTTGTGATTGTAATAGTTTGTCATTGTGTGTGTGTATTATGTGTATATTGTATTGAAATAAGCAGAGCAGCACCAAAAGGAAATTGCTTGTTTCTGTTTCTGTTATGCAAAATCAGTGAAATGTCATGACTTCTGAGAAAAATGTCTGTTCACATCCCCTTCCTTTCTTTTTTAACTTTTGTCAGTTCATCTGTGACAGTGGATGGGGTTATAATCAGCCTGTGTTGCAATTCCAAGACCAAGTCAGTAGCCTTGCAGCTGGCTGATGGCCAGATACTTAAGTACCTTTGGGGTGAGTATGAAAATGTTGGGAAAGTATGTTTATGACTTATATGGATGTTTAATTCTTGAAAACAAGACTTGTATCTTGTCTGTGCCACATTGATCATTAGGTCTGTTAACTACTCTGGAAAACCCTAAGTTATAGTGTGGGATCAACAGGTGTTTTGTTTTATTTTATTTATTTTTTAATCTTCACCCGAGGACATCTTTTAGATATTTTGTTCAGATAGAGTGGGAGTGAGAGAGAGAAACATCAACGTGAAAGGGACACATTGAGTGGCTGCCACCCACACGACCCAACCAGGGCCGGGGACAAACTGCAACCGAGGCACGCGCCCTCAGCGGGAACTGAACCTGGGCTCTCCGGACCGCACGCTGACACTAACTGCAGAGCCAAACCGGCCAGGGCAACAGGTGTTTTTTTTAAAGATTTTTTTTTAAATCCTAATCCGAGGATATTTTTCTATTTATCTTCAGACAGAGTGGGAGGGAGAGAGAGGTAGAGAGAGAAACATCGATGTGAGAGAGACACATCAACTAGTTGCCTCCCACACGACCCTGACCAGGGCTGGGGACGAACCGCAGCTGAGGTACGTGCCCTCGACTGGAATCAGATCCGCGGGCCGCGGGGCTATTGCTGTAACTGCTGAGCCAAACCAGCCAGGGCTTAAAATATTTTTTTATTCATTTTTAGAGAGCGGGAAAGAGAGAGGGAGAGAAAGAAAGATCTATGTGAGAGTGAAAGAGGAAACATCAATCGGCTGCCTCCTGCACTCCCCCTACCAGGGATTAAGCCTACAACCCAGGCTTGTGCCCTGACTGGGAATTGAACCAGTGACCTTTCAGTGCACGGAATGATGCCCAACCAACTGAGCCACACTGACCAGGGTTTCTACCTCTGTTTTCTCTTGTAATGAACTGGAACAACCTAATGAGTTTCCAGAATACATTTGGAAAGTAATCCAAATCGCATGTTAAGTGTTTTAGCAAGTAGTAATGGGACAGTTTTTTTACAGAGCACATCAGCTCTTTGTAAACCTCATATGCCAATCCTGCAGAGTCACCCTCTCTGGTTGTTGAACCTTGGAAGAACCCAGGTGGATTTCCTGTTCAAATTCCTTATCCATGCACACAGACTGAATTGGCCCTGATTGGAGGGAAGGTAAGTGACACGGGGCAGAAACATTTACCACTTAAAGCAGTGACAAAGGGTCTGATAGCATTAGGTAGAAGAAGTATGGGCTTTGGAGGTGGACCTGGGTCTCCAGTATATCTTAAGGCAACAGTGAGAAGCTATTCTTCTCCCTGAGCCTCAGCCTCTTCTTCTATGAAATGGAACTAGGAGATTGCCTGGCATGCAGTGGTTAGTGCATTTCTTTCCTCGGAGGTATACATTTAAGAACAGAACAATGCAGTCAGCAAGTTTTTATTCCCCAGTTGTACAGAACAGTCAAAGTTAGTTTTATTAAATACCTTTTGGAGACAACAGAAATGTAATCTTGAACGTAGCATTCAGTAGGTTGTCATTCATCAAATATTAAAATGCCTATAATTCTGGTAGGGGGTAGGGTACAGTTGTTATAAAGCAAAATAGTTGTTTAATCCCTTGTTCTTCTGGAGTTTATAATTTATCAACAGGTTATATGATCAGCGCCTCTGACGGGACAGTAAGGGAAATGAGAACAGGGTGTAACAGTAGAGAACAGTGAGGTGCGGGGGCTGATTGGAGGATGGTGGCTGTGAGGGTGGGGATACCTGCTTTGGTGGAAAGCTCTGTGAAGGGGAGGTGGTGTACTGAGCTGTGAAGGAAGAGAAACCTCTGTCCCCGAGACAGGGACAGTGTTCCAGGGAGAAGGAACTTGAGCTTGGAAAGAGCTCAGCTTATTCAGGGGACTGAATGGAAGCAGTGTGGCTAGACCACAGTGAAAGGCCATTGGAAGAAGTGTGGATTTTGTTTTTTATTGAACAAAGATGGGCAAATTATTAATACTTTTTAATCAGCAGAATACTGTGATTTGCTTCATGGTTTGAAAGTTTTTTCTGGCTGTCTGGTGGAGAGTAGGTGGGAAAGGAACAGGAGTGGAAGTGACTTGGAGAGGAGGCAGTGAGGTGAGAGAGTTGAGATACACAGAGGAGAGAGAAGTGCCAGGGCTTGCTCCTGGATTGGAGGGCAGCATACGCTGCTTGGCACAGGGCCAACTGCATCTCACATATCTGTATTCAGTCCTGATTACGGAGGCTTAGATGTGAAATCACAGGTCAGTAGAACTGTGTGATAGAAAGGTGAGGTTTAAGTAATTTGGTTAGAATTGTTTGTAATTTCGATTTTATTTTTTTGCAGGAATGTATCCTTGGTCTGACTGACAGGTGTCGCTTTTTCATCAATGACAATGAGGTATAAGGGCTTGGTTTGGTGCCTCTTCTTCAGTGTTGCTTCCAAGCAATAAAGCTAAATTTCCCCCTTGCCTCCCTTGCCTTGTAGGTTGCTTCAAATATTACATCATTTGCAGTATATGATGAGTTTTTATTGTTGACGACTCATTCTCACACCTGCCAGTGTTTTTGTCTGACTGATGCTTCATTGAAAAGTAAGTTTTCAGTGTATAAGAGTCCCTCTTTAATATCTTTTGTCCCTGGAAGTCTTGATGACTTTCAGGTTCTTCACCTACTTTGGATTTTGACCCTGGAGTCCTAGACTGGAGAAAACCATTAATGTTCAATTACTTACTCCCTAATCTCAGCACAGTATCTCAGTTAAATCATTCTACACCGGTTAGCAAAGACTTCCCGAGAAGGAATATTAAGCAGAATATTCTAAAGGTAAACAAAAATCATTCAGGAAATTTTATTATGTAACTAATTTTGAGTTACCTGTAAATATCAAACAGGCAGTATGCTCTGACTTCTTTGTAACCTTTTTTTCACTGTGGCCTCCCTCCCTGTACCTGCTGAAGGACTCCATCTTGTGCTTTGTAGGAAATTGGCTCCGTTTTTTTCAATTCCATGCCCACCCATCCCTGCCACCCCCCACTGTGTGTGTGTATGTGTGTGTGTTTTCCTTATTCTGAAAATCCCCACTTACTTTCTTTGCTTCTAGCATGGAAATGGAATCATTCACTGGTATGATTACAGTGCTAAGGAAGAGAGAAGCTGCCCAATCTCCCCATGTTTTCCAAGACAGTTGATAAGTTGTGTGTATGAATATGCATGAAAGCTCTGTAAGAGGGCAAATTCGAGGAAAGAGCTTGTTTATCAGAAAGGCTAAAGGTCTGGAGGTTGAGTGGGAGAGCAAAGGAGCCTGGTTGTTAACTGCTGTCTTCTGTTTTGAATAACGTGCGGTTTCATCCGCAGTCAGTGGAGAGTGGCTTGTCAGCACAGTCATTCTTAAGGCTAGGCCAATGGTGTCTTTAGCATTACAGGCAGGTCTGAGCAGCATTCCTGCGGCTAACGGGGAAACTCTGCGGATGGTGGAGAGGGGTTCACGCATTGTCACTGTTGTGCCCCAGGACTCAAAGCTGATATTACAGGTAAGCTTATTTTTCAGGCTATGTTTCTGGTTGTCATTAGGTAGTCAATACCAAACAATTCTTGCAGAGTATAGTTTAGGTTCTCTTATCATTTGCAATAATTTGTTCTAAGTCTTTCCTTGCTAGGTTCTCTGTTAGCTTTATACAAAGGAGTTCTTATACAGGCTCTGTCCAATAAGGGTAATAGGGAAGCTTTTCCAGAAAGTCGAAATAAATATTGAGCACAACTAGATTCTGCTAAAAGTATGCTCATTTTACTGTGTGGTAGTTCACTATGAAGTTAGGTAAAGCTATTTATCCTGGACATTTAAATGTTTTCTATTGGATTAAAAACTTTATTGTTTTGATTGATTTATTTTAAGATGCCAAGGGGAAACTTAGAAGTTGTTCATCATCGAGCCCTGGTTTTAGCTCAGATTCGGAAGTGGTTGGACAAGTAAGTACCATGTATAGGACTGGTTAGCTTGTTATGACTTATGTGTGAGAACAATAAATATCCTTTTAAAAGTTTTAAAATGAAAAGTCTGAAAAACCTTCATTGCAGATGTTGTCAATCAGATTCTCAGAGGCTTTTTTTCTTTTCACACTTTGATTTTAATACCATGTGGTGTAGTAGACATTTCTAGCAGAAAGAATCATGAAGCTCATTATGTACGTCGGCTTCCTCACCTAAGGGGATCTGTTGGGCTCCCGATGGCCTGTAGGCCCGGGGCACTGCACCAGGCAGAAGGCCCAAGGCTTCCAGATTACAGGGGGGCCTAGGACCCAAAGTGCCCGAGTCACTGTTATGAGAGAAACAGTCCATTGTCTGACTGGATGGGGGAAACTTTATATTATTTTGTTAAAAAAGAAAGTAGGCCTAAGTTCCATGGTGATTTTCTTTCGTGTGTCTGTGAGGATGTAGTCCTCAGTATGTCATGATGACTAAATCATTCCTTTTAAGTTGGTAAATGAATGTGGTAGCTGATATTTTTGTTCTGTGATTTCAGAGTGGAAATCCATTGGCACTTGGGCTGTAATCTAATTAGAACTGGTGTGTGTCATAATGAAAATGTGCTGGGTCCAGGGAGCTTAGTTTTGTGACATACCTTTTCTGTCCGTTCTCTTCATAGGCTTATGTTTAAAGAAGCATTTGAATGCATGAGAAAACTGAGAATTAATCTCAATCTAATTTATGATCATAACCCTAAGGTAACTTTCTCACTCTGCTGTTTACCCTGGCTTACTTTAGACCTGAACTAACGTGATCTGAACTAAAATGTTTTGTCCTTTTTTTTTGGGGTAGGTGTTTCTTGAAAATGTGGAGGCCTTCATAAAACAGATAGATTCCGTAAATCATATTAATTTGTTTTTCACAGAATTGAAGTAAGTATTTTGAATAATTCATGAGTATCATACTCATCATTTTCTGTCTTCTAGTTAAGGAAATTAAATAGATAAATAGCTAGAGGAGAAAATTAGTGTTTAGTATTTTCTTTATCACTGTGACTCTTAAATGTTATATGTGTTGGATTTTTGCTCTTTTTTCTTCTTAAAAACAGTCTATTTAAAACTAAGACTTTAAAGTATGTAGGTCGGAATTATTTGACTTTATTTTTAGGTGAACATATAAATAATTTGTTTTTCTTATGAGTTAGTTTAAAATAAAATGGTGTCTTTTGACGTCTGCATTGACTTTTTCCCCAACTTGTTAATGAGAAATTTTAAACTTAAAAAAGTTAAGAGAATTGTCAAAATAGCATTCTGTACCTCCATCTAGAGTCTAGAATTCATATTTTTCTATATTTGCTTTATCACTATTTACCATCTGTCCATTCATCATCTATTTTTAGACACATTTCCAGGTAATTCTAGACATCAGTCCACCTTTGTCTCTCAATATCTCGCTTTGCATAGTATTATCTAGAGTGGATTACTTGTGTATGTAGTCCCCTTCACAGGTCATATTTGTAGTAAGGCACAGATCAGTAAGTATACCATTCAGTGAGTTTTGACAAATGTATACTTCCATGTAACCTGAACCCCTACCAAGAGAACATTTCTCTCATCTCAGAAAGTTCTCCCAGTCCCTTCTCAATCAGTCCCTGAGTTTTACACCATAGATCAGTTTTGCATGTTCAGAAACTTTATAAATGGATTCATAGAGTATTTACTTTTTTGTGTAAATAAAGCTTCTTTCCCTTGGAGTGTATTATCTTGAGATTCGGCCATTTTGCGCACGTACAAATTCATCTTACCATTCAATAGGACGCCATGTATAAATATACAGTTTGTTTATTCATTCCCCTGTTGGTGGGCACCTGGACTGTACCTAGTTTGTGCTGTCTGGATAAAACATCTGTCAATGTTACTGCGCAATCTTTCATGGACATGTTTTTATTTCTCAATAATTTCTCCATTTTTTTTACCTTATAGGAGTATTTTTATAATTAAACTGTATTCCAAAAGCCGTTTTTATTTATTATCTCATCAGCACACCTGGATTTATATGAGTAGTTTGAGAAGTGAGGACGCATGTTCAGTTAGTGATCTTTTAATACACACTTGTTCTTAGGGAAGAAGATGTCACAACGACCATGTACCCTCCCCCTGTCCCTGGCCCTGTCATGCGGTCCAGGGATCCCGAGGGAAGTAAAGTAGACCTTATCTGCGATGCCATGCGCGCTGCCATGGAGAACATCGACCCTCGCAAGTACGTGTGCCAGCGTTATTGGCATCTTGTGAATAGCAAGCATATAGTTGCCCTTACTCTGTGCATCCTTCTCATTCTGGTGGTGGGCTTCACTTCGTACCTCAGGTACTGCCTGTCGATCCTCACCTCGCATGTGAAGAAAACAACCCCAGAACTGGAAGTTGTGCTGCAGAAGGTGCACGAGCTTCAAGGTAGAGACCCGTTCGCAAAGAGGGTTAACGGAACCTCAATTGCCAGCAGCCCTCCAGTCTCGGGAGAGCTGGCCAGGACCAGGGCCACAGCACACATTTCACGTGTGGCCTTTCGGGTGCCATTTTGAGATCTGTGTCATTCTTTTGAGCACTGGCCTGCAAAGGCATGTAGAAAAAAGTCAGAAGTATCTGTCTGTTAGAAAATTTGATATTTTGTCTCTTTGGCTATGTTGCTAAGTATTTGAGTTTTTCCCCAGATGGTTTTGTTCTGTTTTGTTTTCTGACACCCTGACAGGAAATGCCCCCCCTGCTCCTGATGGCGTGAGTGCTGAAGAGGCCCTGAAGTATTTGCTGCTGCTGGTAGATGTGAATGAATTATATGATCATTCTCTTGGGACCTATGACTTTGATTTGGTCCTCATGGTAGCTGAGAAGTCACAGAAGGTACGTGATGTTGCTGCCTTGCCATCTCGTGTCTGTAATCGTGGTAGGAATCCTCTCCTGAGAGTGCAGCGTTCTGCCCGATGTGGTCCTGTGAGCACAGGCCTGGAGGCAGATCTGCGAATCTCGGCCCATGCTTCGAAGCACTGTTCTCGATCACAGTTCTGTACTTATCAAAGTGTTTTGATTGCTAGGTTGAGCAAGTGAAATACAATTATGTGGTTATTTTTAAGAATATAGGCATATGTTTGAACAAATTCTCTCTCTTTTTTTTAATCCTCATTCAAGGACATTTTTGCATTCATCTTCAGATAGAGCGGGAGGGAGAGAGGGAGAGAAACATCGGTGTGAGAGAGACACATCGAGTGGCTGCCACCCACACGACCCCAACTGGGGCTGGGGACGAACTGCAACCCAGGTACGTGTCCTTAGCAGAAACCGAACCCTGGACTCTGATCTGTGGGCCGGCGCTCTAACCACTGAGAAACCGACCAGGGCAACAAATTCTCTTATAAAGGAAATAGAACAAATGATTTATCTTCCAATTCAGGTCTCTGTTTTGTAACTCATTTTTCCAGTGGAAAGTAGGAATGTGGAGAACAGAAAGGTTTGGGTCCGCGTGTCCCACCTTAGCGTGCTACAGTCAAAAAGTTTTGCTCCCCTGGTCTACACATTTTTTATCTATTTTGCAGCCTCAGTTTCATCCCCCACCATTCCTTCCTTTGGTCTTGCCAGGTTGATCTTTCCAAAAAGGAAAATATGATCCTTCATTCCTGTTTAAAATCCTTTCCAGTCCCCACTGCCCCGGGATGAAGTTCAAAAGCTGCAATATTATTTAACCCCCTCCGTGATCTGTTTCTTGTGTGTCTCTGTTCTCATCTCGTCACGTTGTCCCTTTTTCTCTGCCCAGGAGGAAAGCGGTACTTTTGTTGCCCCAGCCACCATGTACCTTTGCAGGTAACATGGCCTCTGCCTCCCCTGGGCAGATGGGCCCCCGCCATTCTCACCCTCCCCATTCACCTGGCTAACTCTCACTCGTCTTGGTCAAAGGATGCCAGGGTGGCATCTTCCCAGCAAGCCATTCTTTTCCTTTTTTGGTGCCTAGACCAGGGATGGAGCCTACAATCCCGGTTCCTCAGGATGATGCTCCAACCAGCTGAGCTACTGCCCAGCCAGGGCTCCCAGTAAGCTGTTCTTGCCTCCCTGCTCACCACCCACGGGCTGGAGATTGCCCCATGTGTTTCCACTGCACCTAGCGCCTACCTCAGCATACCAGTCTGTCTCCTCTCCTAGACTGTACCTTTCCTGAGATTAAGGGTTATGTTGCTTTATTTGTACTAACAGATTCTTATTAAATGTTTGTTGATTGAATGTTTTGCTTGTAGTTATCCCCTACATGACATGCATGAACATTTGATTATTTACTCTTTTGGTTTTTTTTCTTATCTTGTTCTCATGTGTATTCATCCTGTCTGCCAGTGAAATTGAGTTAAGAACAGGAAGCATCTCTTCTTCAAGAAGAAAACAGTTTTCTTACGGGGCGTGGCACAGAGCTGGAGATGATCAGTGCCAATAAAAACTTGGTTGTCAGGCCTCAGAGTTTTGTGTCCAACTCAGTATCATTTTGCTTTTGCAAATGGAGGGCTTGAAATGTCATGGAAACAGCTCTGAGCGCAGAGCCTTGCCCTTTAGGAGAAACTTGGACACATTTGTTGACTATCTTATAGATTGGAACCTTGTATCCTCATTAGCCTATGAAATAAGTGGCTATTGTGAGACTCAGGTGAGAGGTAGTCATTATTCCTGATGGAAACTAATAACACCCATATGTTAAAGCATTTTCATCAAAAGTTTGTTATGTAGTTTGACTTTTATATGTTATATAAAATTTATTAATATATTACTATGGTACCTATTCTTAAAATTATGTAGCTTTGGACTTACTGCTATAATTATTCTATATTTATTTTTATAAGTAAATATAATCACAAGCAATAAAGTTCTCCTATTTATAATTTTTTTTAAGGACCCAAAAGAATATCTTCCATTTCTTAATACACTTAAGAAAATGGAAACTAATTATCAGCGGTTCACCATAGACAAATATTTGAAACGGTATGAAAAAGCCATTGGGCACCTCAGCAGATGTGGTAAGTGTGAGGATTAGTATGTTTATTTCTGCTTCACATTTTCTTTGGAACTAGGTAGGGTATAACTTAAAATAAAGTGTTAGTTTAGACATAGACTGATTCCAATTTCCATTCCTGAAATCTTTAACAATTACATATGTGCACCTTATTTTATATGTTCTGAGAAGCTGAGGGAAAAGCAGGTGTCTTTTAAAAAAACTGAGGAGCTCTGCAGATAAGAACAGAGTAGATCCTTTCTGGGTTAAGAATGATCACCTCCTTAATTCAGTTCAGTGTTTCAGAATCAAAATAGGTAGATAATGCAATTTTCCCTTGGTGTTTGCAAACACCTGAGGGAAACCAGGCTTGTCCGGAGCGAGATGTCCACCAGCCACGCCCTGAAAGCCAGTCTTAATCGTCAGTGACGGAGTGGAACAAGCGGGGCCCTGGGGCTCTGCTCCACCCCTGTCCCTGACCCAGCCTGCGGGCCTCTGGTTTCAGCAGTTTCAGTCTTTCCTGCGGGCTGGGACAGGCACAAGGAAGGGTCACCTGGGGTGCTTGCTAAGCATTCAGCTTCTGGCTTCCTTGGAGAATCTGATTCAGTTGGGCCCGGCAGTACTCGGGCATGTGTATGTGTAATAAGCTCCCCCAGTGATTCTTATGAAGCAGGTTGAGCAAACTGGGCTGGATGGTCATTCATCAGGGGTAGAGTAAAAAAATTTTTGTAAGTAGAACTCTGATCCCAATCAGTGCTTCTAATACCTCAGAATCTGTAGTGGTATTCATTAAAATTCAAATTCCTGGATTCTGCTCTCCAGATCTCTGATTATGCAGGTCTTGAAAAGGTCCCTTATTGATTTTGTTTGGGGCCCGTTAGTTAAAAATTAAATCCTTTCTGCTTCCAAAGTCTTAAGCTTGTGTGTGTATGAATCTTATTCCTACAGGATCGGAGCACTTCCCTGAATGCTTAAACTTAATAAAAGATAAGAACTTGTATAACAAAGCTCTGAAGTTATATCCACCCAACTCCCAGCAGTACAAGGTGTGTGGTGTACGGAACGAGGGTCTCCTGGTTTTGCTTTGTGCCTTAGTTGGAAAGGGGCGAGGGTCCTGAGTTCATAACACTGTCCTTGGTTTCAAGGTACACCTTTAGACAAATTAGCCTCACCTTGAACTTCTTATCTGGGACAATGGCTCTGGCCTGTTCCTCTTCAGAAGAACCTGCTCAGGCCAGAAACCTAGGCATTGTCCAGGTTCCTCTTGGGGAATGCCCACGGCAGCATCCGTGGCTCCCTGCCTCCACCCCGCTCCTCACCGCCTGCCGCTCTGCCACATCACTGATCATCCTGCCAAGTGCAGATTTTCTCATTCATTTCAGGATAAGGGATGACATTTGGTTGGTTTGTTTGTTTACACAAACATCTGTTTACTTTTCTTATATGTCACATACTTTGCTTATAAGCTAAACATATTACATAATTCTCTTAAAAACATAAATGGTGTGCACAATTTATAGATGAGGAAACAGCTTACCTAAGGACCTGGGCATGTGAGGCAACTGACCTGGGATCTGGAGCCCATGCTGTCAACAGCTACTCACTGTGCTGTCATCTCCGCCACTTTCCGTTGTCTGCAGATGGCACTCGTCTTTCTGTGATCTGGGCCCTGGCTGTCTCGTTAGCCTCAGCTGCCTTGCCAGTCCTCTACTGCCCCTCTGCCCCTTGCTTCAGCCCCACTTGTGCTTTAAAACACTAGGCTGTCTGCCAGAAAGCCCGTCCTGGATGAGGTTGCAAACGCTGACCTCCCAACTACCTTGCTCTTAACTTGGTGGTGGCATTTGTCAAGCTGCTGATTTGTCTCTCCCACCAGGCAGTGGGTTTCCTAAGGGCTTAGATCCATGTTAAATTTCTTTCTGTGTCCCTGCCCAACACTGAGCCTGGGAATAGAGAATTTGGCCAATGGCTGCCTCTCTGCCCTCGTGTCATTGCTCCTCTCCCTGTGCTCGCTCTGCTTCAGCCGCACCAGCTCTCCTGCGTGTTCCTCCCTGTGTGTCCATACAGTTCCTGCCCATGGCCACCGTGCCTCCTGTGCTTTCGGCCTGGAGCGCTGTCCCCAGCTCTTCACGTGGCTTGTTCTCCCCACTCCCTGGGCCGTTACCACTATAAGTCCTTTGTTGCCACAAGAGCAGGAACTTGGTGGTGGTTCTTTTATTGTTTGGTTTTTTGTTTGTTTTTATTTTTGGCGTTGCAGTACCATTCTCACCGCCCTGAATAGCACCCGGTAATTATTTGTTGAGTGAGAAAATGGCACATCCTCAGTAAGGTTTTAAATGGAAGGAAGAGTGATTGAATTTACTGACCAGTCACAGGATTTTCCTAAGTAATTCAAGAGTTTCAAGTGTAGTGACTGAGGCAGCCTCATGATGGACACCTTTCCTCACCAACCCTGTCTCTTGCCACAGGATATCAGCATTGCTTACGGGGAACACCTGATGCAGGAGCACCTCTACGAGCCAGGGGGGCTGGTGTTTGCCCGCTGCGGAGCCCACCAAAAAGCGCTTGATGCCTTTCTGGCTGCGGGCAGCTGGCAGCTGGCGCTCTGTACGGCAGCCCAGCTTCACTTGAGCGCAGACCAGGTGGCTGCCCTCAGCAGAGCTCTGGCAGGTAACCACTGTCATGTGGGTTCTCCGAAGTGAGAACTTCTCCAGAGGTTTTCTGTTTCTTTTTGTTGTTTTAGTTGGCAGTTTTGCAAAAAAAAAAAAAAAAAAAGTAGGGCAGCATACCCTGAGGCAGTCTCAGACCAATCAGATGCACTTGGAATGGTTTCCTCAGTAGAGTAAAGGCTGAATAGCAGCTGGAGTCCTGAGATGGAAAGGTGTAATGAAGAAAGCAGTTTATTTCTCTTCCATCTGACAAGTCCTTCCATCCTGTGTCTCCTGGGCAGAGCTGTGGCTCGGTTCATCTCCTCATCTGCATTCCTTGGGGAGGGGGAATTCAAAGCATGGGTCAACACTTACCTTTATGTTGGCAACGACCTAGAAACTACATTATCATTTCTCCATCTCATTCACCAAAAGTAATACTATGTGGCCACACCTGGTGGAGTGTGACAGGGTGGCAGTGTGCCCTGCACGAAGGTAAACTTGACTTTTGAGGTGAGTCCATTCAAGTATAGATAATATTATGGTTTCGTTGGAAACCATAATAGCAGTTTTCAGAAATGAGGTAAGAGAAGAGGCTAAACGTATAAACAGTTGTAGTTTAGAAACAAAGGCAGTTTAGGTGTTTCAGGTCTCAGATTGATGTAGCCAGAGGCGAGGCTCTCCCGCGGTCTGATTCCTTCCAGGGGAGGAAAGGGTTAGGTCTGCCCTCACCTGGGCTTGAAGTAAGTGACTGACCGGCACGTTTCCCCTCACTCCTTAGGACACTTGTAAATATTATTTCTTTATTAATTATTATCTCTACAGAAAAACATTCCTGAAAAAATTCCAAATCATATCCTATTAAATATATGCACATATTCTCCTTAGTTATTTGAATTACTCTTTTCCTTGGGATTATAAAAGTGTGTAAGGTTATCACTTTTCTTTTTCTGGTACTTTTTAGTTATTAGATCTGTCTGTAGACTCTAGTCAGCCCTCCCGGTTTCCTGGCTGAACTCTCCAGGTTTGAGAAGTTTTACCCTAGGCCTTTCAGCTATTCATTCTGGCTCCGTGGTTATTTCTGCTTCAGGAACCAGCGTTATTGGTAGTTTGTACCTTCTGGTTCTATGATCTGTGATCGTTTTTTATATTCTTTACAACTCTTAGGTTGCTATTTGCCTTATGATGGAATACCCCTAGTTCTCCCAGATGTTTAGCAGGAAATGGTGGGGAGGCAGTGGTCAGAGATATTTGAGAAATGTTACAGTTGGAGACACTTCATGTGCACATTAACGTAGTTAATTTACGTAAGCCAGCAAAAGAAAAGGCAGCTGTGTAAATAGTGCGGTGGGGACTCTATCTGTTTCTGTCTGTGATAATGTGGCTTGGAGTTAGCAGGAGGTGGGAGGCATGAGTCTGCCAGCCCCTTAGCCTCAGGTTCGGTGTGCCTCTCACAGTGTGATTATCTTAACTGGGCTGACTATGATTTGAGGATCTAAACCACTGCATGACCCCAAACACGAGCCAACTGTCTCCACCTAGTGCTTAACCAAGCAAACGGCAGTCTTCCTATTAGGAAAATGGATTAGTGAGAAGCCAGGTCAATTTTCCATATGCATGCCTTTGTAAGCATTTTTCATGGCTAATTTTGACTACACATGTTTTTCACATCTCGTGCTAAATTTAGATGGTGACCGCCATTCAAGATATACTCCATGGTATTCCTGCCTCTTTCCCTCAAAGAAATTCACAAAGTACAGAGTTTGATACATAATGAGACATGTTAATGAGACACACTTCAGCAGAAGAATCTGTTAGCTTTGTTTTACCCAGTGCTTCCCAAACTTACTGGGCCCGAGAGTGGTGTTGGCGGTTCTTTCCCTGTCCCCTGAAGCAGTCAGCACTTCTGGCGCTGCTGTTTTAAAGCAGGTCGACTTGAGTGTGTGCTCTGCAGAGCTCAGTCTCCCATTTGTAAGAGACCGTTTTTACTTAAGTAGAATTACCAAAAACATTTCATCTTGCGTTTTGGTAGAACTGTTGTTCTTAGCAAGCTGACTGTGCTCAAGTGCTTCTTGTCGTCTTTGCAGGAAAGCTAGTTGAGCAGAGGAAGCACAGGGAGGCGGCCACGGTTTTGGAACAGTATGCCCAGGTAAGCTCAGCTCCTCCCTTCTGAAATGCCTTCATTAACAAGCAAGGACTTCCTAGTTGTATCTTATGAATCATGAACATTAAAAGAACTGTGGGTAGGCCCTGGCCAGGTAGCTCATTTGGTTAGAGTGTCACCCCGATATGCCAACATTGTGGGTTCCATCCCTAGTCAGGGCACATACAAGAATCAGCCAATGAATGCATAAATAAGTGGAACAACAAATTAATCGACCTCTCTTTCTCTCATTCTCTTCATTTCTCTCTAAAATCCATCAACAATTTTTTAATGTGGAAAAAAAAAATTGTGGGTAATTAGGAGGTTCAGAGAGAGTTTGTCCTACAAGTCTTCCATCTTGCTGACTTGACTTGGAAATCTGAATTCAGTGTCTGTCTGTGTAAGTTCTGTGAGGTAGGGCACCAGAGAGCTCTGCTATAACATGTGCTAGTGGTTTGACCTTGGTAGAAAGTACTAAGTTAAATCTCAAGGAAGTCGTACTTCTTATGGTAACTTGCCAAAGTAGAAACAGTAGGAAAGGACCATTCTAAACCAAGGTGATTGAACTTTAAATACTTTTTTGGCTTTTACACTCATTCTCTCTGTTGGAAATAATGTCTTTTACCCCCAGGAGGTTGATGAGTTCTAATTTTTTCAGGAGATTGTAAAGATAAGTACTTACATCAGCTTTTGATGAATTTATAGTATCTATTGTGAAAATAATGAAACTACGCACTGATACTGGCTACAGACTGACAGGACCCGCATACACAGTTGACACCAGAAATGACTGCCTCGAAAGTTTGGGGACTTTGATGAGATAGTGTTTTTACAGGTGTTACTAGTGGGCACATTTGCATAACATAATCAAGCTTTTAAAATTCTTCAGTGTCTTTTATTTAATAAGGGTGAGTGAAAGAAGATAACTCAATGTCCTATCATTAAATCCTGGAAAGAAAATGTGTTAGGTGATTGGCTGAAAACAACAATGAGTAAAATACATACTGCAGCAGGAGACGAGGAAAACCAAATAGGAGACGGATTGGCTCCCTAAAAGAAGCCATAGGCGTGAGTCTGCAGGAGCTGAGCAGGGCTGTTCAGGACAGGGCATTGTGGCCGTCACTCATCCATAGGTTTGCTAGGAGTTGGAGCTGACTCATGAACACGTACAACTAATAGAGTAGAGAGGTTGGAATAGAAAGATACACCACCTAAGAGTGTAATTGCTTGGATAAGATGTCACCATTTTTTTTTTTGTAAATGAAAATTAATTCATATATATACTTAATTTATGTATTTATAATTTATATATATTAGGCTGTCATTTACATAATATTTACCAATTTTAAATTAACAATTGGATGAGTTTTGACAAATCTTTACAGCTGTGTAACCACCATTACAGTCACGATATAGAACATTTCTTGCACCCCAAAAAGTTCCCTAGTTCCCCTTTTGTAGTTAGTCTTCTCCCCCCACCTTCAGCCCCTATCAGTCACTAATGTGCTTTCTGTCATTCTGTTTTTTCTAGAATTTCATATAAATAGAACCATCTGGTGTGTGGTCTTTTTGGCTTTCTTCACTCACATAATGCTTTTGATTTTTAACATTTTTTTTTATTCTTAAAATTTCCATTTTTCTGTTTACACGACCCATCAGCTCTTGCATTGGTCTACTTATTCCATTAGAGCCCTTAGCATATTAATCATACTCATTGTAAATTCCCTGGCCTCATATTCCAATGTCCCTGGCATATCTGAGTCTGGTTATGATGCTCGCTCTGGCTCATCTGACTGTATTTTGTACTTTATGTCTTATAATTTTTTGTTGAAAACTTGATGTGATGTACTGGGTAAAAGGAAGTTCAGTAAATAGGCTGTTAGTGATGTGGTGATAAGGTGTGGAGGCAGGAGAAGCTTTCTAGAGTGTGGTTAGGTCTCAATCTTTTAATGAGCCTGTGCCCCTGCACTGTGACCTTCCCCATGCTTCTCAGTCTCCCCCCCCCCCCCCCCCAGGGTAGGACAGTGGGCGAGAGGGGAGCTGTAATCGGGTATTTCCCTTCCCCCACATAGGTGAGGCCTGCTAAAACCACTTTGGTTAGGCTCTGGCAAAATAGTTTCTTTAGAGAGCAGGCCTATAAAGAACAGCTTGCTTTGGGTATATTTTTAAATGGCTACGTTTCCCCTCTACCTGCTGGAAACAGAGTCTCCTCTGATAGTCACTGTGAGAATCTGGTAGGGCTCCTGGGGTAAAACCTCACAAAAATGTAGGAGCCTTTGTAAGTCTGGGCCCCACAGAGTTTTTTAACTCTTAGCCTTACCCATAGTGAGCCTCCAGCTATTTGTCCATTGCAGTTCAGGTGCTTCCTACCCTAGCACTGATTCTGGTAGAGATTTCTGTCTGTGGGTTTCTGCTCTGCTAAATTGTAGCTCTGTATCCGCTTGTCTGTTCCTCCATTTTGAGGGGCAGCAGTTTGCCCTGTGACCTTAGTTCTGTGATGGCTCTAAGAAGAGTTGATGATTTTCAGTTCCTGGAGCTTTTTACTTGTTAGCATAGAGTAATGACTTCCAGGTTCCTTACATGCTGAACCAGAAACTGGAAGTCATAGAATGCTCTTGAGATTCATCCATATTGTAGTGTGTATCAATATATTCTTTTTTGTTTTGTTGAATAGTATCCTATTGTGTGAATATATCACAATTAGTAAAAAGAAAGGTGGGGGGAGTAAGAGTTGGGATTGATGTGGAGAAATAGGGACCCTTGTACCTTGCTGGTGGGGATGTGAAAGGGTGCAGCCACTGTGGAAACAGCTTTGTGGTTCCTGAAAAAGTTAAACATCTGACCCAGCAGTTTCACTCCTAAGTATATATGAAGAGAAATGGAGACGTACGTGTCCACAAAGAAATTTGTATACATATTAGCAGTATTATTTATAATAGCCAAAAGGTGGAAATAACTCAAATGTCCATCAGTGACAGATGAATGGATAACTTTTGACACACACACACACACACACACACACACACAGAGGAATATTATTTAGTCATAAAAAGGAACAAAAAACTGATACATGCTACAGCTTGGATGAATCTCGAAAACATGCTACGTGCAAGAAGCTGGACACAAAGGTCACCTGTTGTGTGGTTCCTGTTATATGCTCTGTGTAGGCCAGACAAATCCAGAGAGCCAAGTGGCCTAGAGGTTACAAGGAATGGGGGAGTGGGAAATGGGGAGGGATTACTTAATGAGTACGGAGTGTTTTTAATGGGGTGATAAAAATATTTTTGTGGTTATACAGTATTGTGAATACTGTAAATATTAAACTGTACACTTTAAAATGATTAATTGAATGCTGTGTGATTTTCACCACACACACACACACACGTCAAACAAACACATCCTACTGTGTCCCTCTGTGGACCTGTGGTGCGGGCCTGTTAGTGTGGCATGTTTCAGGTGATGCATCGGGGTCTGGGAAGAACATTTCTTTTTATCTTTTTAATGAAAATAACTTATATAAGATAGTATATGTCTATTATAGATTGTTTAAAATGCAAATACAAGAAAATAAAATACCTTATTTCTACCTGTCAAAGATTGCTATGGTTAGCACCTCCTGTTTCTTTCTAAGAGTGTGCAGAGCACAGGTTCGTTCTCTCTCTCTCTCTCTCCCTCTCGCTCTCGCTCTCTCTCTCTCTATAAAACATGATGTAATATAATATAATATAACACATGTATTTTTAACCAAAAAGGAATTACACTGTGCTGTGCTGTTTGCAAATTTGCTTAATTGTTTGGTTATGATCTTCATATTTCCATGTTAACAAATTTTAATTTAATAATTAAAATTCAAGTTCCTTCAATGATTCCAAAATTGTATACAGTGGATTGATTCAAATTAGATTTCAATCTAGGTCCATTTGTCACATCTTGTCTCTTACGTCCTAAATCTCTTTTAATGTAGTGGGTGCCCCTTACCCTCCTCTTTATGACGGTGACTGCTTGAGGAAGCCCAGTCAGCTGCCCTATATATTTCATCTTTTTGAGATGTGTTTTGTTTTATATGCTTTATAAATTCACAAATTCAAAATAAATATACTGGGGTACAGGATCAAAATTTTTGCTGTTAATAGTACAAGCATCAAAAACATTTGAAGACCTTAGGGAGTTTATTACACTTTTCAGTAGAAGTTTTTAAAAATAAAACAGAAAAAATAAACATTAAAAGTGCAAAAAAGAAATAGATTACTATTCTAGTTTTTTCAAAGTGTGGATTTGCTAATTCAGGAGCCCACTTAAACCTGTGAGTCAAACCTGGTGGTAAAGCTGGGGAAATGGGCTTTTTTTTAAAAATTCTCAACTGAGGGTTTTGTTTTGATTTTTTTTGTTGGTCCTTACCGAAGGATATTTTTCCACCGATGTTTAGATAGAGTGGAAGGGAGGTAGAGAGAGAGAGAGAGAAACATTGATATGAGAGAGATGAATCGATTGGTTGCCTTCTGCACGACCCTGATCTGGGCCAGGGATGGAACCTGCAACTCAGGTATGTGCCCTTCACCAGAAATCAAACCTGTGACCCTTTGGTTTGCAGGCTAACACTCTAACTGTTGAGCCAAACCATCCAGGGCTAAGGATGTATTTTTTAAAATTAATATGAGAGAGAGAGAGAGAGAGAGAAACATTGATCAGTTGCCTCCCATATGGACCCTGACCAGGGATCGAACCTGCAACCTTTTTGGTGCATGGAATTACTCTCCAACCAACTGAGCCCTCAGCCAGGGCAAAATGGGCATATTTAACAGACCTGTCTGGTGGTTTTGATGCTCAGAAAAGTGGAGCCATGATACTTACCATACATATGTTCTTTATTATTTGCAGAATGCACACCCTCCTTTTTCTTTTGGATGAGTATTTATTGGGCATGTGCTCTAGGCCAGGCACGATGCTAGAACTGGGGCCAGCTGGGAAGGCAGATACAGGCATTTGATTGCTTGCTCGCTCGGTTAATCTGTTATTTGCCTTGATGCTCCTTTGTCAGGATTATGAAGAAGCTGTGCTCTTGCTGTTAGAAGGAGCTGCCTGGGAAGAAGCTCTGAGACTGGTAAGAGAACTTTTTAAATCCCCCTATCATTAGGTGCTAAGCAGAGCGGGAGTGAGGGGGACAGTCAGCTGGAGTCCCTTGTCCTCTGAGCTCGTGAAATGAAATTGTAGTTCAGGTTCCCAGACTTAAGGATAAGCACTGATTTTGAAACCATTTAAAAAATGTATTCTTGATGTTAGGAATTAGTTGGTCCTCTGTATGTGAAACATTGCTGTCTTCTGCTGAGATGAATTGTATTTCCATTAGTTATCTCATAGGAGCTTTGCTCCTCTGACAGATACCCTGGTCAGCTCTGAAGTGACCCACTTCTTTCCAGGGACCTTAACTCTCCGGTGACTTGAATTTTCCTGCCTAAAATTACTGTCTTTTTTTTTCCTTTTAGGTTTACAAATATAACAGACTGGATATTATAGAAACCAACATAAAGCCTTCCATTTTAGAAGGTGAGGGTTACATTTAAATAGAACTTCTCATTTGGAATTACACAGACGGGGAGGGGTGAACTGGCAGAGTGCTCCCTGTGTCATTGCATCCGTGACTCGTGTTAAAGGGAGTCAGTCAGAATCCTCCACTGGTGTGATGTTAATTCTGAGCAGGGTTTTTAATATGCCACCAGTTAAATGGTAGCACATAAAATATTTGAAGGTTAAGAAGCTGTGATAAGATAAGATTAAGAATCTTTGCATTTGGGAATAGTTGCTAACTTGAAAGAGTAATATCAGTACACAGTTTTCTACATTTAATAATTATATTGTGTTTATATTAGACAATATATTCTTAGGAGAGAAATGCTGAACTATAAAGGAGGGATTATATCTGCAACTTAGTCTCAAAGGCTCTACCAAAATAATAGCACAAGAGAGTATGTGTAGAAACAAGCCAGAAATATGGCAAAATGTTAAGAATTGGTAAATCTAGGTTCTTTGTAGGGGGTATGTATGTACATTGAAGTATTGCAACTTTTATGTAGGTTTGGAATTCTTTCAAAATAAAAAATGAAAAGAACCTTTGCAGATGAACTTGATGGTTCTTAGAGAATAGATGAGTGTTATCACTTCTAGAATACTCTAGTGGTCACTGTGACTCCTTACAAGCAAAGCTGAAAAGAAGGATATCAGTTTGACTTCTAGAAATCTTTGGGAGTGGGGGGTTGATTTTCAGCTCTGCCGTTTTTAGCACAGTCCACCATGTAAGTAAGGTCTGGCCTTCCTGACATTAGCATGTATTCACATTCGCACCCTGCCTGCCCCATCCTCCTCCACCCTAATTACAGCTGTGGGTGGGTTCTCTCTGTACCATTCACATTGGGTACCCCTAACCTGGGTACTGAATGCATCCTTCCTGGCCCTACAGCAGTGCATTGGCCAGCACTTGCTCAGATTTTCTTCACTGTTGAGAACCTAGAAAAATGCATAGGACTAACACCTGTGTTGAGGAAGCATTTCAGTGACTGTCCTCCTGTTTTTGTTAATAGCTTCCTGTGCTCTCCTTTTATTTGCCAGTCCTCTTTTGGGCTAGGTATCAAGTCTTTGTTTAGGTGATTTTGTATGTTTAATGGTAGAGTATTCTGGGATGATGTTGATGAGCTCTAAGATCTGGAATCTCAGTCTCTAGTTCATTCTCCTAAAATGATGTAGGTTAACCATTAAGACAAAAATTTGTGCTTGGAAAACCTAGTAACAGTTCTTTTTGGTAAATGCCAACTCTTACTCCTCCCACTCTAGTTTTTTCTCTCTTCTTAAACATCATGCTGAAATTATTTTCCATCTGCACCCCCAGCCCAGAAAAACTATATGGCATTTCTGGACTCTCAGACAGTCTCTTTCAGTCATCATAAAGAGCGTTTATTGGTGGTCCGAGAGCTCAAGGAGCAAGCGCAGCGTGTCTGCCTGGGTGAGTGCTGCACGGAAACGGTTGGTGCTGGGGTGGGCGGGCGGGCGGGCGGACAGCAACATCACGGTCTCAGTTGCTGCTTGTGCCTCCTGCAGTGTAAGGACTGTGTCGTGGGAAGTCTGAGGCCTCTGTGAAAGCCCTCTGGGGCTGTGTGTGTCTGTCTGTGTGTCAGGAGGGCTTGGGAGCAGGACCAAGAACAGGTGGGAAGAACTCTGCCAAACCTTTCCCCGCCCCACCCAACAGAGTGGTTGGCTGCTGTTTCACAAAATGAGTCTTCTCATTTCTAAAAGTTCTTTTGCTTGAATAAAAAGAAAAAGACTAAAGAGGTGTGATACTGGTGTTCTGGTATATAGTAATAATAACTATATTTAATATTTTCTTATTTCATTTTGAGATCAACTTTGTAATAATTTTCTTTTCTTTTTTTTTTACTCTCACCCGAGGACATTTTTGCCTTTATCTTCAGATAGAGCAGGAGGGAGAGAGGGAAGAAGAAGAAAGAGAGAAACATCAGTGTGAGAGAGACACATTGAGTGGTCGCCACCCACACAACCCCAACTGGGGGCCAGAGACAAACCGCAACCAAGGTACCTGCCCTTAGTGGAAACCGAACCCGGACTCTCCGGTCCATGGGCTGACGCTCTAACCGCTGAGCCAAACCGGCCAGGCCTGTAATAATTTTCATCCATCCTTAGATATGCCCTGGTGAACTATAACCCACTTACCCCGCTGAAGGTAAACCCACATTACAGGGAATTTTCATTCCGCATCTGGTTCTTCTTTTCTAGATGATGGGGTGTCCCACGGTCAGGAGTCTGACGTGTTCTCTGAAACCAGCAGTGTCGTGAAGGGCAGTGACACAAGTGGCAGATACTCTCATAGCAACTCCCGGATATCAGCGTACGTATCACGTTTCTCCATCACACCTGCTGCCCGGGTAATGGAGGAGGTACGCGTGAGGGCATGCTTCATGGCCATGCGGGGCTTGTGCAAGGCTTCTCCCAGCACAGCCATAGATGAGGCCTGGTGCGCGCATGGGTTCTGCTGTAGCTTCGTGGCCTGCGGGCTCAATTACCCAGTTCCCCAAGCACCTTACACTGAGTACTCAGTTTATAAACATCTGATTTTATTCATTTAATAAATATTAAGTGACTATAATGGGTGTGCACCGAAACAATGAAAAGATACAAAGAAAAAAGATTTTAGGCTTGTTCAACTGGAAATCAGGATTGGAAGAGGAAATAAGTATAAGTCATCACACTTGTACTCAGTGTAGCAATTTGTAGAAGTATTTATTGAACACTCATGTGCTAGTTGTAGTGGAGGTTATAGCAAGAAACTTTTAAGGAGATAGGAGTTATAAGAGCTATAGCTTACTTGGAAGACCAGACCAAACAATGCAAGATTATGTATTTAAACTGAATTGACCTTGAGGATGTATGTGTGAGGCGATCAGAAACTGCAAGAAAGGCAACTAGAACTGGGCTTTTCAGAGTTGGGGTGAGCCCAGCCCATGTGGCTCCATGGATTGAGCGTTGTCCTATGGACTAAGAGGTTACCAGTTCGATTCCTGGTCAGGGCACATGCCCAGGTTATGGGCTTGATCCCCAGTAGGGGGCGTGCAGGAGGCAGCTGATAGATGTTTCTCTTTCACATCGATGTTTCTCTCTCTCTCTCCCTTCCTCTCTCTCTCTCTGAAAAATCAACAAAAACATATTAAAAAACAAAACAAAAACAGAGCTGGGGTGAGAGAGTCCCAGACAAATGAAATGGCATATTTAAAGACCTCTGAGGAAGGAAAGAATATTGGATTCATATATATTTCATTTTATTCAAATTCAAATCTAGTGTATCTTATTTAAGTTTTTTATTTTGTTGCCATTAAGGTTTTTAAAAAAAATTTTTAATTTCTATAAAATTCAAGTTTGATGTTCTGTTCATTGTTCCAGCTCTTATTATCAGATGTGACCTCATTTTATTCTGTATTTTAGTTAAAGCATCAAAGCCAAGTATTACTTTTTAGGGTTTTCCTTATTCCTGCCTGTAAGACTTGCTTCTCCAAGACTTGGTATCACTTTAAACCTCATCATCATTTCTCCCAAATACAGATACCATCTGTAGATGCCTGGTTTCTCAGAAAGTTGGTGGCCAGCAGGTACTTTTATTTTATTTTATTTATTTATTTTTTTAAATCCTCACCAGAGGCTATTTTTCCATTTATATTTAGATAGAGTGGGAGAGAGAGAGAGAACGAGCAAGAAACATCGATGTGACAGACACACATCAACTTGTTCCCTCCCGCACAACCCCAACCAGGGCCAGGGACTGAACCGCAACCGAGGCACGTGCCCTTGACCAGAATCGAACCTGAGACTCTTTGGTTTGCGGGCTGATGCTCTAATGGCTGAGCCAAACTGGCCAGGTCCAGGTTCATTCATTTTAATGTGTTCAGCAAAAGGAGAGCCCTTTTAAAATCTCTCTGATTTCTAACAGGCGATCGTCTAAGAATCGCCGTAAAGCAGAGCGGAAGAAGCACAGCCTCAAAGAGGGGAACCCCCTGGAGGAGCTGGCCCTTTTGGAGGCTTTGAATGAAGTTGTACAGGGCACTGAAAAACTGAAAGGTATTTGCTCAGTGCTGACTGACGATGGCTGCCACAGACAAATAGTGTATGGATACAACAGACACAGAATTTGGTACAGAATGAAGATACCATTTTCCTGAATTGAGAAGGATGAAACCTGTCCGCAGGAAGTGGCGTTTTAGGGCACATTCCTGAAATAGCCCTTCCCAGCCAGTACCCCAGAAGCCTTCTGTTGGCATCCATGTACCTGAGCTGGGAGAGCTGATTAGCGCTGAAGCCCAGATAAAGGCCTGTGGAGACACTGCTTCCTGCTTGGGCCTCAGTGTGCTTGTTTCTCCATTTGTAGTAGGTCTGTCGAATTACTCCAGCATTTGGGAAGAGGGAAGAAAATGCAGGAGATGGCAACTGAAGTGTTATCCTAAATGGTTTTTGTTTCAGAGAGAAACTGTGTTATGATTCTAGCTTGGAGCTGGGGACACAGCTTAACACTCCCTCGTGTTTCTGTTTCTAGAAGAGATACACTGTATTCTAAAGGTACTGATCCTCTTTGAGTTTGATGAGCAAGGACGGGAATTACAGAAGGCCTTTGAAGATACTCTACAGCTGATGGAAAGGTCTCTTCCAGAAATTTGGACTCTCAGCCACGAGCATAATTCAGTTACACCTGTAAGTTTTCCTCAAAGACAGAATGTGCCTTTTTTCATCATTTCACAGGTTTGTTACACTCACACAGTCTCTTAAAAGTCAAAGCAAAAGACTTTCCTGTCCTTCAGACATAATTTGCCACAGTTAAATGATCTGAGGCTTATGTTTCAGGTGTCATGAAGGTTTTTTATTTGACTACACAGTGACTGTTACACCTTGGCCTAGGTTACGTTTGCTTTTATCTCCTCTCTACGTCGAGCAGCTGTTGTGCAGAGGATGGGAAAGTCAGATAGTTGCCCCTGGCCTTCGATGAGCTTGGAGTGGGGAGAGGGAGGTGTTCAGGCTTATGTGTGGCATCCAAGTTTTTTAAAGGAAGCCCAGATTACTGCTCTCCTTTTGTTTTATGGAAAATTTGACTTGTGACTTCTGTGTTGTTAGGATGAGTCTTGCTAATTATGTTTAAGGGTGTGTGTCCCATCAGGAATATAATGTATTATCATCTATTACGTATACTTCTGCTCAGTCCCTCACAACTCAGGTCTCTTAAGAGTTTTGGTTTGGGTTCAGAAAGGCAGTGTAGTCAGGGTCTGATAAGGAAAACAAAACCCACAGCTGCTCTTTTATCAGGGCGGTTTAATATCTGGAACTGCTTAGACAAGCATTGGAGGACTGAAAGGCAGAGGGGACACTTGGAGGAGGAACACCGAGGTAGTAACTGTGGGAAGTCACTGCAAGAGCCAAAGGAAGAGTTTGGGACTGTTAGAATTTAGAAGTTCGCAGGCGGGGCCCTGCTGAGCTGGTTCCTGGCCCTCTGAGAAGAGGGTGCCAGCCAGCTGGTGCTGGGCATAATGAGGCTGGTTCTCAGGGTATCGAAATGAACAAAATCCGGAATGAGCAGCTGCTGACGGCGTACAGCCCTGCACTCCCTCTGGTGTGGCGCCAGCTGACAAGGGCGTCTTCTCAGGCCCCCAGCCCCAGGACCCGAGCAGTACGTGGGAGGGTGGGCTTGGGGCAGGCTTGGGGCTCGGAGAGGTTGGCAATCAGTTCACTGGTTAGAAACACACAAGTTTACTGGGCTTCGATGGGGCCGTTACAAACGGGGATAGTACATTCCCTGTGCACCTCATGATATGTTTTTGTGTTTGTTTTTTTATCCTCACCTGAGGACATTTTTCCATTTTTTGTTCAGATAAAGTGGGAGGGAGAGAAAGGGAGAGAGAGAGAGAGAGAGAGAAACATCGACGTGACGTGAAAGGGACACATCAAGTGGCTGCCACCCGCATGACCAACCAGGGCTGGGGACAAACCACAACCGAGGTGCACGCCCTTAGCAGGAACCGAACCGGGTCTCTCTGGACCACAGGCCAATGCTCTGACCACTGAGCCAAACCGGCCAGAGCTCATGATATGTTTTGAACATTAGATAAGAGGATAGATGTAAAAGCATCTTATAAACCATAAAAATAAAAGCAACTAAGAAACATTACCCTCACAACTACTTAAATTTACTATAATAGGTAGTTCCCAGAAGAAATGTGATCACCTATAAAACTAGTGATTTCAAAGCTAGCAATTTATAATGCTTCTCCATGTCCCCCCCCCCCTTCTATTCAGATTATACTAACTTCTAAGTCACCAACTTTATGAGTCTTTTAGGGAAAATGACCAGGAATGTTGTGGTTTTGTTTTAGTTGTTAAAGTACGATAATGGCATATGTGCAGAATACCATGAGTCATGTGACATTGCTGCTCAGGGTGCCACCAAGGGGGGCTGCCTGCACATCATCCTGCAGAACTGAATGAAGGCAAAGCAGAGGGCTTGGTGTGTGCACACTTAGGCTTGTGCAGGTGTAGAATTCCTGTGAAGTCCCTTGTGAACACGTGCCGAATTTCCATTCTATTCCCTGATATGCACCTTTTTATCTTAATATAAAAATTTCCACAAATCTTTGAGTACAGTTTGATACTCCTTGTATTCTATAGCTCTTGTACTCGTCCTTCTCCCCTCAGGGTCTGGCTTTCTCATTTGGAAAGGATCAGGCATATATGGGTGTAGATTTTCTTTCCTTTTTTTTTAGCAAGAGAAAATAACCAAATTTAATGCAGAGTATGTATGGGAACCCTGCATACATGAAAGAGAAACCTCACATACAAGAGAGGTTCCTAGATTTTCTTTTTTATTCAACCCCCATCATTACCTTGTGGTTCTGATAGAAAGGAAATTGAGAGGTCTGAGTTGAGACTGGAGAAATGGGCAAATTAAAATCACATAGGAAAAGAGAATTGCTGTGTTTGACACTATAGCAATGAAAATGATGGGCTGTCTACGGCTGGTAGAGATCTGGCCTTTGGTACTGCAGTCGTCAGAAGTATAAGGTCATCTTTGCTGACACAGTCTGCTTTCTGCTTAGGTTCTAGGTCCAAATTCTACTTCAAATAGTATCATGGCTTCCTATCAACAACAGAAGACTTCATCTCCTGTTCTTGGTTAGTATTTTTCCCTCTAAATTATTACAGTACTAAGCAGAAGGAATGTCTTTGTCCAAGTTGAAAAGTCTGAATGGTTGAATTTGCACATAAATTTTAAGGGTTCTGCAGCATCATAATTTTTGGCTCTTGGCAATTACACATTTGCATCCTGGGGATGTTTTCATAGTCTGCAAGAGCTGGACCTTTCTAATCATCTTTAGGATTGACGGTGTAATTTGAAAGCAAATCCAAAGAACATTAACATTGCATGTGGATTTCTGGTTTACTAAAATGTTTGTTTGTTGTGGGGAGGTGTTCTCAGTTAGATGATATATCCATCAAAGTTCAAAGTCCTAAAGCCTTTCTTTTGAAAGTTGACTAGGAACTTTTAACAGATCAGTTTAGTACCTGAGTATTTGTCCTTCAGGTGGTTAATCAAGAATACCAATCTCTTAGCTTTGAAAAGTTCATGATATGTTTAGAATGGCAGTTTTTACTAGTTACTTACATTTTCTAGCATGTGACATGCAGAAAGTTTTTCATTTAAATGCTGAACTATAATAGCATTTTGATGACATTTGAAGTAGCCTTTGAGGGTTCAAATTAGGTTTAACTTGAATGGCTTATGTTGCTACCAGGAATAAAAACTACCTTCCATCCCGGCTACACACGTGCACCTGGATAGTCACCACTGCGTCCCGAGCGCCCTTCTTCCTGGAAGAAGCCGCGTCCTGGCAGGCTGTGTGGGATCAGTCCCAGCGCATACTTATTTCTGAGATGCTGCAGATTCATCTTGGACCTGAGGCAGCTCAGTAATCATTTAGGTGTAATTTCTGGCCCATTTCCTTCTTGTTGGCCTGATGCTGACCTGTAGATCAAGTCCAGTCGCACCTTTCCTGGGGTGTTCTGGGCGGCTTTATTTATCCCGGAGCACTTCCGTTTCCACCTAAGCCTTAAAGTGTCTGATGTTGTGAAGCTCCTCATTATCTGAGTATGTATTTTATCAGTGTCCTTGTGGCTACAAGATCATGTAGGAAAAGAGAAGTTCTCATAATCCCAAAGTAGACAGATTAACTCACTAAAGTAGTTCCACTCAAATATTCGTCAGCGACTCCTCCAACTAGCAGTAGTGGTTCAATATAGTTGTCCCTGTATTGATTTTCAGAAGCTGCAAAAGTCGAAGCACAAAGCGGCGAGGAAGGACTGTGTATAAATAAAGAATCCTACTTCGCGGAAATTCATTTATCGCGGTAGAGTCTGGAACTGATTGACCGCGATAAACGAGGGCCGACTGTACACTCACACACCCCAGGAGTGGCACCAGGGACTCAATAGGGCCTTTTCTCTGTTTCATGTTTACAATGCAGTGCAACCCCATGCAGATCGACCACAAGTCTTGCAAAAATGCAGGATTTTATAAAATAGATTAAAGTGTTATCAAAGACGTGCTTAAGTCATAGCTGAGTTGGACTTGTTCCAATTGATAACAAAATAAGTACTTCAAATGAGAGTGGTTTGACTATCAAGGGATTAAGAAAAGTCCTTGGGCCCTGGCCAGTTTGGCTCAGCGGTCGGAGCATCGGCCTGTGGACCAGAGTCCCGGTTCGGTTCCCGCTAAGGGCATGTACCAAAAAAAAGAAAAAAGAAAAGTCCTTGGAAAAATTGATAAAGACTTCAGTGCATTTTTGTAGAAGTTACCCTTCTTGTGCGGTGCACTTCAAACACGGAAAAGGGCAAGACACCTGGTCCCACTGTCATACGCTTTGTCAGTGTGATGTCTTCCTGCCTGAAGTCAGCACTTGGTCTTTATTCTTACTTAGGTCTAGGAATGAAATACTGTTATAGTAATGCCTAATTTTTTAATAAGATAGAATATATTTTCATAACTATTTTCTTGTTTGAAAAACAGATAAAGTCTCAAAGTTTAATCACGATTAACATGAAATCATGGGCCTCTTGACCAAGAACTTATTTAAGTAGCCTTCCAGTATCTGTCTTCAATAAGCAAAACCTCTTGGTCTTTTTATCTGTGTAGTTTTTTGTTTGAGGGAGTAGAGCAGTAATTGTATGTGAAATTATAAAAGTGATATAATTAGTAAAGAAAATCTGGATTGTACAGAAAAGTGTGTTGGAGAAAATGACAATTTGATGATTTCTAGTCATGTTTATACATGTATTTGTACAAAATATGAAAACCATGTTTTTAACAACTTGAGCATTTTTCTCACATCGTTAAATATTCTTGAAAATAAGTCTTAATGTCTGTATGGCTTATATCTACAGATATACTGTGGGAAGTTTATAATGAATCCTGCTAAGACAGAACATATTTTTATATACATATTTCTCATATCTCTGCTTCCTGTATATGGTTCTCATTTAGATAAAAGACTCCACAAATCTAACTGAAAAAGGGCCTGAGAGTTGTATCTAACAATGACAATTTTCTCTCACCATTCCCCTTCCAAACTCCCTCCCCCCCTTTTTTAAGTAGGGACATTTTTATTGATCGGTGTGCTTGTAGAATTTCTTTTATCATAAAGTGTTTTCTGTCCAGTAAATTTACTTATTGAATACATGCCCTCATATTTCTTTCACTCTTACAATGGAGGTAAATTTTACATATAGTAAAATATACAGAGAGGTACACATAGTTTGATGGGATTTAGTATAATATGGCCTTGTAACCACCACCACCCATTTAAAATATAAGACATTCTTTCACTTTGAATCACTTGGTGGGCATTTTTCTGCTTCTCTCCCATGCACCTGAAGCTGTAACAGAATTCCTCCTCCGGGCCGGCCTCCAGGCTGCTTTTGTTCTGACTGGAGGTTGTAAGGCAACAGAAACTCTGCTTCTGATGGTCGTCTTGTAGGTGCAGAGCGCAGTAGCCTAGTTTTAGATTAGAGTTACTGCCCCAGCTTCCACCGCAAGAAAGAGTGTGTTCTCTCACAGTCTCTTTCCTTTTTATCAGATGCTGAATTTTTGATACCACCAATGATGAACAAAAGAACCCAGTGGAAACTGAGCCTGCTGGAGTGACGGATGCTCAGTAGGAAGATCGTTTTCTTTCCACTGTCTCTCCAGGCCTGGCTGCTGAGAACCAGGAAGAGTAAAATGATGATCTACCTTAGTATTGCCGAGCGCCGCTCTGTGCAGCAGACCTCTGCAGACACCAAGCAATTCTATTTTATTTTACATCGAGTTTTAATTAGCAAAACTTTAATCTTTAATCAATATAGCATCATTTTGTAAGAATTAATGTTCTTGCCCTGGCCGGTTTGGCTCAGCAGTTAGAGCGTCGGCCTGCGGACTAGAGAGTCCCAAGTTCGGTTCCCACTAAGGGCATGTACCCGGTTGCGGTTCGTCCCTGGCCCAGGTTGGGTCATGCAGGTGGCAACGACTCAATATGTCTCTCTCGCATTGATGTTTTTCTCTCTCTCTTCCCCCCTCTCTCCCTCCCACTCTATCTGAAGATAAATGCAAAAATGTCCTCGGGTGAGGATTAAAAAAAAATTATTGTTCTTTTATTTAGTGCAGTTTGGGAGCATATTTTTGGTATTTCTAGTAATCAGAAGATGGGGTTTCATTCCCAGTTACAGATCTCATTCATATGGGACATTAGACAAGTCACATTTATTTGTGCCTCATTTCATTGTGAATAATGTTTCATGGCTTCTACCTCAAACATTAATGTTTTTAAATTGCTTTATGTTCCTGGAGGAAAGCATTATATATAAACAACATGGCTAGTAATGCTACCAACATTTAGTCACATTTAATCTTTTAAATGACTTTTTCATCTTGAACTAAAGCAGAAGGAAGAGCTAGATATATCCTTTGAAGTTCAAAGGTTTTCCATACTAACAGCTGTTACCTTGTAATATCTTACCTGGCCATATGCTTCCAGTTATAACTGGGTTGAGCCTCCTATCAGTACATTTCCACAGGGACTGTCCTCACTCCTGTGAGTTTTCTGCTAGAGAGTTAGCAGAACAGATTAGAATTTCTGAAGCGTATTATGTACAGTTAAAGGTGAACAGTGTTCATCGGATGTTAAGTTACTCCTTTTTCTCCAAATACTGCTTCTTCTAACAATGTTTTTGTCAGTGTCTAGACCGTTTCATTTATTTTTCTGTATGGTACTTAACTGACCTCTCCCTTTAGCTATTTTCTTTGAAAGAAATGAGAATGTTTTCTCTTTTTGATCAGTCTAGAAAAAGCTTTTTTCATTTTGACAATAGTTTTGTGGCTGATTCTTAGGTTAAGGTTAAAAATATCTTCTACTCCTTTAATACACGAAGCAGATCTTCGTTACGGTGTATAAACTAACAGGAAATGCTACTTTTGGTTCAAGACTTTTATTAATACAGCAAAATTTTAGCTGTGGAACCTAGGTGTGTTTACTGTATGATTCAGCTTTTCTGTATGCCTGAAATTTTTCAAAAAATAAAAAAAATAGACAAAAGATATGTATATTTTGCTTTGGATATACACATCCAAATCGTATTGACTTTCTCATTCATATCCATATGGATTCGCTGTAATTAAGTCCCAACACTGAAAGGCCACAAGTGCTCTGTGACTGGGGTAAACACACATGGTGACCGACAGGACATTCTAAGCAGGTGCAGGCTCCTGAGGATGACAGTAAGGGGACCGTGCTGATGGACTGCAAATGGAAATAAATGTGTCTGTTGATAATAGTGTGACTTCACGGATGGTCAGTTTTCTTAAAATATGTATTGAAGCAACAAGAAAGAATTTGTGTGAATTCTTTCCATTCAGATAACTATCAGTGACCATCTCTCATCAGAGCAAGATGGAAATTTGTTCATTTGGAGAAGCAACCAGCAGGAGCAGACCTTCCAAACTGAAGGCAAAGTCAAGGAAGAATTAATTCACGGGGAAAATGCAGTGTATGGGAAAAGGGGAAACTCCTAGGAGGGATGTGCTTCATTTTGGGGAAAGATTCTGTCAAGTTCTAGAAAGAGTATATAACTCTTCCCCCTTGCCCCCAATTTGGACTGTGTCCCGAAGCAAGTTCATGCTGCAATAAGCAAAAAGCCTTTGTTATTTTGTTGGTTTCATTGAGTCAACTTTGTTCAGATGCCCCAGACCTCAAGAGGTAGCTTTCAGAGGACTGTCTCTTAAGATCAGAGTGCATTTTATTGATTTTTTTTTTTTAATCCTCACCCCAGGATATTTTTCCATTTATTTTCAGACAGAGTGGAGGAGGAGAAAGAGAGAGAGAGAGAGAAACATCGATGTGAGAGAGAGACATAGATTGGTTGCCTCCTGCACAACCCTGACCAGGGCTGGGGACCGAACTGCAACCGAGGTAGATGCCCTTAATGGGAATTGAACCCGTGACTCTTTGGTTTGTGGGCTGATGGTCTAACCGCTGAGCCAAACTGGCCAGGGCATTTTTTTTTTAGGGAGAGGAAAGGAGAGAGAGAGAGAAACATCAATGTGAGAGAGAAATATCAATCAACTGCCTCCTGCACACCACCTACTGGGGATGGAGCCCACATCCCAGGCATGTGCCCTGACAGGGAATTGAACCCCAACCTCTCAGTCCTGGCCGGGCAAATCAAAGTGCATTTTAAATTTACATTCTTAAAAATACTAAGGCAGGAGCTAATGCTTCTGTCATGTTTGTGAGTATAGCTTGGTATAGTTTCTTAGCACTGCTGCATATTTTAAAACATGTTCCATATATATACACACACACATATATTTGTGTGTGTGTACACATATGCATACATTTGAGCGATTTTTATTTTTTATCCTCACCCGGGGACATTTTTCCATTTTTTGTTCAGATAGAGTGGGAGGGAGAGAGAGAGAGAGAAACATTGACGTGAAAGGGACACATCGATTGGCTGCCTCCCGCACGACCCAACCAGGGCCAGGGACAAACTGCAAACCGAGGTACATGCCCTTAGCGGGACCCGAATCTGGGTTTCTCTGGACCGCAGGCCGACGCTCTAACCGCTGAGCCAAACCGGACAGGGCCATTTGAGCCATTTTTAATGGCCATAATTGAAAGTATTTTTAAAAATAAGTAAAACGTGATTTTTAGTAATTTAAGGTAACTACGCATTTGGGAAGCACTATTAGCTCCCCTGCCCCCCGGCCTGTGCTGGCCCACACGCCTCTGTTTCACCAGAGCACTCCTGGGCAAGCCCTTGGGAGCTTTGGTGGTTCTTCCTTGTCTCCTGTTTATTGGTGCCGGGTGAGCGTGAACTTCTTAGATGCAGGTGACTGTACTTAGCCAAGATGCCGGAGACCAGCCGGAGCTGCTGCTGAGTGTGCGGCAGCCCGAGACCTCTGTGCCCCCAGGCTCTGCTCCCTGCGTGTTGGCTGTCCTCAGTGTCGGTCACTCCTCCACTGCCCTGCAGGTTCTGAAGCCCGGGACCTTGAGGGCCAAGTTCCAACAACTCGGAGGTGTCCTGGCATGCAGGAAGGAACGAGGTCTGGGTCCATCCATTCTCGTGTCCTTGAACAGTCATTTACTCCCACCGCCGAATCTTGTTTTCTACAACCTTGTGTATCCATTAGATTTTTCCGCCTTGTTTTTTTTTGTCACCCAAGGATGTTTACTGATTTTAGAGCGAGAAGAAGGGAGAGTGAGAGAGAAACATTGATTGGTTGCCTCCAGTAGGCACCCCGAGCAGGGATCAAACCCAAAACCTAGATATGTACACTGACTGGGAACTGAGCCCACAACTTTGGGGGGGGAGGGAGTGTACTAGACGACACTTCAGCCAACAGAGCCACCTGGCCAGGGCTGCCTTGGACACTGGGTCCTATCATTCTGTGTTGTAGGGGGCTGTCCTGTGCGTTACATGGTTTTTAACGATATCCTTGGCCAGTATGACATACCCCCACCCCTGTTAGGACGACCAAAAATATCTTAAGACGTTGCCAATGTCCCCTGGGGGTCAAAATTGCCCCATTTGAGAACCACTGGGCTAAGATGACTTCCAAATACTAAAAGTATTTATTTTTTTGTGAGGAGGGTCGTTATTTTCTACAAGGGTGGTTGTGTAAGGCTCATATGAGGGAGTTCATTGAAGTGCTTTGGAAAAACTGCTGTTGTTTAGCCTTGAATTGGTATTTTTCATTTTAAAACACAGTAAACATTTAGGCCTCGAATGGCCTGGAGAGTCGTCCCATCCTCCAGAGCCACCTCCAGTGCCTCCCCTTCATCAAGACCCTCCTTTGTGGGTGGTGGGGCATCTTCACTTTCGTTCTTAGACCCTTCAGGGGTCTGAGGCTAGGCCTCTGGAATCCTCATTTATTTGATGCATTTAAAACTATTCAGAGGCGAGTGCATAGGCTTTATCACCCTGCCAGACAGGTCCAAAGGTTAAGAATTAACCAAACTTCAATCCCACCATCAGCGAGTGCTCAGAGTGTGGACACGAGTGGTTTAGACAGAAGCTGAGGTGAGCAGTACATACCTCTTTCTCCTGTCCGTGTACCCAACTCCCAGCTGCCTCCAGTACTGCGAGGTGAGGCTGTCATCCTTGCCGAACGTGGGGACCCCAGTGCCCGTCTGTGGCCGCCCTTGTCCCTGCCCCAGCTTGCTGGTGCCGGCAGCGGTGCTCACTCACCAGGCTGGGCCCGGGGTCTGCCGTGCAGGCCTTAGGGGCGTCTAGGCAAACCTGGAGGCTGTGAGGTAGTTCCGTGGGGCTCCTCACTGGGGATGGCAGAGATGCCTACCTCTCCTGTGAGTGCTTGAATGTGTGCCTTGTTGGCGGGCGGGGGGACAGGAGACATAGTAAGACTTTCGGGCTCCTGTGTAAGAGGAAGACGTCTACAAGGCCATGCTAACAACTCGTGATCCCCTGGAGGCCAGACACTGGTATTCAGGTGCTGCGTGGGAGACGGAACGGTGACAGCATACTTCTGGTGCTCATCCAAAGGGACCTTCCCGGATTCGTGCATGTGTGCATAGCCCATGGACACAGACAATGGTGCGCTGAAGACCTGGGGTGGGGCAGGGGCTGGGTGGAGGGGGGTGGAGGGCAGGGAATGGGGGACATCTGTAATCCTCTCAACAAAAAGGGGACCTTATATGTCACAACAGCATATAATCTGTCATCACACTCCTACTTCCAAGCAGATTTTAACAATGCAATAGTTCCTAACAAGAGACAGCATCATTTTAAAGCTAGTTTCTACCAAGACCATTTAAGCAGATAACCTGTGATGCATGTCTTTTTCTTCCGTCGTCCACCCCCACCCCCACCCCCACCCCCCACCTTTGTGTTGGCAAATGTGTATTTTAAGGCAGAGCTGCAGGTGTGAACTTCTTCTCATTCAGTCAGGAAATAGAGAAACACTGGATGAGAACAGGTTGTTTAATACTGCTGGAGTGAACATAGGCTCAGCTCCCTATGTATGGGGAGTGTGCTCACCCAGCAAGGGTGACACCTGGCAACCACAGCGACCATGCCCCATCAGAGTTCAGAAGCACCTTCTGTAGAGGAAGAACGGCCCATGTTCCTGGTACTCAAAGCGGTGGACCCACAGTGATTGGAAGCCCTGAAGCGATGCCAGGATGGAGCCGCCCGTCCACACTGCAGTTTCTCTTTCGGGCAACACGTTTACCTGGGGGGTGTCATTGGGACACAGGCTGCTCAGCTCCTTCTGCAGACGGTTAGGGAAACCGCTGAGCATAGTGGTCCCCCCGCAGAGCAGGATGTTCCTCATGAGGTCTCGTTTGAGGGCGATGTCACACTTGTTGAGGCAAGACACCGTCTGGGTGTGGAGGCCCAGCTGCATGGACTTGATCAGAGAAGGTTTGAAGAACATCTCTGAGCAGAGGAACCTTTCCTGGCCCACGTGTATCACTTGCCCATCTGGCAGCATATACTGGATCATATGCTCAATATCTGGGACTTTCTTCTCTTCAGTGGGGTCCAGGGCCACAAAACAGCATTTCTTCTTGATGTCCTCCACAATGCCTATCTGGTCCTCGGTGAAGTGTGTTCCCGAATTGTTCAGCAGGCACATCAAGTAGTCCGTCAGATCCGAGCCTGCGTAGTCCAGCCGTCCCGTGATGCTGGGCAGAGGATAACCTTCATAGATGGGGACGACGTAGGACACGCCGTGGCCGACCTCCACCACCAGGCCGGAGGTCCTCCCGTAGGAGTACATGGACAGGCGGGACTGGTAGGCGATGTGCATTGCGGGGGTGTTGAAGGTCTCAAACAGCATTTCCGCGTACTTCTCTCTGTTGGTGTGTGGGCTCAGGGGTGGGTCTGAAACCAAGACCGCGTGGTCCTCTGGGGCGATCTTCATCTCCTGATGGAAGAGATATTCCCAGATATCCTGCACTGAGTCCCAGTCCACGATGATGCCATGCCGCAGAGGATTAATTAGCTTGAGACAAACCTTCGGATTGACGAGCTCCTGCCCCACGAATGTCTCTTTGCGATTGGCCCCAGTTTGGGCGGTCTCTGCGTAGGGCTTGCCCACTGTCGATGAGATCTTGTGGGTGGGCTTTGGCTGCCCAGCAAAGCCACATTTACAGTAGCCAGTGCCAAGGTCCACGACCACCGCTTTGATCAACTTGACCTTGGGCTTCTCCTTGACCTCTGCTGACTTGGTAGGTTCTTCTGGCACCGAACAGTTGCGGTGGACCCACACTGCGCGCTTCGCTGGGCCATCCTTCAAGGAGGCCGTCTGGAGGGCCTGGGTGTTCAGGGAGGCCTGTGCACACCTTCCCTTGTCGGGCCCATCCCCGAAGACTCCTGCCTGTGGAGCCCACATGCCACTAAGAGCCGCCTGCTCTCAGGAAGCTCCTTGGTCCCACCAGCTCCACGGCTGGAAAGACTGAACTCAGAGGGCGACTGCAGAATTTCCCCAATTATGACATCACCGATTGTGACATAATCCAGTGACCTGGGGCTTTCTAGATACCGGGAAGCTTTGTCCCATGTTAGGGTGGATTTAGGTAGTGTTTTGTGGTGATTTGCCTTTTTCTAAATTTTGCAATAAACCTGATTCATCCAGTCAATGTTTATTAAGTGCTGTGTTCAGGCAGCTGGGAATACAAGGCAGAAGTAGGAAAAAACATCTCTGCCCTTTTACCGTTAACATTCTAATCAGTGGGAATTGGAGAGACAGACAATAACCCAATTTTATATTTATATATAAATTTGTGTGTGTGCGTGTGTGTGTGTGTGTGTGCGTGTATGAAGATGTTAAGGGCAAAGAGAAAAGCCGGGAAGGGGGGTGGGGAGGGTGGCCATGTCAGTGTGCCTGGGCGGGGCTCCCTGAGACGGTGCCACCGACCTGACGGAGGTGACGGAGAGTGTCACATGCGTATCCCAAGCAGCAGGTGTGGAGGACTGGGCGCAGACGTGTCTGATGAGTTAGAGCAGGGGTCAGCAAACTAGGGCCTGCAGCCTGTTTCTGTAAATACAGTTTTATTGGAACACAGCCACTGTCTGTGGCTGTGTTGGTTGAATCATTGCAACAAAGACTGTGGCTCGCAAAGTTGAAAGTAAACATTGACTACCTGGCCCTTGACAGAAAAAGCTCGCCAGCCCCCAGGTTAGAGGATCCCAAGAAGATGAGTGTGGCTGGAGAGGAAACGTACATGAGGTGGGAGATCTAAGGGGCTAGGGAGGGCTAGCAGCTCACACCGGGCCGGCCTCATGGGCCATTGCCAGGACTTTGGCTCTGACTCTGCATCAGGTCAGAAAGTACTAGAGAATTTTGAGCAGGGACTTGACATCATCTGATTGAGATTTTAGCAGGAATACTTGCTGTCAGGGTGATTGTGCTAAGAATGTGTCTCATTTGTTCCTTAGAACAATCTGCAGAGGAATTATTTCTGGACACACATTTGTACATATATTTATCCTTCATCTGGGTCATTGGGTCAGCAATGAAATTAGACCCTACAGACTCCCACTGACGGGAACATTGAGGATCTTAGGTGCATAACTCAACCCAAGGATGGTCCAGCCAAGCTCTCCTGACTACGACTTCTCCCCAGGAGTGTGCAGTGGATGACACACCTTGATGGGACCCAACACAGGTCTCCGAGGCTGCTCAGTCACCGTCTCACGTGCCATCTCTGCAGCTGGGCATGTTGGTGTTGACACCTGCCGCTCTCAAGGGCCCCAGAATCCAACCCTATGTTGTGCAGCCATGTGCTCTTCAGAAAAGAGGCAGTCACTGCAACGTGGGCTTTGTCCTTGAAGGAGCTTACTGGGGGTGTTCCTGGCCCCTTGGGAGCTGTGAGAGAAGAGAAGGACCAAGTCCAGTCTCATGAGCCTTATGACTATCTGGTGGGGGCAGCCAAGCTGTCACCTCAGAAAAATCTCTGCTTCTTGATTCAGGGGGTAGAGGCTGAGCATAGAACTCGGGAAGAACAGGGACGCGCCTTTCCGCATGCTTGGCTGCCTGAAAAACAGTTTCTTGCCTCTGTCATTCATTGGTTTCCATGGCCAGCTTGGATTGTTTGACTTTATTTCAAAAGAACTCACATGATAAGGCACATTTAATTCAGAATTAAGTATTTTCCTCCTTCTCGGCACCCCCTCTTGAATTTTGAAGAATCTGCAGCTGCTTAGTACGTGTTCACTGTCCTGGATTCCTGTAGGGGCCTGTATTAGTTTCCTATTGCTGCTGTAACAAATGGCTACAAATTTAATGGCTTAAAACACCAGTTTGTTGTGGTTCTGAGACGGAGGTCGGAAGCCCACAGTTAGTCTCGGTGGTCGGCGAGCCCTGTTCCTTCTGGAGGCTCTACGGGCTCACATGTCCGTGCATTTTCAGGCGTCCAGAGGCCGCCCGCATTCCTTGGCTTGTGGCCCCTTCATCTCCAAAGACCTCTCGGACTTCTGCTTCTTTGTCACATTTTCTTTGGCCGGACCCTCCTGTCTTCCTCTTACAAGATCCTTGTGATTCCTTTGAGCCCACCTGGGTAATCCAGGGTAGTGAACCCCCCATCTTGAACTCCTTAACGCATATCTGCAAAGTCCTCTTTGCCGTGAAAGGTAACATAGTCACAGGTTCCAGGGATTAAGATGTGGACTTTATGGGGGGCCATTATTCACCCTGTCGCTCTACCTGTGCATCCCACTTCACTAGGACATTCAAAGCCTGCCAGGCTGTTTCACATGCTCCTCCCCACCCTGGTGCTTGGCCGTCCTTCCCCCTTTCTGTCCTCCTGGTGGGAGCTGCTGTGCTGGCCTGAGGCCCGTCACTCCTCCTAGTCTGTCGGGTCCATGAGCACAGGGACTCGCAGGGGCCACCCTTCAGGCTCAAGCCAGTGGACACCATTCACTCCTTATTCTTCCCCTCAGGATATCACATGCTTGATGCTCTTTCCTAATGGAAACCATTGTCCCCTTAGCTTCCATGTCACCCTTGGTGTCCCGTCTCTGCTCTCTGGCTCATCACACAGTGGTGTCATGATGGAAGGATATGGAGACTGTGGGCACTCCACACCAAAACCTCCACTGCCTGGCACACACGACTCCTCACACTTGGCACTTACCACCTAAGGTACATGTGGGCTCCCTGGGGTCTCTGGTGAAGTCCCTCTTGGTAGAGACATTTTCTCTGGCTCAGCCTATCTTGGACTGCATGTTCTCATTGGATCACAGCTGCTTTTGCTCCTCTGGCCCAAGACTAAAAATATACATATGAGGCGATCCTTCTTGGTTTTGGGGACATCACCCACCCTTGTCCTTTGGCATATAGGTGAACTAGGCCCTTGTAACTTTAGCAATTGTGGGAGGAAAAAGAGAATCTAGTAAGAAGAAGGCCAAAGTACAGCATTTCTTTTCACGAATGCCAATTCCTGGCTCCCACCCCAACATTACTGAATCTAAATATTTCGAACCGAGGACTGTTTAGGCCTAGGAATCCAACTCTTCGATATTTGAAGACCCCTGAGAACCCCTGAGTCAGGAGCTCCTGGCAAAGAAGGGAATTCCTGCCAAAGAGACACCGTGAGCCTCATTTCCAAAGCTCAGGCCCCAGTGTGGTAACCCAAATACCAAGGCTATGTCCATTTTCCTCAAGGTGGGAGGGAAAGGGGCTCTCTTCAGAAGGCGAAGATACTCCACTGAGGACCCAAATCTGGATCCAGATCATGTCTCTTCCTGAGCTCCGTACACCACAGTCTAGTGGTCTCTAGGCATTGCTAAGCATACCCAGCTGGAACTCATTACCTTCCTCCATGTAAGCTCCTGCCCCTGCATTTTCTCTACCTATACGAGGGCCCCACTGTCCACCTAGTTGTCAAGACAGAAACCTGGAGGCAGTGCATAGGGGTCAAGTTGAGGGGACAGAGCACCATCATAATCAAATTCAACTAACATTTTGAGTCGTTTGCTCAAGGTCATACAGATTGTAGTAATGAAGCTAGAATTAAATTCAGGTCTTCAAAGTTCAGTTCCTCACTCATCTTTCTATTATACTTTCTCTCCACAAGGAGTGGAAGAAGTAGGCTCGGGGGCCTACGAGCTTTGCCGTTAAGTAGCATAAGGTTGTTACATGGAAGAATCAGCTTGCCTTGCACAGCCTCAGAAGTAGACCCAAGACCACTTCTTGGCTGCTTCAGAGAGGTACAGATGTCAGTCCAGTGTGAGGAAGAGTTTGATTCACAGCTGTTCCTTCCAGATCAGGTGTCCAGTCCTCAGTTTCTGCGATTTGTGATGATACCAGCGGTGGAGCTTGGTGATGCCCCTAACTGTGATCCTTATAAAGTTGCTACCCACATGATCCAGTTCCACAGTGCCATGTTCCCGTGAGTTCTCATCAGCATTCCTACGTGCTTGATAGCAGTCGTAGTTACATCGTGAAATCCCCCTCTTCTTCCCTCTCCGTGCCACCTAACCCATTAGCTACGTCTGCTCTTAATTCTCTGGAAATGTCCTCAACCTCAGTTGTTCCCCTTCCCTGTTTTTCTTTTCTTTCTTTATCACCACGGCCCTGGTCTGTTTGTTTGTTGGAGGGGCAGGGGCCAGTTTGGAGTGGAGGGACCTACAGGAACCGAATGAGGATCAGCTTTCTCCCTCACCCTCACATCTAATCCAGTCATCTGCTGTGAATGCAGTTGATGAGGCGAGAGACGGCACAGGAGCTGGCCAGAGAAGGCCTCAAGTGCTAGAGCAAGAGCTTGGACTGAATTAAGGGTAGTTGGGGAATCAACAAGTTAGAGTAGATTCTACCTTCTCGACTTTGCTAGCACCTGTCCCTTGCTCTCCTCCACATCATCATTGCCCTGGTGTAGGCCACCTCCGAGTCTTACAAGAACATCTTCAATTCTCTTCTCAGGACTCAGAGTATTGCCCTTTATATCACAGCGAAACAGGTCTTTCTGCAAATTACCCCAGAAACCAGACCTGACCACTGCTCTGCCTACAGTCGTTGCGGCTTTCCAGCTGTCTTCAGTTGGATCCAAGCTCCTCCTCCCAGCGTTTGAGGCCCTCCCTGGTTGGCTCCGTGACCCCGCCTTTTTTCCAAGCCTTTATGCAGGCTGTTCCCCACCCTGCCCCCACCTGAGTCTCCACTCAGGCTGTGCTCTCTGCTGGGGATGCCTTCCCTCCTCTTAGCCACCTGACAGATACCCCCAGATCTTTCAGAACTCAACTTCGGCATCACCTCTCCCGGGAACCTCCTGACTCCCCGTCTCCAGTGAGTGCTCCCCTTTTGCACCTCTGCTCTCCCAGTGGACTTTCACCTGCACGCTCCTCTGCATCATTCCCACCTAGACTGGGCGCGGGTTGTGGCCGGGTTCCTGTCTGTCACCAGCGGGCTGTCCTGGGCTGGGCCCACCACAACCCCAGTCAGTGGTGGAGGAAGGGAGGACTGTTGGGGCCCTCACACTCTTTAGGAGACCTGGTGCACTGGAGTTGGATGAACTTGGGCTGAAGTACAAACACTCCAGGAGCTGTCTGCTCACGGGCATGTCACTGGAATTCTGAACTTCAACTTCCTCAGCTCTGCCTGTCTCATGGGAGTCTCATGGGAACATGTGAGGTGCCTGGTACGGTGCCTGGCTTATTGTACGGGCTCAAATATGTATCACCCTTGCAGTCGAGAGGCAGAGGAGGAAAAGGCATTCAGTTAGTCAGCAGGGGATTAGGAGAGGGGACAGGGCAGGATCCGAAACCTCTGAGACCCCAGTGTGCTTGGGTTTCTAAACCGGTGCTGGCCACCTGCTCTATCCTGAGCAAAGTCAAGTTAGGTAGGTGGGGGTGGTGATGGCAGACCATGGGCGCCAAGCCCCCCCCCCCCCCCCGCCCCGCTGGAATGGACCAGCCCCCAGTGACATCACAATCCTGACTGGTTGCCAAGGCGCTGCTGGAGGCGGACCCTCATTCCTCTCCACCCAGCTCTGGGGTGTGGATGTGAGAAGGGTGAGCAAGGAAGGCAAATGGCCACGAGGAGCAGCTCAAACCCCATGCCCATGGGCGCGGCTCAGGGGGACCCGGGGGAGCCAGGACCGCAGTCGGCTCCTGATGCTGGAATCCGGGACACAGGTTCAGCCACTCAGCTGAAGGCGAAGCCCAAGTGTGTGCGCCGGGTCAAGGCGCTCGTCATCGACCTGGGCTCGCAGTACTGTAAGTGTGGCTACGCGGGGGAGCCCAGGCCCACCTACTTCATCTCCTCCACGGTGGGCAAGCGCTGCTCCCCAGCGGCCGCTGTGGGCGACGCCCGCAAGGAGACCTACGTGGGCCACGAGCTGCTCGGCGTGGAGGCGCCCCTGAAGCTGGTCAACCCCCTGCAGGGCGGCGTGGTGGTGGACTGGGACTGCGTGCAGAACATCTGGGAGTACATCTTCCACACGGCCATGAGGATCCTCCCCGCGGAGTACGCCGTGCTGGTGTCCGACCCGCCGCTCAGCCCCAGCAGCAACCGGGAGAAGTACGCGGAGCTCCTGTTCGAGGCCTTCGGCATCCCCGCCATGCACGTGACGTGCCAGTCGCTGCTGTCCATCTACTCCTACGGCAAGACCACGGGGCTGGTGGTGGAGAGCGGCCACGGCGTCTCGCACGTGGTCCCCGTCTCAGACGGCACCGTGCTGCCCGGCCTGACGGGCCTCAGCCACCACGCCGGGAGCGACCTCACCAACTACCTGCTGCGGCTGCTCAACGAGGCGGGCCACAGGTTCACCGACGACCACCTGCACATCGTCGAGCACATCAAGAAGACCTGCTGCTACTCGGCTTTGCTGCCGGAGCAGGAGCTGGGCCAGGGCCTGGAGGAGCTGCGCGTGGACTACGAGCTGCCCGACGGCAAGCTCATCACCCTTGGCCGGGAGCGCTTCCAGTGCGCAGAGATGCTCTTCGAGCCCGCCCTGGTGGGCAGCTCCAAGCCGGGCCTGCAGGCGCTCACAGCCGCCTGCCTGGGCCACTGCCAGGAGGCCGGCCTCAAGGAGGAGATGGCCGCCAACGTGCTGCTGTGTGGCGGCTGCACCATGCTGGACGGCTTCCCCGAGCGCTTCCAGAGGGAGCTGAGCCTCCTCTGCCCCCGGGACAGCCCCACCGTGGCCGCTGCCCCCGAGAGGAAGACCTCCGTGTGGACCGGTGGCTCCATCCTGGCGTCCCTGCAGGCCTTCCAGCAGCTCTGGGTCAGCAAGGAAGAGTTCGAGGAGCGGGGCAGTGCCGCCATCTACACCAAGTGCTGAGCCGCGGGCCCCGTGGGCAGGCGACCTCGGGCCACGCTGTACATTTACAGAATTTCACATAAAATGTATGCAATGGCTCTCGTCTGGTCTGGGTTTCTTGCTTTAGTCTGACGGCGGAAGGTGGCAGGGAGCTGGGTTTAGAGGTAGCAGCAGAATTGACTCTGCTGGGTCAGGAGCCGCAGGGGTGGGAGTCGGGTGGGACGGTCCCCCTCATTGGCCCCTCCCTTCGTGAGCGAGACATCATCTCAGAGCCCAGAGTGTGGCTTTCTGTTCCATTAGCTCCTCAAGGTCCAAAACCCAGTTCAGCAGACACTCACATTGTTTGCTCGCCCAGGGACCACGGGGGAGACAAAGGCTCAGATTAAGGGACTAGCATGGGCCATGTAGCTCCGTGGTGGGGACACTCACCACCAGGTGTCTGACTTCCATGTCCTTCCATGTCATCAGCCCACAGCTTCATCATTGCTTGATTGCCCCAGGCTCCCTCAGCAACCGCCCTCCCTGCCTGCCTGCCCCTCAGAGGTGCAGCCCACAGGTGGACATGTCCTGCGTGGGGGGCACGTTTCCGCCCATCTGCCTTTCTACTTGGGCGAAATGCAGCTGTTTTACAGTCACAGCGCAGAGCCACTGAATCCAGAGGATGTCGGAGGAGCCCAAGGGTCCTTTGGAAATCGTGGCGTTCTCTCCTCCTGTAGAGGTGGGGAAACCGAGGGCCAGGAGGGAGGGGCCCTGTCAGTGGATAAGTCCCGGTCTCCTGACCCAGGTTGTGACTATTTTCCGAAGGTTGCTTTGGTTTGGGCTGCTGTAACCAAATACCGGGTGGCTTATAAGCAACAGAAATGTGTTTCTTACAGTTCTGGAGACTGGAAGTCGGAGACTAGGGGGCCAGCATGGCCGGGTTTGGGGAACGGTCCTCTTCTGGGTTGCAGACTGCCAGCATCCTCTGTGTTCCCACGTGGTGGTAGGGATGAGGGCTATCTCTGGAACCTCTTATAAAGCACTAATCCTAATTCCATTCCCGAGGGCTCTACCCTCATGACCTAATCAACCCCAAAGGCCCTACCTAATACCGTTACCTTGAGCATTAGGTTTTCAACGTGAATTTGAGGGGAGGGGTGTGGGGACGAACATCCACCCTACAGCAATGATTCCTAATGGTTAGCAACCATTAAGTACTTACCAAGTATCTGCTAGGGCGAGGCCCAGAGCTGGAGACTGCAGTGACCCTTGGGACCACTCAGGACAGCTAGCGGGGGTTCAGTGGACAGCCGCGTTGGTGAGGACACGAGGACTGCGCTCCGTGTTCTCGGGGAGGGAAGGAGGAGGCGGCTGGTTGGAAAGTTGTACTGGAGAAGTGCTAGGCTGGGGGGCCACCAGTGACTTTGGGGCTGAGGGAGAAGTTTCTGGGTCTTGTGAGATTTCAGCTGGTGAATGACTGTCTACCTAGAAGATGATGGTTCCTGTCCCTGTTACTACCCTCACCTAATGGAGCTTATGACCAGGGGCCCGTGACCAGTGTCCATGGGGTCAGGCGTTGGTGAGCGGTGTAACCTGAGGGGCTACCAAATGTCTCTGAGCCCCCTCTTACCTTTGACCAGTTTGGGGGCCTCTGTCCTGGGCTGCAGACTTGGGAAAGAACCAGACAGTCTTAATGCCTAGCACCTTGCTAACTAATCCTTCCCCATCGCCCAGAGTTGAGCTTCTAGCCTGGAGTTGGAGATGCTCTGGGCTGGCAGGGACCTGGTGCTATGCAGGAACGTGGGCTCTTTGGGTCGAGAGCAGTTGCATGCAGATGGGCGGCTGGTAGGTGACAGGGCCAGTAGACACATCTTGTTTGGCCAGCACAGTGTGTACATTTTTTCAGTGGGGCCTCCATTCTTCAGATTGCCAAAGTCTCTGCTACCCTGATGTCTTCATGCATACTTGCTGCTTCAGCCTCTTTTGCTTAATTAGGCGGCATTCATTTCTATTGCTTGCAACTCAAGAACCTTTGAGCAGTACTAATCCTAAAAACTCGAAGAGGTACAGAGAGGGAAACAGAGGCTTATACAGGGGGAAGTGATGTGCCCCAAATCACACAGGCGTAAGTCAGTGTTGTATGCGAACCCTCTTCCACATGCTGGTCTTGAAGATCTCCAAGAACCATGTCTGTGTCTACCTCCCCACCCCGTCTCCTCGTCCTCACTCCCCACGTCCTCAGCAACGTCTCCTGTCCACACAACCACAGCCTCAGTGCCCCAGTTTCCGGGTCAGCCCTCCAAAAGCATCCCTTGTGTGGCAGAGCCTGCAGGTCACTAATCATTCAGTCCTGACGTGAATTTATTCTAGCCAACAGCAGGTGCAAAGGAGGTTTCATTTGGGCAGGAAGATGTGGGTCAGTGGTTTCAGTTTGAGATGACTGACTGACCGTGTGTGTTTGTCTCCTCTCCCTCCTAAAACTGACAGTGGTAGTAGAGGAATATAGGTGTATAATCTCCCTGCAGTGAGGAGGACGCTAGGGAGACCACAGGAGGCTAGAGATCGCCACCCACTGGAAGAAGGGAGATGCAGGGCAGACGGCTGCAGCCTGAAGCGGGCAGGGCGCTCCCTGCAGGGGGCGCACCTTCCTGTCCGGAAGAGGGGCAGGAGGTTTGGGACTCGACATGCTGAGTAGAGGAGGAATAGGAATGAGGTGTGTGAGACAAAGAAGGATGAGGGAGGGGGTGGTAACTGATGGTCTCTCTCCTAGAGCACTGTCCCCCTCCCCTGCCCACAGGAAGAGAGAGGGGTCTGTAACATGACCAGCTTCTAAGTGTCTATTTCTCAGGCAAAAAAAAAAAGGAAGAATCCTTCAGGAAGGCGGTGTTAGCACAGGGAAGAGTATGAAGAGCAGGTCACGAACCCTGCTGTGTCCCTTTGCCCCTCCCCCAAATCTCAAGGCATGCTCAGGCTCAGCTAGTTTCCCATGGGCACCTCAAGTTCCTGCTTCCATTCTCCCTTGTCCCTGCCCCACAACTCCCAGCTCTGCATGGGCCTCAGATGTGGCCCAGAGCTGGCTGCCAGGGCCGGAGCTTGTGACACGCCAATTGGAGCAGTCCATCTGTTTGGCCACAGTGACTGACCTGGGGGCGAGCCTGTGACTTCAGAGCAATGAATCACAGGCCTTTTGCTGGGAAGGTAGACGAAAGATTGAGGTATATGGCCTAGAACTGTTGCGACAACATGTGTTACTAGGAAGGAAGCCAGCAGGAAGCTGACCCACCGAGGAGTATAAAACAGACAGCCGGTACCCTGATGACAGTGAGCTCGGAGTGAAACCGCGCCTGGGCGCCCTCTACCGGCAGACCTTTGTTTCCGCGAGTGAGTGCGGTCAGCCTGGACTCCAGGCCAGTGTGTGTGCAGCTGACAACTGAGAGCTTTCTAACTGCGTGTGTTTCTTTCTCAGCGATGGTATCCTCTGGAGCAGTTAGCGACCAGGAGGGAGCAGGCTTGGTGAGGCCTCTCATAACTGAGATATTAACACCAACACTTATTTATTTCCCAACAAAAAAGCCACTACACATGATGAATTTAAAAAGAAGTTGTTTTTTTTAAAATTGATTTTTAGAGAGAGAGGAAGGGAGAGGGGGAGAGAGAGAGAAACATCAATGAGAGAGAACATCGATTGGCTGCCTCCTGCATGTCCCCCAATGGGGATCTGGGGATCGGGCCCACAACCTGGGCATGTGCCCTGACCGGGAATCAAACTGGCCTCTTGGTGCAGGGGTCGACGCTCAACCACTGAGCCACACCAGCCGGGCCACATGATGAATGTTTATCAAGGTGTTAGGGAATGTTGGATAACACACTAACGCCGAAGCACAGAAACCTAACTAAGAGGGTTTGCTTGCTGCTGTCCAGATATTTGTTCAGACATTTGTTTTTGAGGTTGGACTTGGAGTTTCTCAAGGGCAGGGACTTTTGTTTGTCTTCAGCGATGCCCAGGCATACCCTGGCATAGTCCATGCCGACGGAAATGACTTACTCCCAGTCTATGAGGCAGAAGTTATTTTCGCCCATAGTACAAACTATAGAGATGATCCCTGAAAGCATAGTCTCTCCGCCCGTATCAGATGAGGACGCTGAAGCTTGGAGAGGCAAAGAATCGTGTCCGTGTCCACCGCCTGGTACGTCAGTCTGGTGCGAAATCAAAGTTCTGTGATTCCAGAATGCCTCTTTGCCCTTGTTGCCTCTCTCTGTGCAAATTATCAATCTCTTTTACAACAAAAACAAAACAGATGTGAAAATTGCCTGCAAGTCATGCACAAGTATGATATAATTTCATAATCAGCCCGAGGTGTGAAAGTTAAAAATGCCAGTCTTTTAGCAAAGGAGAGACTTACCTTGCCCGAGATTTCCAGAGACATAAACGAGGAAGTATTAGAGTGACATCATGTGGCGAAGCCCTACTATTTAGCCAGGCAGGAGGTCTGTCCTTGCTGCCTCTCTGGGCAGCCTGTCTCCCCCAAGTGTTTATTATCACATTCGCTCTAAGAGTTATCTGCATAAGGCAGGCTTCAGCAGTTTATTAATTTGTTTAATTACAATACGGTATCAATGGTGTTCTGTTTGATGAAAGGCTTTTTTCCCAGATCCTACATTTTCTTGGAGTGTAGTGTTTCTTACCCAGTGGGAAGAGGGGAGTGTGGGATTGGTTATGCTGGAGCTAGTGCCTAATGCCTTGTGGGAGCTCACCCGTAACCATTCTGGAATTTTGCAAACCAGCTGTTAAAGAGTGTGATAGCGTGAAATTGGCCGCGGTGGGAGTATTTACCCCCACAGAAACCGGCAAGCGTTACAAATCAAGCCCCCCCCCACCCCGAGAGTTTGTTTCAAGGGGAAACAGGGGAGGAGTTGGAGAAAAATGGTGGGTAGCGGAATCACTCGGAGCTATTTGAAAAAAACAAACAAACCAAATCCATGGGTACCTTCCCCCCAGACTGAATCAGTAGATTGGGAAGCACCTAGGACTCTGCACTTGG